ATTGTTGTTCTGCCCGGCAGTAGCTAAAACACACACACACACACACAACTAACTGATTGCGACAGAGTGTTTAACACTAATTAACACGGAACTGTTTTGCTCGGTAAACTGTTTGCAATTAAAGGCACGTGATTGGTGAAAAAAAGGAGGCAGAGAAATTACATTTATTAATTGTAATTGCAATTTTATATTTACTCTCTGTGAGAGATTGTTTTAGATTGGATTAAACTGTTGGGGGGATAATAATGTTGCTGCTGCTGATAATGCGGCCTAAATTGTGTCACTGGGTCACTCTTAAGTTTGCTTTTATTTTAAACGATAAGACCGAAAAAGAATATTTATTTGTTAATTGGTAGAAACAACATATTCTTTTTTATAATTTCTTCAGTCACTTTTTATTATGGTAATGAGCCAGAAGTAATGAGCTCAGCGTTTTGGAAACGCTTGTATACTATTTATTTGTTTATTTATGGGTTTTTTGTTTTTGGTTGTTTTGTTGGGTCTGGTCGGTAGGTAATTTCAATACAATTATTTGATAGAACTGATAGACCCGATTTCGATATGGCCGCACACATATGTATATATATTATATATAGCTTGTATATATAGACGCTGGTGTCGCGCACGTTAAATCCAAAATAAAAATTTCGAGCGGACCGAAAAAAAAGTGCAAAATGCGAGGCAAACGCGACGGCGACGAATTTCGACTGCGGCGAAAACGAGCCGAAAAAAACCGACAGGCCAGAGAGCAAAAACAAAACAAAAAAACGACGTCAATGGCAGCAGAAAAAAAATCAAATAAAAAGGGAAAAAGTGAGCAACTCGCGCACGCTCGCAAATTGGAAGCTCGAAATCAAAACAAACGATTATTGTCTATTTAAAATTATGATTAACAATAGCCAGAGAGAGAGAGAGAGCCATAGAGAGAGAGAATGGAAACAGCTGTTACCTGGCTGCGGCGAAATGGGAAATCAGCTGAGACATTACCCATACGCCGCGTTGTACAAGGCAAAACGAAACTATAGATGATTAGGCGGCTATTTGTTTGTTTGTTTATTTATCTCTGCTCTTTCTGCCGGATTCTAACTGATTAGCACACTGTCAGAGTGCTTCACATTCATATCTGTCGCATTAGCTTCAATTTACGGACTACCTTAGCGTACTAAATATGGGAAGCTCCCTGCTAAGTGGAAAACTTTCCGCCCACGCTGTGAAAATCCCGCAGAGCCGCCACCAGCCAAGGCTAGAGTTAAGCTTGCGGTGAGTCCGAACACTTCAAAGGGGCAGCGTCGGCGTTGGTGTCGACTTCAGCGTCCTTAACCCCAATGCCGTGTACTTAGAACACCTAGGAAAACCAATTCAAGGCAAGTGCTTGCCATTTTCCAAGAGGGATTAGGTTTAAGGGACTCGAAAAATCACACAAAAGTAATTGCCTGTATGGAATAGTTGGATACTGGTTAACTATGAAGATATCCAGGGTATATTTGATGTGATTTTAAGGGAAATTGAAAGTTTAATTACAGTTTTCAGTACTTAATTAGGAATACAACTTTTCAAAGGGGTTTTAAAACGTTTTCCGGAAACTAAAGTTTAATTCGTACTAGCTTTTTATGAAAATTACAAATATATTTTCTCTTGAGGATAACTATTCAGGTAATGAATTTGTTTAATGTTTTAGAAGTTTATTGTTGCTTTTAAATTCTAAAAACTTATGTATTCCTTACAATGACAGAAAACATAACAAAACGAAACATATCTACCAAATCCTATCCCAATTTTATGAAGGCTTTTCATCACTTTAGGTAAAATGTGAAAAATTCGTGTATTTTATAGAAAAAGAAAAGGTTTATAAAGATTTAGTTCCTGGTAAATTAGGATGATTATATGTTAAACTAATAAATCTAATATATCTTGTAAGTTATATACCAATTTCTAAATTTTCTTGAACACTTTATGTAAATTTTGGAAAATGTTTATAATTTCTTAAGGAAAAGGTTTAACTTTTCTGATAAATTACGAAACCGTTTTATAGTTTCTCCAAAATTACCAAAAAAACAAAAAAAAATCACCAAATCTCATAAGCTAGATCCCATTTTTCTGTAGGTTCTCCGTTCCACAGTGAAATTATACCCTCAAAAACTCGACCCTTGTCCATTTTCCATTATAGAAAATGACCAGCTGAATTGGCAAATGTCTAGGCAAACTTTGTGCCAATTGGTTTCACCAACAAAATAGTAATAATAAAAAAACCAAACCATAAACAAATAAACTAAACAAAAAAAAGCAAAGCACCGGGCCATTTTGTAACAACAAACAGCTGAATTGATTATGAACGCGAACAGATTGTTTACTATTTTACTATATGTGCGAATGCATGTACAAGAAATTAGCACTTTGGGGCTTGGAGCACTTTCCAACGCAACACAATATTGGTTTGTGGCATAAGTTGCTTTTATTTATTGCTTTTATTGCTTTTATTGAAAATTACATCACGCCCACGAGCCCCACCGCCGCCCCCGTCTTAGCTTCATAACTCGACGGCGGCGAAAGGAATGAATGATGGACGGACACGCGATTCAAGGAGGAGGGTCACACGCGACCGGAACGCACTTTATACGCCATCGAGGGAAAGCACTTGGGAGAACGCACTTGATTTCTAGTAGCGATTTTCCATAGTTTTTTCCTGCTGATTTTCCTAGTTTATTATTTTTGCGAATTTATTTTCCCCCCGGCGACGGTCGACAAACAAATGAGAATGGGACTCGGAACAAGAATGAGAATGAAAATGAAAATGAGCATGGGCATGGGCTGATGTACGAGCGTTTGGAGCTCGAAACTTATGCAATTTCGCACAGGTGATGGTAAAGCGACGACGACTCGACATTTGACTTTGCCACTGGCTGTCGGAATTTTCTTTTTCTAATTTTGCCACAGTGCGCTACTAAAATCCGTTGGATAACTGCCAGGTGCCCGCCCGTACCGAATAGCAAAAACAACCCATTGACGCCACCACGTTTCGCTGTTTCGCTTTGTTTTGTTTTGTTTGCTTTTAGTTTTTCCTGTGCCATTTCTGAATGTCATTATCAAGGTTTATTTGGCACTCTTTTTCCCGCCTTTTTTTATTATTATTATCGTTGTCTTGTGAATGAAATTCAGACGTCAAAATGAGTGGGTGGGTGCGAGGTGCGAGGTGCCCCACGCCGTGGCACGCGCCCCTCGGTTTGCGTCTGGGCTTAACATAGCGGTAAATCAATTTGGAGCGCATCATGAAAAATTGCTGTGCGCCAAACGTAAAAAAGGAGAATATGTAAAGGAAAAAAGTCAAGTCAATAAATTAAACAAGACAAAGAGACGCGATGGGAACTGCATTATGTCTACTGTGGTACAAAAGTCGGATTTTTACTAGAAAATTAAGGAAATTATTTATTTGTTCACTTCATATTTTGTTCGGATTTTGTATCTGTCCTTAATTTTTTGTCTTTATTTATCATTTAAAAGTTGAATTAGAAGGCTTAAGACTTAAGACTTAAGACTTTGGCAATGAAAAATGTAAAAAAAATATTCTCTAAATACATACTTTTTACTTTACTTTTAATTTTGATGGAAATCCAATTATTTAAGTCAAAATATTGCGTTTTTGACATTTTTGTTCAATATGATATCCTAAAAGTTTTGAACTAACTTACTTAAACTCTGACCTTTAACTTATTTTTAAAACATAAAACATTGCTGAATTACTTTTAATATCATTTAATTATAAAACAGTGTATCTACAAAAATAAATAAATAAGTTATACAAAAATGCAAGTTTGAAAGAACAGAGAAAATGTTTCTATAAACTTGACGGAAGCTGAAACAACAACAATCTAAAAAAAGATAAACTCTCCAGTAAAGGCTTTCCCTTTGAGTAAACAAACCCCTTCCGCTACCACTTACACTTGCTCCACTGTAAGTACAGTGAATCAAACCCATAAATTGTGGGCTTTGATTGGGTTGCTCTTACACATGCACATACAAAAGTATGAGTGCGAGCGAGAGCTTGTGTGTCAGTGTGCGTGTGCATGGCCGGCAATCAAAGTGAATCATCACTTAAGAAATGAGGAAGACAGAGCAAACAAACAAACGGATAACGGATAAACAGATGCAAAAGCGCCGACGCAGACAGCTAAATGTGGGGCGGTGCAAGGGGGCCAAAAAAGGGGCGCGAGACAGAGAAGTGCGATAATACACACGCACGCAAGACACGCACACCACTACAACCTCCGTAGGTAGGCGTAAACAATTAGCGATAATAAAAAACAACAGTAGTGCAGCTAATTGTGAGCGGCGGCGGCTGCACCCAGTAAATAAATCGAAAATAAACCAAAGAGCTGCCGTTTGCTCCTCCGAAAATAGCAACATTGGCAGGCTGCAAACCGAGAAGAGAATGCGAAGCCCCAAAAGAAAAAAAGAATAAAACACACCCCTTAAACCGTGAGACTCACCTGCAACAGCACCTGTATCCAAGGCAAACAAATCCTCCTGCAGCTCCAATTGATCCATTTGAAGCGATGTAGGTTCCGATTGGTAGGCTTTACCTTAATTCTTTGCCAAAAAACAACACACGTCTGGGAAAGTTGCAGCTGCGGCCATTTTTTTTACTTCCCCACCGAGTTCTTGTAATTAGCCAGAAAACCCCTTTCGGGGCCTTAAAACAGCGGGAAAACACGCTCTTCTCAATATAAAACACTTCCGATTGGGAGTATTCACAATTTCGTATATAGTTTTCACAATTTTAAAGGTCTTTTGTGTGCAAATATGTTGAAACGAAAATTTTACGAAATACGCGTAGTTGAAAGAAGCAGAGAAATCAGCAGGCGGACCGAACAGCTGATTTTTGTTTTGTTTGCGACGTGATGCAGGGATACACAAGCAGTGCCTATCGATAGTCGGTTTAGCTTACGTTACGTTAGTACCTTCCGTGCTTTGGTTATCGGCGCGCTCAGCTGTTTTAGGCGACAGTGACGTCACGCGTGGCTGTGTCACCTTTTTTGTATATTTTTATTGGTATTATCACATTTATCGGCAAATTCTTGACTAAACATAAATAAATGCCCGCTAATCATGGTTCGACGGTGTTGCTGGCAATTGCATTGAGTGGTTGAGAGGCCTAGCACAATGACAAAAGACGCAGAAATCGAGAAGGAGTAAAGAAGTTCTGTGACCAATTTGCAAAAACTGTGAGTAAACCGGGCCAAATTCTGGGGACCTCAATTCCTTGGGGATATTTTGATATATTATTGGTTTTTTAATCATTTGTACTATTATTTACTTTATATGTTTTACTGCAAAGAGATTTATATTGTTTTCTTTAAGATTCTTAAAAAACCCAAGATAAATCTGTTTTACTAGTTCCTATAGTGATTTTTATGCCCGGTTTTATTGATCAATTCTAAAAATTAATAACAAACTCAGATTTCTTTATCTTATAACCGCCAGCAAAGTACTCCTGCTGATTAGTTGCGCTGTTTTCAGATTATTACGAATCAATTTGATACTCTCCATTTAAATTATATATGTACATATATAAAAAATATATTAAAGAATCATAAAACTCAGAAGAAACCATTTACAGATTTCCACAAAAATGGAGGAAGTGCCTGTTCATCCACTGAGCCAGGATCCCACGGCTGCCTGGCGGGATATTAGCAAGTCGCAGCGCGTAATCAAGGTCACAATGAAGCCGCCGACGACGACGGTGGCTCCCAACAAGGCCCGGGTGGTGTGCATGTCCGACACCCACTCCCTGACGCCCTACATCAAGTTCGACATACCCGATGGCGACATATTTATCCACGCAGGCGATTTCACCAAATGCGGCCAGCTGGAGGAAGTGGAGGAGTTCAACAATTGGATTGGCGGTCTCCCGCATCGCCACAAGATTGTGATTGCCGGCAATCATGAGCTGAGCTTCGACAGCACCTTCACCCATCCGTTCCAAAAGGGTGGCGCCGGACAGGGAAGCGGCAAAGGTCATGCCTCGAGCAGCAAGCACACCGGCATGTCTATCCTGGACGATTTGCCCACACTGGGCAATGCCAAGGAGAGTCTAGAGAGTGCGGTGCAGACACAAAATGTGCGTCAAGTGCTTACGAATTGCCGGTATATCGAGGATGAGTTGCTGGAGATTTGGGGCATACGGATTTATGGTTCACCATGGCAGCCCGAGTTCTGTCGCTGGGCCTTCAACGTCCCTAGAGGTGCTCCGTGTCTGGCAAAGTGGAACCAAGTGCCCGAGGGCATTGACATCTTGATAACGCACACACCACCCGTGGGTCATGGAGATCTCTGCTGCTCCGGCGTTCGAGCGGGATGCGTGGAGCTCCTGAGCACGGTGCAGCAGCGAGTGCGACCCAAATACCATGTCTTTGGCCATGTACACGAGGGCTATGGCATCACCAGCGACGGAAGGATCATCTTTGTAAATGCCTCCACTTGTGACATCAATTATTTACCCAACAATGCGCCCATCGTATTCGATGTGACGTTGCCGCCAGGAGTTCGCAAGGATTAGACTCGGCGAAGACTCTTAATTTTGATATTTATTCACATTTTGTTGCAGGTTCAATGAATTTACCCTCCCCGAAAAGTTTGTACAATTTGTTTTAAGTTTTAGATGATTTATAAATCTATATTTATAAGTAAAAAAGTGTGTTTCGGGATCTTTAAGGTGAAAACTAAGTTTAGTAAGAAATCTTTAAGAAATGTAAAAAACCTCCAGATTCAGTGTCATAAATTCAGGTTTCATTATAATTTAATTGTATTCCTCCTCAAGGTTTATATCTTTCTACAAATGTTTTAAATAATATGTAGATGCCCTGAAGTTACCTCAAATCCTTAAGTTTAAGTAGAATTTATTTAAATCTTCAATCGATTAGCCGCCAATAATGGAAGAAATCTGGAATAATCATGGAACGACGATCGTCCATGGACAATGCAACTCTGTTATCGTAATTTGACATTTCTCTTTGGCGGCGGGCGTAACGGCGCTATTCCAGTGACTCCCCAACCAATCTACCCTGAGGCTGCAAATTTTCGCGTGGCGAAAAATAGGCAAAAAGAAAAGGAAGATAGTTCCCTTGTCCCGTAGAAGATTTTAAATTGTATTTTTCGATTTTAGCTTTCCAAAGAAAAGCACATAAAATAAAATGGTGAGAACAATATTGTGGTGTTTCTTAATTTAAAAATTTAAAAGTGGAAACATGGGTTAAAAAAGCTTAACCAGTCAAAAATTAATTTAACCACTTTCCTTGAATAAATCTAAAGGGAAAGAGTGTATTCAATAACAGTGCTTAAAAAAAGTTATGGAAAAAGTTTATTAGAAGTAAAAGTGTCAAATACAAGTAAAAGACAAGCTTTATTTTCAGTTAAAGTGCTTTGAAATGTAAGGGAAACAGTTTATTTCCAGTAGAAAAGCTTGACGTCGAATAGAAAACACAATATATTTTGAAATTAATAGTAAATTAATGTAAATAACTTTCCTTGATCGATTTTTGAAACCGTAGGACTTGCAAGAATGTATATTATTTTCAAAAATATATATTCTTTAATCTAATACATATTTTTGAAATAGCACAACATATTTTCAAGTGTAATCTAAACCTAACCTAGAACTAAAACAATGGCGTCGATCCATTTAATACTTTACTTTATATATTTATCTATTTTCGAACCTCCCATCGGCAGCGCGAAGTGATCTCCATCCAGATTGGTCAGTGCGGCATCCAAATCGGCAACGCCTGCTGGGAGCTGTACCTGCTGGAGCACGGCATCAACTTGGATGGCAGCCTGAAGAGCAAGGAGGAGCTGGTGGCCAGCGGCAGCAGTGCCAGTATCGGTCACGACACCTCCGCCAACGATGCCCGCACCTTCTTCACGGAGACTGGGAACGGGAAGCAGGTGCCTCGAACGATATTCGTGGATCTGGAGCCCTCGGTTATCGATGATGTGAGGAATGGTGAGATGCGGGACCTCTACCATCCGGAGCAGCTCATCTCGGGCAAGGAGGATGCAGCGAATAATTATGCCCGCGGTCGCTACTCCATAGGCAAGGAGGTCATCGATAAGGTGACCACGCGGCTGCAGAAGATCGCCGAGCAGTGCGACAGCTTGCAGGGATTCCTTATCTTCCATTCACTGGGCGGTGGCACCGGTTCCGGGTTCACCTCGCTCCTCATGGAGCGGCTGTCTGCCGATTACAGCAAGAAGTGCAAGCTGGACTTTGCCGTTTATCCCTCACCGAAAGTCTCCACTGCGGTGGTGGAGCCCTACAACGCCCTGCTCACCACGCACTCCACCTTGGAGCACTCGGACTGTGTGTTTATGGTGGACAACGAGGCCATCTACGACATATGCAACAATAGCTTGGGCGTGGACAGACCGGCGTATAGGAATCTGAATCGACTCATTGCCCAAATAGTTAGCTCCACCACAGCCTCGCTACGGTTTAGTGGCTCCATGAACGTGGATCTCAACGAATTCCAAACGAATCTGGTCCCCTTTCCGCGCATCCACTTCCCACTGGTGGCCTACGCACCGCTGGTGTCTGCAGCCAAGGCTGCGCATGAGCAGCACGCCATCACCACGCTGACCAATGCCTGTTTCGAGTCCTCCAACATGATGGTCAAGTGTGATCCAAGACAGGGCAAGTTCATGGCCTGCTGCATGCTCTATCGGGGCGATGTGGTGCCCAAGGATGTGAATGCTGCTGTGTCGGCCATCAAATCGAAAAGGCATATCCAATTCGTGGACTGGTGTCCCACTGGCTTCAAGATTGGCATCAACTACGAGAGGCCGGCCTTTGTCCCGGATGGGGATCTGGCCAAGACATCACGCGCCTGCTGTATGCTGTCCAACACCACGGCCATTTCGGTGGCCTTCTCCAATCTGTCCTACAAGTTCGATCTGATGTTCAAGAAGCGGGCCTTCGTCCACTGGTATGTCGGCGAGGGCATGGAGGAGGGCGAGTTCACCGAGGCGCGGGAGAATATTGCTGTTCTGGAGCGTGACTTCGAGGAGGTGGGCCTGGACAATGCCGAGGAGGGCAACGAAGAGGAATTTGATGAATATTGAAATTAGATTGCAGTTCCACCAGTCCATTTGTCCACCAGTCACATCAATATTCAATTAAAAATATGTAAATAAATCAACAAATCTATAAAAGAAACACTTTGATTGGGGATTAAGAATATTTTTCTAGCGTGGCTCCAATATACTCATTTAATGCCCAACCCTGTTTAACAAATTCCATTATAAACCAGTTTCTTTAACCAAGAACTAAAATTTTTCCAGAAGATATTAGGTCGAAATATAAATATTTATATATCCAAATGAAAAAATAAAAGTAATCCCAATTTCACCAATATTAAAATCCGTTTAAATCAGTTTTCTGTAATATTTTTTTTTTGTATATTTTTCTTTAGTTGTTTTTATGTTTTGTTTGTTGTTTATTTTTTAACGCCTATTCGCTATGTTGTTTTCAATTGTATTTTTTGTTTGTTTCACTTAATTTTACTAGATTTTATTTTGAACTTGCAAGTATTTTGCGTTTCTTTTTTTTATTTTTCATCATGAACTTACACATAAAAGAATCATCAAAAAGTTGTTGCACAGTGTGTAAAATTACAATATTTTCAATTGTGTGTGTATGTGTGTGTGAGTGTGTATGGTGTAGGTGTATATCTTCTACGGTGTGTTGTTAATCTATAAATCTAAAATTTCTCTCTAAGAGCAGGCCAATGTTTACACCAATGATCAACTGGGAATTATCGTTCGTTTTGTGTTAACTTTTAAAATTTCAAAAAAATAAAAAAGGGAAATATATATAATTTGCTTAAACGAAGCAGCTTCTAATATACAAAGAAAAGGCAATTGCATTAGTGTACTTTTGTTATGTTGAGTGTGTTGTTTAGTGTAAATCTTTAGATTCCTATTTATTATAATTACAATTATGACGATTTCTCCCATTTACTGAGTTTTGCGTTTGCTTTTTAATTACAATTACAATAGGTTAATCCATAAAAAATATATAACGATGATAATGATGGCAAAATATATGTTTTCAAATTGTTGGTTTTGTTTGTTGTTTGTTTTTGTTTTTTTTGTTGCATTATAAATTTGCTCTGTTAAAGTTGCGTCAGCTGCGGTCGCTTGCTAATCGGTGTTCTGGTTATTGTTGTTTTGTTTAACATTTGCCGATTTAATATGGAACATTTGAGAAGAGATACGAGACACTCTCGCCGTTGTGTGTCCGCCTGACAGCCTCGGCAAACATCATGGAGACATCAATGCACTGAGAATAGAAAGAGAATTCGTTGTAGAAAGATTGTTGAAACATTGTAGTAAAGTTGGTGAACTTTTACAGAACTAAACAATTGTACAAGTAACGATTTTTAAGCAACTATTTCAATCTCGTATACATTTGTTGAACGATTGTGTAGAGATTGGTAATATTTTATTGCAAAGATTCAAAAATTATTTAAAGATTGTTGGATTATTGTTGATTTAGAGAGCTTATAAAACAATTGGGGAAAGAATCGGCACTAAGCAGCCTCCAAATCGTGCAAAGTACCAAACAAAATTCACATTTCTATATTAATCTCCTAGTTTTACTAACTCCTAATAATATCTCACCTGAATCTTGGGGCAATCCCGCATATGTCCATCCTGTGGTATGGTATTGGTCACCACCACAGCCTCGAAACAAGCATTATTAATCCGCGAAATCGCGGGACCCGAGAAAATGCCATGCGTCAGAATGGCATACACCTAAACAAACAAAGATAAACAAATTAAATATATGGAAAATAAAACCAAGTAAAAAGAAAACCCACCTTGGTGGCACCAGCCTCCACAAGGCGATCGGCAGCATGAACAATGGTGCCGCATGTATCGGCCATATCATCGACCAGAATGGCAATCTTGTCCTTGACATCACCGACCAGGACCATGGATGCAACCTCATTGGCCTTCTTGCGCTCCTTGTGTATCAGGGCGAACTCCACATTCAGGCGATCGGCAATCGAGGTGACACTGAAAGAAAGTTAAAGATTAATACATGGACATGAAGGACCCAGTGATGCAAACTTACCGCTTGGCACCGCCAGCATCGGGCGACACAATGATCGAGTTCTTCCACTCGGGAATGTTCTCCTTGATCCACTTGAGTACCGCTGGCTCCGCATAGAGATTATCAACTGGTATATCGAAGAAGCCCTGGAAATAAATGTCAATTTACGGTTAATTCCAACTTAATGTCACAAAGCGCACATGTCAGAGATTTATTATTCATCTGAATCTTGACCTATACAGTTTAGACCTTAAAATAAATTTAATTTTCCAAAAGTAAACCAGAGAAGGTAAAATCCCAAAAACTAAAAAGAGAGATCATCATGCCCCAATACCATACGCGCACATTCAACTCGGAGGAGGAGCAGACCCTGGCTCAGTGGCTCAAGGAGCAGCGCATTGAACTAAATTTGCGCACAAGGCGTTTCTTCTCCGATGTGCTGCCAGTGGCCAAGATCGTTAAGCTATCCTATCCCCGAATGGTCGACCTGCACAACTATGCGCCCAAGAGCAGTATTCAGTTGAAGCTCAAGAACTGGGAGATTTTCGAAAGCAAGGTTCTTAAGAAGCTGAATATCTTCGTCCCGCATGCCCTTCTCGAGAAGCTGGCCCAGGCCGAGGCCGGAGCCATCGAGACTCTATTCTACGAACTGATCCCTGTGACCAAGGGTCGCCGCGGTCCCATGCCCAGTCCCATGCTTCACAATGATTCTGGATATATGAGATCTGGCAGGAACAAACCGCGGCTCTGCCGGAGCCGCACCGTCATTCGATCCCAGATTAGTTGTCCCTTGCCAATTGGAGATGATCTGCCCGCCGAAGTTCTTAAGCTGGATGTGGATACTATGGTAGATGGTAAAATGGAGAAGGTGGCCAAGAAACTGGTGGCCTATGAGGACTACAAGGAAACTGTTCGGGCCAGCATCGAGAAGGATAACTACATTAAAATGATTCATCAGAAGGTCGACTATCTGCAAAGCTTGATTGCCGTGAAGGATGAGCGCATATCGGACCTTATGGAACAGCTGGCCAAATTGTCGGTGAGCATTCTTGCCTCCCGTTCTGCCAATCTCTGCATTAACGATGACGATGATAATGATAGGATCAGTACAAATACCCATCTAACATTTTAAGGACGACAATGCCTAGCCGTGGAGAAGAAGGTTACGTCCCCGTTCATTTCAACAGGATCTGGCGACAGATCGCAGCCTAAAATGTTTAGTCCCAAGGCAGGATCTGCGCCGGGCTCACGTTCTTCGATTCTTCATACCCCAACATATTTCCACCTGACGACCACTTGTTATTGGATATCTCTAAAATGTATATTTTGTGTGTTCCTTTTGGCCTTATCCGACAAATACAAGAAAAGCTGACTTTTCTTTATCGCAAATGAGTCGCTGATGATAAATCAATTCACGCAATGTGATATGAAAAGCGCATTGAAAGGCTTTTCCGGCATAGATAATTGTGCAAAAGGTTTTACTGGGGGTTTCTTCATTTGAGTAATGAGTTTTTATTTCTGTACAATGTGTTTTTATTTTGGAATTCTATCTCTGCATTTTACTATTTTTAAAAGCAAATAACAGAAGCAGTTTGTTGCTGTTCGTGCTTTGCTTGCACATTGCAGGCAATGCCTAAAGCGATGCGTAATGCCAATGGTTTTATTACAGAAAATTGGATGTGTTTTGGTATTAGAATTCAATCAGTGACTTTTTAAAAAAGGGCTTTGTTGTTTCTGCTTTGCTTGCACATTGCAGGCGTAAAAGAGAAAGCAATATTTTTTGCATATACAAAAAGTATTTAAGGACCAGCAGCTTAATTAAAAAAGGCTCAGCTCTTTTTGTTCGCGCCTTGATTGCACATTGCAGGCAATGCGTGGAAGAGGAAATGAGAAAGGGATAAATGCTTGGGCATCTTTTGTAACCTTTTCAAATATCCTTCAAATAATTTATTTATCCCAAAGCCTCATCTTTAATTCTCTGCTCTTAAATAGACCCCGTAACTCTATACAATTCCCTTCTTCCCGCATTAATTCAAGTAAATACATTATAAATTTATAGAGCAAACACTTACCTGAATCTGTGAGGCATGCAGATCCATGGTTATGATGTGATCGGCTCCAGCCACGGACAGCATGTTGGCCACCAATTTGGCCGAGATGGGCGCACGACTCTGTGCATTGGCCAGCGTAGAAAGAGAGGCAAGGAAAAGTTAACATTAGCGCAACTAGTAGTTTATGTTTCTCTATCTATAATTCTTAGAGCTAAGCATTATTATGAGGAGTATAAACCATGGAAACCAAAATCGAACATGGACACACACAATATGTATAGAGACAGAAAAATCAACAAATAGGTTTAACGTTCCAATATAGAAGATTGCATATGAAGAGAGATAAGTAAATCCAGGACAGACACAGAAAGAGAGTCAGTGGCGACAACACAAAAGGACAATAATGATGGTTGGTGCAGAACCCCGAAAGAAAATTAGATGAAATTTACCCAAGATGATGGTGATGACGATGAAAGTGCAATAACACACGCCAGTTAAAGATATATAACAGATATATTGATCGATTAATACGCAAACAAGTGCAAAGAAAATGTAACAATTTTGCAATATTATTTTCCTTTTTTTCTTTTTTAATATTTTCTTGGTTTGGTTTGGAGTTTTTGTAGGGTTTTCGATCTGAACTGGGAACAGGGCATGCAAAACATCAGTGGAATATATTGTATGTTTGTGTATAGGTAAGGAAAGGAAAGGAAAATATCATCATCTGTTGTTTCAACTCAAAAGTAAGGAAAAAAGAAACACATTAACAAACGCAACAAAGCAAAAGGCTTAAGACAAAAATAATCTAAAGCAAAAATTCTTGTTTTTTTTCTATCCCGCAACAGCATTAAAGATAATGCCTGGGATATAGTAGAAACTAACGGACGACTACTCACAGTATATTGTTTGGCTGAAAACTCCTAAGTTCAACAGAATTCAAATTTTATTTTATTTTTTGGGTATTTTTCGTTTGTTTGTATTTTGATGCGATAGAGAGACAAATAGTATAAAAAGAAAAAGAAGAAAACACAAAAAGTTCAGAATAATTGAGATTTGTGTGTGTAACCAAAATAGTTTAAATTTAAAATTAAAATTAAATCAAGTGGGGAAAAAGGGGTGGGTGTACAAGAGGGATTACATTTAATTAACAAAAAGACTTAATCCGTATTTCAAAAAATCAAATAAGGTTGCAGTGCCAATTCAAAAGGTATTTGTGTATTCATAAATATATATTAATTTTCATTCCATTGATTGGCTTGAATGTCAAGAAACTCATTTGCAGTTCAGATTAACTCGTACATAGTATAGTCTATCAGTTACAGAAATGAAAAATATTTGTGCATTTTTGTGCTTAACCTCCAGGGTTCATCGTCTACCCCCAATCAACATACATTGACTGACGCGATCCGATCCCATTCGACGATCGTCTGACGTCAAAAAATGGATTATCTACCCAAGGAAAACTTAATCAACCCAAGAGAAAAACATATTTCGAGGAGGCTGGTGTGTTGTCAGGGACCGATAAGACGAAACGTAACAAAAAGTGCAAGATCACAACAATCTATACAAGACAATAAAAAGAAGGAAATGAAAACGAAACAAACAAACAGCAGTCGAGACAACACAAACAATAATATATTTATTAGAGGTCAATTATTAAATAAATATATAGTTTACTTATTTAAACTATACACATCAGGTGTTCTGCCAGAAATTGCTAATGAATTTAAAATATTTATAAGAAGTTTGTATAGCATATTTGAGCCACAATTTTAATTGTTTTAAACTCCTTAGCAATTTCTCTGGCACCCCTGACATGTATCCTTTTTTTGTTTGCACACGAAACAAAAGCCAAAACAACAAAATGTGGAAAATTTTAATATTTGTTATTAATTTTGCCAATCATTTGGGGATATTTTCACAGATTTAACCAGGGTTTTAATTTAGAGTTTAGGGAAAGGATATGGGAATAGTTATAAAGGGATTTTAGGTACAAGGACATGCAAAAAAGGATAGACAAAAAGCGATTTTTCTCTAGAAAAACTTGTTAAGCCAAAGAGACGCCGCTAAAAATTCCTTGTCGTGAGTTTATGAGATTTCTGAGGATGAGATTTTATTTGCCATTTTTGATTCTGATATTATTATTAAGTCCCCTGTTCCAGATTTGTTCATAGTGTTTCGATATATATATTTTTTGGTTGGTTGAAAGAAAATTAATAAGAGAGTTTATACCACGTTAGAGATTTATGGAAACATATAAAGTTTGTGAGTTTATGCTGTTGTTGTTGTTTTTAGTGGTTAAAAGAAGAAGTAGTAGAAGAAGGTAAATACCCTAAATTTCCAATCGTAGTTTTTCTTGGCTAACTTCTTAGCTTCCTCATTATCATCACTGCCCGCCAACTTCAAGCCGGTAGAGAGAAAGAGATCGATACAGAGACGCCGAGAGAGAGAGAGATGGAGAGAGACAGAGAGAAATATACACACACACGGCGGGGAACGGAGATAGAGAGAGAGCGAGCGAGATAGCAGCAGGAGGGAGAGAGACAGCGAGCATGGCATAGGAGTAAAAAAATAAGTTAAGTTCTCTTAAATACTTAAAAGCAAGGATTAATTAATTAAAATAAAAAGAAATAACATTGCTCAGAATTTTCCACATTTTCCGATTTTCCGTGCTATACATATTTTTTTTCTGCAGCTTCGCTTTGCTTTAGCTTCGTTGCAAACAATTTATAAAAAAATAAAATTTCGAAAACAAATTGTAAAACTCGTAAACAAAATGCATTAGGAACACAGACACACATATATATTTATGTATATATAGAAAAAGAGGATAAATAGTATTATTATTATTATTTGGTTATACGGCAATTAACAATCGAGCTTAACATTTTTTGGGGGAAAAATCATTCGTGGGAAAAGTTTACGCGCTTTTCTTGTCTCGCACTTTTTCCCCAAAATTAGAAGAACAATAGTGTTGGTGTGTTGTTGTATTGTGGACTCTTATGTTGGAATAAGATCGGATTTAGAATTATTTGTATTATTTTCTTTGTTTTTCTTTTTACATTTTGCTTTTCTTTGCACGAGAAAAGGACGACCGCAAGGACGATCGAGAGTGTTGAGGCAAACCTACCTTATCTTTTTTGTCTTGGCGGGCATATGGAAAGCAAGGAATCACAGCTGTAACACGAGAGGCTGAGGCGATTTTGCACGCATTGATCATGATCAGCAGCTCCATCAAGTTATCGTTGATCTCGCCGGAGCCGGACTGCACGATGTACACATCCTCGCCGCGCACCGATTCCCCAATTTCCACACTGCAAAGACAGAGATATACATATACAACAGTTCAAAATCTGGCCAAGAATGCCAACAAAATTTGATTATGGTGTGGACATGTGTGGAATCATTAGAGCTTCAACTGAACTCTGAAATTGATTATTGAGATTGAGATTGTTTAAGAAAACCTAGAAATATTATCTCCCTAAACAGGCTTTGGTGTACTCAGTGTCAGGGTTTGGAAATTTCCATTGTTTAGCTCTGCCCCACATGTATCGCATGTCTTGTAAACACTTCTCAAGTTCACTAGAGCCTCAGTCTCAGGCTTATCCTTTTTCGTCTCTCAAATATCCCCCTTGAATTATTATTTATAAACGAAAGAGGAGACGACGCCCACAATTGTTGACCTTTGGCGACGACGACGACGCCCAAAAGAAACTGCAAGGCAATCTAATCGAAGCTTTGCTAATTCTCTAGCACATATGTATGTACATATATATACATATGATGTATATATACACATGGCCCACATGGCGTATGCGCTATATTTGCACTAACAACTGACGCCGACGTTGCCACGGTTATTATTTTGTTTACATTTTATTTTGTTTTGGTTTCAGCTCTGTCTCAAAGCTCGAATCTATGGGTATTTGATACCCTTGAAATGGAAACGTAAAATACCTAGTTTAATCAACAAATGGAAGATGGAAATTTACAAGAATACAATCCATAAACAGAGTCCAAGTAGAGTGAGCTTTGTTTTTGATACAATTAAGTATTAATAGAAACGAGTTTCTACCCTAACTAAGCCCTCTTTAAGCAATATAATCGCTTAACAAAGTCTAACCTATCTTATCAAAAGAATTAACCCAATAAAAATCTGCATCAAAAGCTGTTAAAAAAAAGTACACACCATAAAAGCAAACAAATTTTCACTCAATAAAGCAAAAAGAATAAGTGCCCAAAAAGAACAACTTCCCACTTAGTATTCATTTATTTTTGTTATTGTTTTCATTCTCATGGTTATATTGGCTTTTTGTTTTTTCCACCGATGAAGGTTAATTCAATTACATGCCACAACCCTCGACGGCTATCGATTGAACGAGCGACCTGTGTGGCCTACGCAGATCATGCCCAGTAATTAATTTGTCCAATATACCAGAGTTATCTCTGTCACAAACAAATTCATGGAGGTAATGCCTTTTGACGCCTGTCCCCAATCGCGTGACACGTTTCTGTAGTAGAGTCATAGTATAACCTAATTCTGCACACGCTTATCAAAATGAAAAAGTGAAGAAGTACAACAACAAATACAAATAAAATGCCAAAATTCTGTTGACCACCTAATTGAGGGGGTATTGATTGCTAAAGTTTCTTCTTTTTTACGTAGGCATATTTCTTATCTAGGGTTCGGTCAGGGAGACTTTTGATACACAGAAAGAAATAATGAGCTTAACAGTTGTTAATAATGTCTGCTTATTTAGATAAGTTTTAAATTGATTTTAGAATGCTTTAATAAATATTAATACCCAAAAAATATTAGCAATATTATTAATACAAAATAAATAAAATTATATTGTGAGCTACCAAACTGTTCAACCTAGAAAGTATTTTTCTTAATAACTAATATCTCATTTTTGAGTTGCTCTTGGGTAGTTATTTCCCTTAAAAACGTTATTTTTATAGACTATATTTACTAACATAGGTAAGATTAATTATCTAACTTTTAATATTTAGGTTTTAAAAGAAATTAAATTATAGGATGAAGTCGTAGATTATAAGTAAGTTTAAAATTGAAGCATTTTTTAAATTAATATTTAGAGATATTTTTGTATTAAAATTTTTTCGACAAATTAAAATTAGAATACCCTGCAAGGTATAAAAACCTTTATAAAAGAAATATCTTTGTTAAGTCTTAAGTTTAATATGGTTATTGATCCTTTCTTACTTCAAAAAAGAGATGTTTTTTTATTCCAAGTTTATCAATATAAGCAGTTCCTCAATGCCTCATTTCTTATCTAAGATCCCCGTGGAGGATCAGGAGATGTTTCAGTGACCGACTGCCAAATGCAGCGGTTTCATCAGCCTTGGCCGGATGCATTTTACCATTAAATTCGAAAAATTCTTAACAGATTGCTGAGGCTGCTCGAAAACACTTTCACCGTTCACCGCAGCCATGGCATTGTTAGCATGCCGGGAAATATTTTTGTAGGGGGGAAATGCAAAAGGGAAATGACGGGCAGCAGGAAAAATGGACATACATTCATACATACATGGGTAGGCAGTATGAGGGGCGTGTGTACGGCAGACTTGCGACAGTTGGCAATTGTCCAAAAATCCACCAGAAGCCACTGCTGGCAAACTGAGTAACAACAAAAAGCACACCGGTAGGGAGGAACAGAACACGGCACCAAATCTCCTCAGCAGCTGTTTCTTTGGCCGACCGTCAAATAGAATTTTTGTGCTTAAATTCATTTCGGTGTCTATTGTCTCTTTTTTTATACGTATTTTTATCTCTTTCCACAGTCTGAGTTCTGTCTGCTCATGTGATAATGTAAACTACACAAAAAAATAATACAGTCGAACTTCTCTAATTGAAATCACCAGTTTCACACATTTTTTGAGTGTGTTTTGGTGTTTGATCAGAACATTCTTTTTACACTTTTATATTTCTGTTATGATTGTAGAATACTACGACTTTAATACTATCTAATAAGCGGTTATTACTGGGTTAATCGAAAAAGATTAAATATTAGTTCTAATTCATGTTAAACGTGTTACAGAGGAACCTTAAGTTCTGTTATGATTTGTATATAGCTTTTGATTTTATTTAAAAGAAAGGAAGTGTGTCTTTACACTTTCTTTATGAAGAAAAGATTTAAACCTTAAACCAAATGAACTCAAAAGTATGCAATGATACATAAAAGCTGTCAGTTCGCTCTATATTTATCTAAAATCAATTTATAAAATTTGTTTACATTTTTTTTAGGCCCCATAAATTAATTTCTCATTGTGTATCTAAAATGTAGTTATTTCGATTTTTTTAAGATTTAAAGTGTTTAATCAATAAATAAAGTTTAGGAGTAGCATTATTTCAAACTATTTTCTTAAGAAAACCTAAATAATTGCCCATTCATCGAATATACACTTTAAACTGATATTTTTTATCAGTAAAAACTACTTTGTAGGGATTTTAAAGCAATTAAAATTGTGGAAATATGAAAACTATAGGCTGTTGCCAAACGCCTATTTCTGTCTTGCTGTCTCCCTTTAGTAGACTTATCTCCGTCTGGCGGAATCTAAATCGCTTTCGCTTAGTTTTGCCTGGTTTCTTGTTGATTTATGCCTCCCCTTATCACTCCCGAAACTCGCTGATACCCAGCGACCTCACAAGACAAACACGCAAATTTCTTATCGATCAAACTTTAGAGTCAAGTCGCGCGCAAAGGAAAAATTGCTTTGTAATTGACATTTGTGAATAATAGTGGGTGGTTTGTGGGGGGTGCGGAAAACAGTTTAGAATTGCGTGTGGAAAAACCTTCGAATTGGAAAACCACTTTGGGTTTATTGAAATTATGATGCCACATTGCCATTGAATTTCAAATTGGACCTTGGCCAAAAGGTTCTTCTGTGGCTTTTCTTGGGGGTTGATATACCTTTTTATGACCTTTATACTCATTGGATCACGCGAAAAGTTGTAAGAGATAGTTACATTTATGATCTAATTGATAAATGCCTGGCTTAAGAGATAATAATCACATTAATATTAAAAAAAAAGATAAGGACAAAAAATAATATTATTAAGGTTGCTTTTTTAGAAGTGGTTTTAAAGCCTAAATATTAAATGAGTTCAGTATTTTAGGGAAATTACAAGACCTGTTTTAAAGTGTGTTTTATTTCTATTTTTAGTGACTATTCCATTTTAAAGTGACTTACATATATATCAACACTGCACTAAATGAATAAATATTTCAAACAAAAAATGTAAAATAAAAAAATATTATATGTTCAACTCAACACCCTCACGTTTGACCCAAATAATTTATACTAATACTATAATTTCTTTCAATTCGGTTCTCTCATTCTCTCTTCTTTGTTATGCTCTTATCTTCCATTATCATTCCAATGCAAAAAACAAATTTGGGTGTCAGTCTTAATATCAAGGCGGCCTTTATTCGCTTAAATTTAATGATGTCATCATCTCGGGCGCCCTTCAATTGACTAATAATCTCGACAACTTTAGAACTTGATCTCTAGCCCTAGACGCAAAACGAGCAATAACAACAACAATATCATTATCATTGCTGGCGTCGCGATGCTATTATCAACGAATGCAATCAAGAAGACAAAGTGGGGGGTGGGGTGTGGGGGGAAATAAAAGCAAAAGGTTGAACCGTTACACCAGCAATACAAAAAACAACAATAACAACCGTAACAACAACAAACACCTACAGTAAATTGGAGCAAAAAGAGCGCACTGACTTAACTGTCAATATGATGTTTTCGAGAGCATGTCCGAGAGACAACAAAAACAAAGCCGACAAGTGCGAAAAGCACAATTGCAGCAACAACATCAACAGAGAAGCAACAACCACTATGCACACGTGGGGGTCTGACAGAGTGAGAGAGAGCAGTATCCAAAGAGAGCACCTATACACAACAATACATATGCGGGGGCGTCGACGTCGCAGTCGCAGTCGGCGTAGCAACGTCTGCCGACTCTTGACTTGACACCAAAAGAGAGCATGTCCACTCTCAGTCAGCAAACGAAAAACGTGACAGAGTCGTGTTGTGGTTCTCTACTCGCAGACAGTTAATACCCTGTAATAAGTGGACACGCTGCTTGTTTTCTTGAACATAATTTTAGAAGATCACCGATTTATAGATTACTTATTAGCGTAATATGTAAGATTAAATGATGTCTTGTCAAACCGTGTCATTTCGGTAGAAGTATTCAATAAATTAATTAATATTATTCCTTTATCAAACTCAAAATGTAATTGTACTTCCCCTAGCACAAGATTATAAGAAATTTGCAGGGTATCTCAAGCTCCTATCAGCACCTATGCCAAAGACCTCTTGTTCTTTCCGGTGTGCCGTACCTTGGTGTTCGTGCGAGTGAGTGCGAGCATAACAAAAACACGCACTCACACCGCCGCAGCGCGTATCATGTCAAAAAGCTTAGCGCGTATTATAACCTCTATTTTCGTTTCGGTTTCCTCCTTTTGCCTCATTTCTTTTCCATTTTCTCGCTTCTAACTGTTTGCTATTCTGGTTTTTGTTTAATTTTTATTTTACAAAAAATATCCCCTAGGAGATAAGGCAGAAAACTGGAAAAAGCGAGGCGCCTTTATTTATTATTTGTTGTTGTTGCATCAGCAGCTGACTGGCGGAGCTTGCGCGTATGTGTGCGTGAAGGGCGAGAGAGATAGCGAAAGAGAGAGGGAAGCAAAAAGCGTGCAAGCCGCAAGTCTAGACATACACACACACATCAACACAATTGCTTCGTACACAGCTGCTAATTTAATTAAAAATATAAAATTAAAATTTACGTATTTTTCCCTATTTGTCGCTACCCTTTTAGATTTAGTTTTTTATTTAAATTTGGCGAAAATTGCACGCGACATTGGCAATGTTGCCAGAGCTTAGTGTGTGTGTGTGTGTGTGTGTCTGCGGTGTGTGAGAGGCACACATATACCAGCAGCTGAAACGCACACATACACACACACGGCAACAGCGACAACGACAAAGACGGTGTACAGTCCACTTGTTAAATCAATAAAAATAAAAAGAAATCAAGCAAAAGCGGCAGCCACAAATTTTTGGGAAAATCACTTGGTTTTCCTTATAGTTGAATTTGAAATTGGTTCACACTTGGCGCGCTTAATTGGGGACACCGAGAAGTACAACCTTCAGCGAATGTCAAGGACCTTTGGCACATGTGTTTGGCTCCCAAAAAATTAAATGTTTTCGAAACTTTCCACACACACACGAGGGATTTTTCACTTGTAACACTTGTTGATGTTCTTTTTTGGCTTTAGATTTTTCAGTGATTTTCCACACTACTTACCAGGTCTCCAAATTGCTAAACTTCTTGGTCACCACCTTGCCGAGATCGATTCCCAGGCGATCGACAATCCGCTGGGCGAGATCCGGATGCGAGGTGCCCGAAAACACTTTGATGTTCGGCATTCTGGAGTGGATTAAATTTAGACAACCAGCCTGTTTCTCCAAATTGTCTCGGATCAAACTTCTAGCGCGTATCGGATTAGCAGAGCGAACTGGCATCACACAATCTACGAGTAGAAGTTTTTATTATAAACTTTTTTTGTGCAAAACGCGGGCAGCGACGTCGCCGCCTTATCGGTGTGCTGGGCGCCGGAGAGAGAGAGCGCGCATTTGTATGGGATGTAGCTCTCTTACAGCTTATTTTCGTGCTCTTTGTAGCGTTCGGCATTCATTCATACAAACGCCTGCGTCGGCAGAGCGAAAGCTTCGCGCTGGTTTAAGATGTGTGAGTGTGGGTCCCTTTTTCAGCGCTCTCTCTTTCCCAAAGCCACCCCCATAGCCATGTGATTTTCGGCGTCTTCTCGCTCTCTTCGATTCCCTATAGAACTGGAAAAGTTATCGATGTCGATTGCTGTTATTTGAATCGGTTCGATAGGTAACATATATTATATATATTTTTAAAACGCACTAAAAAGTGTTCAAAAGGGTGTTTTTCCGTTAATTTATAAGGGAATATAAAATAAAATAAAATAGCAAAAGTATTTAGTTTTTCTAGAGTACGTCTAAAAATTATCACAGCTATAAAATTTTTTGAATCAAATTAAAATCATTTTAACAGGCGTCCTAAGGTATACTTCAAATTATAACACCATACAAAAAAGTTCAAATGGTCTTATATTTATGAAAAAATAAAGGTAAAATAATAAATGTTTCGGCTCTAACCTTTTACTAAAATTTTTAGTTCTAATTAGTCTAATCCTATTTACGAAAAGTCTTGGTGTGAGATTTGAAGAAGATTTCCAACAGATTTAGCTAATTTTGAGCATAAAAAATATGCTGGCATGCCAACAGGCGCGCGCTAAGTGAAAGCTTTTTTTCCGCTTGTCAAACAGCTGTTCCTACAGATTTCCCCAAGTTGACCATGAAAACACACACACACATGACGGACTCAAAAAAAGAAATTAAAAGGGTCTCAAGGACACAGGTACGCACCATTCTGCTCGGAGTTTTCGGAGCAGTTCTTATCGGGCATTATTTAAAATGTCCCACAAGTACCGAGATCGTTTCTTTTTAGCGACTCAAAAAGCAGCGTTCGAACAACACACTCCCTCACAGCTGTTTTGTCTGACTTTGGACTAAAAAAGTGCACTGTTTTTAGCAACAATTTTAGCTGATTAGCGGATTTAGCAGAGCGCCGCATCTGGCGAAATTGAGCGAGCTAATGGAACTGAGCGCCGTACAACATGGCGTATGCGTCCATCACACATACGCACTGTGAGCACACATACTCTTACTCTGTCTTGAGAGAAAAAGAGAGTGAGCGAACGTAGCAGGATGATGCGCAGTTCTGCTGCCAAAGAAAAGCTTTCGGGATGCCACAGCAACAGTACCTTCTCTTTCGCTCTCAATCAGCTGTTCATTGCAATGCGAGTATACGTGAACCGATAATTTGTATTCATCATTGTCATTTTTTATTTATTTTGAAAACCCAATAATTACACCATAAAAAAAAATTCTGGGAAATATGAAATGGACAAAAAAGATGTATCTTTTTTCCTTGTCTACAAAATTGGTCAAGGTTGAATCTGTAGTGTAAACATCTGTAGGGTGCTTTATCTTGTATTTATTAAAGATAATAAATACACTTGGATATTAAAATTCAAAGATACATACATACATATATGATATAAATTTATTTTTAGAGTAGCTAGATACACTATTTACCCTAGTTTTTTCTTTTTTTTTATAAAACTTTCCATTTCCCCTTTTTATTTCAAAATGAACAAAAGTGACATTTTTTCCGGTGTATTTTTGCCTTTTGATTTTAGCGTTTGTATTTCATTGTTGCCCTTCAGGGTTTTAAAAATAGCAATGTTTGCATTGATCTTTAAAAATATTGTATTTTTCTAAATGCGTAGAAAGAACTGTACTTTACCTCAAATGGGGGCTCGCCTTGTTTTTTTGTTTTCTTGCCGGCGTTGCTTTGTTTTTGTTTTGTACTTGTACAACTGTACCTATGGGATGCTGAACGGGGGCAAAAATACAAAATAAAAAGCCAAGGCAGAATAACACCGGAGAAATGCCAAAGCACTGCGATTTGTTAAATTGTTTTTCTAGTCTAAATATAAATGAACTAAAGCTAAATGCTGACGTGCTCTTCTCCGTGTTTTATCCCTAAAACTGACGCAAATGGCGTTGCATATAAATATAATGGAAGCGTGGCGTTGGAAGACGGAAGAGGGGGAGTGTCGCGGAAACCACGTGCCGCGTGCGAACGAGGCAAAAACAAAGCCACTCACACACAAAAACATACTCTACTTACTTGAAACATGTGCAGTAGAACTGTGTCGCAATTTTAGTTAAATGTTTAACAACAAAAGGAAGGTACTTTGAACACGTTTTTGGATTAAAACACTGACAGTTGTATTTCTATGCAGCCGCTAGTCCGAAAATGCAAAAGTTGAATGAATCAGACTGTTGGTGAAGTTGTGAAGTAAGCTTGGGAAAGAGAGCGATGGGAGAACGGCATCCGATAGAACGAAGAGAAAAAAGAGCATGAGTAAGCGGCGAGTGAGAGCATCCGGCATCATTATGTTGTTGTATCGGTCACTCGTGCTGGGGCGAAAGAGTGCCGCAAAAGGAAAACACAAACACGTGTGCCCAATAAACAAAAGAGAGCCATTATTTGCTTAAGCGATATACTTCAAAATACGCTTCAACTGTTTGCTGGGTTTACTTTTCGTTATCCAAAAATTGTTGTTGTGTTGGCTCAGAAACTTCCACACGCTTTTGCAGACACGTTTTTTTGCGTTTGCCGAGCGCCATTTATGCTGTGCGAAACGTGAATTTGGGCACTAAAAGAGAATGGGCTTAATGATCGAAGATCATATGGACATGGAGATGCCCTGTGATTTGAATTTATATTTGTATTTGTATTTTAATATTGAATTGTAATATATACAATTCGATTTTTGAGCTGCACAATAAATCTATGAATGTTGTTAAGTATTGTATTTTATTTGAAATCTTATTAACAGGTTAAATATTTTATAATATTTAAATATATATATAATATAATATTATAATATTTTATTATAATTATTATAATATTTTATAATTTATTAACTGGTCAAATATTTTAATAATAAATCGAGTTTTAATACAAAGCTTTTTGTTTAACTTGGAGTTGAATTAAATCAAAGAAGTTACAGGGGAATTTAAGAATCGGATATAAAAAAATCCGATATGCTTGTTACACCCCCGGATATACCCTAGATTCCGTCATTGCCCATTATAAACACGAGATCGCCTATGCCGCATAATTAATGGTTTTCTATTATTTGGCGGACTGCTGTTGCCAAGAGAGGCCTAAAACACGCCTTAGAAGAAATAAACTTCTTGTTTTTTTTCTATTTTGGATTACGAAACTAGTTTCGAATTTCCGACCGCAAACAAGGCAGGTGAGTGCGTAATAGAACCATATTACTGAGGTCAAAAATAGCTTGGATTTTGTGCTCAAGATCAGAGACGCAGTGGAAAATAACCTTAGCTTTGCGCCAATGAAAAGCTGCGGCCAAGATAGCGATGGTATATGGGTTCTATTGCTCTCATTTTAAAACAAGTTTGTATCATAATGAATGATTTGACTAGGTTTTTAGGCCATCAAGATTTACAGCTTCATCATTATTATATTTTAAAGGATTTGAAAAGTTCTTAGAGGGAATTTATTTAAAATTTATTTGGGATATATCTCTATGGACCCAGTAAGTAACAATATAACTGTCAATTTTAATTGGAAATAATAAGGGTTCTGTATAAACCATTAATTATTTCAGGCATCCCATTAATTATTTAATCATTATCAAGTCAAAGTGCGATGAATCCCGCCCACTCTACGATCCCTTTGGGTTTTAATTTAGCTCCTCCGATAAGTGTTGGAGCTGGACAATCCCCTTCCCCTCAGGTGGTTCAAGTGCCTCAGCCCCAAATATCTGGGATGGGATACCCCTTAATGGCACCACCAAACCTCGTACCGCCGAAGCTACCGATCATTACCCAACCCGGAGTGGGAACTTCAATGGGCGGAATCGAGGGAGACTGGAAGAGTATACCCTCCGGAATACCGAACTGTCCACGGGGACTGGAGTACCTAACGGCTGTTGACCAGCTGCTGGTCAAGCAGAAAGTCGAGCTGATAGAGGCCTTCACCGGACTGGAGGGCAACAACAGGTACTCCGTGAAGAATGCACTGGGTCAGAAGGTGTTTCTCGCTGTGGAGGACACCAGTTGCTGTACCCGTAACTGTTTCGGAGCCGATCGACCCTTCAAAATGAAGTTGTACGAGGCCCATAGCAAGGAAGAGGTGCTCCAATTGCAACGACCTGTAGCCTGCTCTTGTTGTCTCTTCTGCTGCTGCCTGGACAGGATAGAGATCTCTGATCCGCAGGGCAATGTAATTGGCAGCATTAAGGAAAGGTGCACAATTTGGAAGCCATCGTTCCGTATCCTTGACCAAAACGGTGACCTTGCCTTGCGTATTGAAGGACCCTTTTGGACTTGCTCAGTTTGCGGAAATATCGAGTTTCAAGTAAATTTTACAATTTTTACTGATTTTAAAAATAACTTTATAATTTTTGTTGACCAGGTTGTGTCTCTAACCGGCGAAAATATTGGAAAAATCAGCAAACAGTGGTCGGGATTGGCACGTGAAGTTTATACGAAGGCAGATAATTTTGGGATTAGCTTTCCCCTGGACTTGGATGTGCGCCTTAAGGCGATTTTATTAGGCGCCACATTTCTCATTGATTTTATGTTTTATGAAAATTCAAGAGATGGTGTGCTTGCCTGTGGCGAATGCATATGCAAATCCATTTGCGACGCCATGTAATTCATTTTTAATTGTTAGAACAGTTTTTTAATGTGATATTTGTTTATGCAGCGAGGCCTGTATTTTTTATGCTTTTTGTAAGTGAAACGCGATTGTAGATGTACTCCGTTTTAATCAAAAATAAGATCATTTTGTATTCTTGTTAATGGATTTAATTGTTGAATAAATGTGAATGTGAATGAATGTTTTCCAAATCAATACAAAAATATTCGTTTAAATATGGTTTGAGTCTAAGATAAAGCTAACGGGCAACTAAAGTTTATTTGCTTTCGATATCATTATCGATAGCTGCTGTTTCAAATTATAGAACAGCTGATTTTTGTTTTTATTTTGTTACGTCGCTTTAAAAGCGGTCTCATTTCAAAAGAATAAACCTTTTTGTGCCTTTACAAAGGTTATGGAAACAAAAGAACCCATGGCGATGCGGTCTCTACTTGTAATAAAGCGTCAATTAGCCAACAACTAACCGCAAATTGGAGAATTGGAGACTTCGACAAGTTTTGACAACATCGATATATCGGTTTTTGAATATCGATAGTGACATCGTTGTTTTTACAGCTCTAGCTTAAATAATAAAAGCAAATAAACTAGGAATATTGAGGCGCTTCGCTTTTGTATTTATGTTGTGTTCTGATCGAGTTCGTTGATTCGATCCGTTAACCCCAAGCCGATCTCCAGCGGAGGACTCGACCTTGGAGGCCACTAGCCGGGCGTAATTTACGCAACGAGAGCCACACAAAATTCGCGATATTGCACACAACAGCAACAACAAAAACACTGGCGGTGGAGTGAAGAGTGGCAGGCAGAGAGGAGAACCAAGAACAGAACTGGGAGAAAGGGAGAACCGAGAACGGCGGAGAGAAAGGAGAACGGCAGCGAATAGAAGAGGGAGACACATAAACGCGAAAAGACCAACAGAAGCATCATGGCGAATATGGCAGTGTCGCGAATCAAGCGGGAGTTCAAGGAGGTGATGCGCAGCGAGGAGGTGAGTATTTGGAGGACACCCCGTGCGGGCACCAGCCCGCACCCCCCTCCTACCTCTGCCCAGACTTACCCGCATCGCAAACATCGCCAGCAGCTGCCTTCTCGGGGTCCACGGACTTTGCATCCATTTTTGGCGCGCTTCTCGATCCGTGCTTTTGGTCGTGGTTGTGTGAACAGGGGAATGGGCTGGGGAACAATGACTTGTTTGTTACAACTGTGTTTTATTTATTTCCTCGTTTTCCCTGTTGACAGATCGTCCAGTGTTCCATCAAAATCGAACTGGTCAATGATAGTTGGACGGAGCTGCGCGGCGAGATTGCCGGTCCACCGGACACACCCTACGAGGGCGGCAAGTTTATCTTAGAGATCAAAGTGCCCGAGACATATCCCTTCAATCCGCCAAAGGTGAGAGATCTTGCTCCTTAAATATTAGCCGGGATAAGATATTTTCGCTTTAAAAATAAAATTAAAAATTAAAATAAGTTTTAAACTTGAAACTTATTCTTAAAATTAGATAAATAAGCTTTCGTAACCCGATTGTTATGAGTTTTTGTGTCCAAATCAAGTTAATCTCTTAAAAAATAGTTTGAATTTCTGGTTAAACTCAGGTTAAAGCTTTATAGATTGAAAATAAGTTAAGAATACTTTTAATAATACTTAACACTTAAAAAAAAGGTAACATTGCATTTCGCTTCGTTGGTACTATTTGTTGTTTTTACATTAATTAACTACAATTATTTTAAACTTTACAGGTCCGATTTATAACACGCATCTGGCATCCGAATATTTCATCGGTTACGGGCGCTATTTGCCTAGACATTCTTAAGGACAATTGGGCTGCAGCGATGACACTGCGCACGGTGCTATTGTCCCTGCAGGCACTGTTGGCCGCCGCCGAGCCCGATGATCCGCAGGATGCCGTGGTCGCGTATCAGTTCAAGGACAAGTATGATCTTTTCCTACTGACCGCCAAGCATTGGACGAACGCATATGCAGGCGGTCCGCACACCTTTCCCGATTGTGATTCAAAGATTCAACGCCTCAAGGACATGGGCATCGATGAGCACGATGCGCGCGCTGTCCTTTCGAAGGAGAACTGGAATCTAGAGAAAGCAACAGAGTGCCTGTTTAGTTAGCTTGCTTGCTCCCAGCCTCGCCTGGCACCAGTACCACCATCAACACCAGTAACTTCAACGACGACAACTCTTCAGATCGGCGATTCCCCTCCACTAAATTCTTGTACATCCAGCGGCAGCGGTGGCGGCGGCGACTGTTACAGCAAACAAGCAATCACTACAATCAGCTAAATCTGTCATTTAAATTTTTGCATAATGCCTAACACGCGGTAGTCTAAGAGTAAGGCTAAGTCCAAACACCCCTACATAACACCAACTCCTGAAAACAAAATCATAATTGTAAATTGTTGTTTTGGTTTACGAAATTGCACTTGGCTCTTGTAATTTACGTACTCCTAGTTTCCGTTCCTTATTTAATTATTATTATTTTATTTCTTACATTGTCCGCACTTTGCCAGAGGTTGAGCCTAAGGCAAACGCGCCACTACTTCAAACATGCGCCATGCAATTGGACCCAGGGTTCCGTTTCAGTCGCATTTACTTGCATCAAGCTGCTCCATCTTTTCTAAATGATGGTACATTTATTATTCTCTACCAAATTTTTATGAATGCCACAAAACTAAAATGATTAAAATAAAAAACAAAAAATTAATTGTGAAAATGTGTGAAATGTCTAACAAACAAATTAAAGTCTCTGTAAATTGCGTTAAGTTAAAAAATAAATAAATAAACGAATATTAAGAAAAGTTATTTACATTTATTAGCGGAACATAGAAAGAAATTTCTTTTAAAACATTAAATCAACATTATATGTAATTTGTTTTATAAAACAAAAAGAAAATTAAAATTTTTATAAAGAATAATTTCATTTAAAGATCAACATACTGAAAATTATATAGCGTTTTATATCATATCGAAAATATCGTAGTATAGATTCGTATCGAATTTTAAAATATCGATTTTTCAAAGTTAAAAACTACATTTTTATTTAAGGGATGACTATATATATTTTTTTTATATTTTGCTAATTTTTCAATTGGATTATAATTTTTATATATTTTTGCTAGACAGTTTGATGTATATTTTCTGTTATTTTATAATTTGCGCTAAAATTTCACTAAATATCTGGTCTACATAAATTTCTACTTGTGCTTTTGCTTGGACATGACCGAAACGGTAGATCCACCCGCTGTAATGGCCGATGGGCCCAAGCAGGTGCTGCTGTTTTGGGGCATTGAGCCCATCCCGGCAACGGCACTAGACCCGCCAATGTTGTGATGACTATTGTGGCGCTGCTTAAGCATCTCCTTCCACTCGGACTCCAGGCGCACATAGACACCGCCCAGGGGCTGGGCATTTTGCACCAAACACTGATCCGTACCGGTCTTTTTGGTCACATAACTGGCCACCTGTTTCATGATCTTCTCCTCGAAGTCGCGCTGATGATCCTGATTGCTGCGGGCCGAGAGCTCACCGGACCAAAAGCGACCCGATACATCGGTGGGACTAGGATAGAAGGATATAGAAGGAATCTTTAGTTTTGAATTTTCCGACCTTACCGCTTTCGTGACTTCTTGCCACGCGTCTTCCGAGGTGGCGGCGCACGGTGCTCCGACTCGCACCCATCGCTGCTGGAGCTATAATCCTCATCGTCATCGCGTACATTGCGCACTCGTGGACGCTGGCATCGGGCATCTTCCTCGCTGGTGGACGTCGTCTCAGAGTCGGTGCTGGTGTCTAATTGATAGCGCGATCCCCTCATCCGACGGCTCACCCGATGATTGGTCACTTGGGAGCAGATTAGAAACAAAATTCTCATGGTTGGACTTACACTTACCTCGTTTTAGAACACTGTCCATGCAGAGTTGCGGCAGGAGGCCTTGGCGGCACCTTTGCGGCGTCAGGGAAATGCCCTGCCAGCTGGGACTGATCTCACCAGCAGCTGCCAGCTCCTGGATCCTAAGCGGCGGCAGCTCACACAGGGCATAGTTCTCGCCCACCAACTGGGCAATGGCCAAAATGGCACGCTCACGATCGGTCTCCACAAGGACACTGTGCTCCCGGAACTGGCAGCCCTTGAAAATGGAGGAAAAAATCATTTTAAACTAAAAGAGAATTAAAACAAATCCTCATTTAATACAAACATTTGGCCCTGGCAGGGTTTCATAGCGAAAGGCTTGCTGGCCGCAGCAGGAATAACGTCCAGCTGGTCCGGCGGCGCCAACGGGACCCAGGAAGTTCGGCGATTCCGGATGGAAGCGGCACCAGTGCATCTGATAAACCGGAAAGTGGGCCTCGCAAGTGCAGCAGTAGAGATAATGGCAGTGACCCCAGAGCTTCCAGTACACCTTCCGCCATGACTTGAGCTCCTTGAAGAGCTGCACAATGTAGGCATTGAGATCCCAATTGGTGTCCCGTATATGGTAACTCATTAGCTGGCCCCAACGGTTGAGCCGAATGTTGCTGGGCACACAGCTTACGTAGGACTTCATCGTGTTGGTCACACAGTTGAAGCAACGCGAGCATCGAAACAAGCCGGACATGCTATAGAAATGTCCACGCAGTGCCTCCGGATCCGGTTCGCAGAGCGATTGTATTAGTTTCGTCCATAGGCGCGGTGTCACCCGCTCCTTTTTGTCCCTTACCATCTCCAGTTCCAGATTGGTGAACATGGCCGCCAGCCGGGTGACCAGGGCATCGTTCAAACACGATAGATTCGTCGAGGTGCGCACCACTTCGCTGAGATGGGCATGACAGAAGGCCAGACACTCGAGCAGCAATGGCTCCATCTGCAGGAAACTGGCCGATACCAAGATGGGCACCACATTATTGCCATCCAACTGGGGACCGCTGCTCTGGCCGGACACTGGCAGATCTTGGCTCTGGGCACTGTGTTTGATCCACTTCATTAGCCAGTCGAAGATGAGAATGTCACAGTGCACGGATATATCCATCTCCTCCAGCCTCTGGCCAGCTGTCACGTCCGCAAAGTAACCCATTTTGGTTACCAGCAAATGCTGCGGACAGGTGAAGTCTTTGGAGGTGTTCTTCACCTCGTCGCAGACGTGGATAACCACCTCGGGTCTGTTAAATATAAAATATATAGGAATAAAAGAGATAGATCCTAGTTTTAGGACTCCCAGATGCATGTACTTACTCCTTTTTCTCCTGCCTGGCATGCTTGCTGTCCTTCACCAGCAACAGGGACTTCCTTCTGCCGCCATTTGTGGCCCCCGGTTTGGGTATCGGTTCCTTGACCATAGCACGCACCATGCTATTGGTAATCTGATCCTGGTGCACCGAGTCTCCGCCTGCGCCCTGAGCCTGGTGCAGGCAAGGAACCGAAGCTGAAGGTGCTGGCAGTCCTCCATGCGAATGGCCTAGCTCCATCATGGACTTCGAGTTGCCAGGAGCAGCCGGCTGAATGGGAGCAGATGATGTGGGCATGGGAGTGGGCCCAGGCAGGAGCTGCTGTGCCGGCGCCTTGTTCGGCTTATTCTTGCCACTCTGGAGTGGCGGTGGTATGGGAACAGGACATATAAAGGATAGAACAGAGTCCAGGACGCCCTCGTTGATCACCGAATCCAGTTGCTCGCCCAGCTTGGGATGCAGGCCGCGGTACGTGGACTCCGGACGAGAGCGCGAATTGGTATGGCTGTGCCCCGAACGCAACAAGCTGGTTTTCGACTCCGGCAGCAGGGAGGCGGCGGCGGCGGCAGTAGCGGAGGAGCGAGTGTCGTCTGTGCGACTGCTGGAGCGGCGGGACGGGCGTCGCAGTCCCAGCAGCGCGTTGACCAGCGGGTAGTCCGCCAACAGATCAAAGTCGAAATCTTCTTTTTTGGAATTTCGCTTGGCTGTGGCCCCAGCACCAGCACCGCCCTCCATCGGCGGCACTGGCTCCCTGGTGTGTTGTGGCTTTCCCATGTCAGCCTTTGCTATCATATCGTTGACATGACAGGAGAGCTTTAGAAACTCCAGAAACTCGTTCAAACTGATTTGAAACTCGGCGCCACTGCCGCCGCCGCCTGACTCAATCGATTTCTGCGTTGTCGCTGCTTGACTGGCGGCTGGTGGTGGCTCCTCTGGCTGGCCAGCGGCGCCTGCCTCTTCGGAGCCCGATTTTTGCATCCTTTCCGCGGCACAAATCGATGGGAATTGGACATTATTGATTGATTTCTCGGTTGCTCATAACAACACAATGCAACTACAAAAACAAATGCATCTAGTGGTGGAAAAAGTGGACGTAACGGAAACGATACAAAAATGTTGTGTTATCGAAAGGCTATCGGGTTTTAAATGGCAGCATTGATTAGGGCTGTCAAATAATTTTTAAATATCGATTACATATTCTTATTGGTAAACATCTAATTTGATACCAGATATAGATGTATCGATAACTAGTTTAGTGCACTGCTATGGAAATATGATTGAATTGATCATTAGGCTTTATACATTGCAAGATGTACGTTTAATGGTATTCAATGTATCATTCAATCAATCATTTATCTATGAACTAGATAAATAACACGATATAAAATGTCACTATTTGCATATCGATATATCGATTATTTGATATATTTTCGAAAAACCCACTCTGGTCACACCTTTTCCTTTTCGTGTTTCCGGCGAGGTACGTGCACAAATTTTTGTTCCCCACGTTTTAGCCCTAAAATAATTGTCAATTTCTCATTTTAGCTGTGTAAACATATTCATCAAGCTACAGAATGGTGGGTTCTTACAAAATATGTGTGAAAATCTCTCCGAAAACGGGAAAATAACCTGAAAAACGACTGAAAAATTAGCGCACCCCACGTGCGAAGAGATATGTGACGCCCGTAAAAAATTATTTATGTGCGGCAACCTCAGCTGTGCTTCTTATAAAAACCTACAAGATAAACGGATTTAACTGAAAAGAAACACTTGTTTGCTAAACAAAAACTTTGTAAACAAGTAAAGGTTTGGGAAATTATTCTCAGTGCAGCGGTTGATGCCGGTTTAAACCTAAAAAATTTGTGAAAATTCTTTGCAATCTTAAAAAATACTCGGAAATATTCAAGATATCACTGATTTAAGTCAGCCTAACTATACTATGTGAATATAGTGAAATTGAAATTGTTGAGGGCGGTTAAAGACCCGCCAAATGAAAGCCTGATCAGTGATTAACCAATTTGTTTATTTATCGCAAATATAGGGTCGCGTGCGAACCAAGACGGTGAAGAAGGCCGCTAAGGTCATCATTGAGAAGTACTACACTCGCCTGACGTTGGACTTCCACACCAACAAGCGCATCTGCGAGGAGGTGGCCATCATCCCCACCAAGCCCCTGCGCAACAAGATTGCCGGGTGAGTTTATGTTGGTTTGTAATAGGAAATAGCAAGAATTATACATTTTTGTAGGAGTAATAGATAAAATCATCTGCAAAGCATAAGTGACAGTATTAAATTATTGCTTTAATGTAGTTAATCCCATGTACGAGCTTCGAAATTCAATTTATGTAACGCAGAAAGCCAGTCGGTTCTTTGAAATTCTATTAAATTGCCTCCTTAAAATGTATTTAAAATCTTAATTTTGTTTCTATCTTCCTTAAACCGTATACATTCTTAGTTAAATATTTACTAAATCCCTCTTTTGTATAGGGTACAAGGTGCTTTATAAATGTTTTCACTAGCTCATGTCTATATTTTATTTATTAATAGAAAATACCTCCCAATATTTCAAACAAAGAAAACTAATAGAATAATTACCTCCTTTTCAGCTATGTCACCCATTTGATGGGCCGTCTGCGTCACTCCCAGGTGCGTGGCATCTCCATCAAACTGCAGGAGGAGGAGCGTGAGCGTCGCGACAACTACGTCCCGGCTGTCTCCGCTCTGGAGCAGGACATCATCGAGGTTGATGCCGATACCAAGGAGATGTTGAAGCTGCTCGATTTCCACAACATTCGTGGTCTGCAGCTCACCCAGCCCAACACCAACAACTTTGGTCGTCGCAACTAAGTTTTTTCTATCGTAGCGCGTAGATGATGTTCTGGATTTGCATGAAATCACAATAAATCACAACTTTTTTGTGTGAAGTGCAATTGGAAATGTGTGTTTAAATTGGAAATTAATTGTTTTTAAAGAAAATTAATCAATTCATTGAAGAAATGAAAGAAAAGAACAGAAAGGAGAGTTAAGTAAGGATAAAATAGCTTTTCAAGGTTGAATGTCCAGTCTATGGTAAATTATCTTTAAGAAAACCATTAGTTGGAATGTTAATCATTAAATTCAACTAAGCCGCATAAAATGTATCATTCAATTGCATTATCCCTTACTTAAACCCTGAAATCTCTCTATTTAATGTGTTTTTTTTTTTATTTATTCGCATTCGAATGGAAAATACTGGTAGACAATGCACATACATACATGTAAATATGTATTTAATATATTCATTCCATAAATAAATGGGTGTTTCGTTTCCTATACAGATCGATATATATATGTATAAAAGATATTCTCTACAGAGTGCACAATATAATATGTAAATCTAAGCGTGTACACAGATTACAAGTATATAGACAGGAGTGCCACAGAAGTCGTTATGCAACTTATTTAAAAAGGCTCTAAAAAGTATTAAATGATAGATTCAAGGATTCATTTTTGGCTTTGTAACATTTTGTAGCATACTTTTGGACCGAATTTCGAGAGATTTAAAGTCCATATCGACTCCTTTGACCTCCCTGATGGTATATGTTATGTATATGAAGGTTGGTATACGATTGGTATACGATTGATTGTGCCCTTTCATGAGCCCTGAGCTCATTGTAATCAGGATGAAGCGGGATCCGCTTGAGGTCTGCGCACCGGATTGCGCAACACCAGCTCAGAATCCTCCGAAATGATGGGCAGGGCGTGCGCCCAATGGTAGTTGATCAAATGGCTAATGCTGTCAAAGATGCGATCCTTGGTGCGAACCACACCCTCCGGATCGATGAGCAGCAAATGCTTGGGCGTCTTGCCCTCCAGCCCTGTCAGCACATACTGGCCGCGCTTTCCCTGCGATTCGCGTACCAAAAAGTCACCATCCTGCAGCAACAGGCGCTCTGCAATGGGTCGTGAGATGGCCGCATGGAACCACACTTCCGCCGTCAGCGGACACTGCGGTCCGTCGAACACATCGCGCACTGAAATGGCTGCTGTGGCAACCGTGGAGCTCGGCGGGGTTGGGGCCTGCTGGAGGGGATCGAAGTGACCCAGGGCCAACTTATTGGTCGTCTGATCGGGTGGCGGGGAGTTGAGGTCGATGAGATTGCTGCTGAGGCGATCGCGCGGCTTTTTAAGATTCAGTTGCGCCACACGCGGCGCATGAGGATGCAGCGGAAGCTGCTGCTGTGGCTGTTGCTCCGGCAGATCCGGTGGCAACTTGTTGGGCAAGTCGTTGTAGTACTCCTTCACGTTCTCCTTGCAGCTCTGGTTGATGTTGCAGTCCCCGGCGGCGGCAGCAGGATCGTTGAGTCTGCTCAAAGCGTTGAATCTCAATGCAAAGGCCTTGCCAATGGTCACGATCAGATCCTCGCTCTGACCACCGGCACACTCGAGCACGTAGCAGGCCCGCCACTCGTCCTCGTTCTTGGCTATGTAAGCCAGAAAGTCCAAAGTGTCGTTATCGCCGCCGGATGCGAACGAAATACGCGGCATATTGTGATTGGCTATCACCTCGCCAGTCTCCACATTGCACAGCGACAGGGCACGGCTGGACACGTTAATGATGATGTTTGTGCCGGCATGCTGCATGCTGGGCCGGTCGGATATGAAGCTACACAGCCGCCGTTTTCCAGCCGACTTGAGGCCCGCAGCCTCGCAAACCCGATTGATGCACTCCCTGTTTTGTTGGAAGCCCATGATTATCTTGTCGTGGATTCACTCACGATGGTTACTCACCGCGCCAGCTGCGTCCGCGTTTCAAAGTCCAGCGATTTCATAGAGGTTTTTACTTCAACGCAGCCAGTATACCGCACGTTGAATGCAACACCCACGCCCATTATGACGTCGTCCGGATAGATGCAACCATCGTTGGTGGCCCCGGACCCGCTCCGGTTGCCGGCATCACCATTCTTCGGCATTTGTGCTCTGTTCCTGTGTGAGTTTGGCAGCAGTGGGCGTCCTCTCGCGCTGGTATCCTTTTTTCCCCAAGCGCCTCTTTGTTATTGGTATAATTTCGGATTACTCAAGGTGTGACCGCATTGTCAAAAGTGTGACCACACACGGAGGGTCTATCGATAGCTGCACAGGGGTGGAACTATTGTTTTGAAAAAAGGGGTTTGAAGAGATAAACAATGTGGAAGCTAAAAAAGCGGTATGTTGGCAAGTGATAGTATTTTGTTTAAAAATTCCTTAACAAACCATGGTAGGTAATGTTTTTAATATGTATTTATTTAAAAGTAAAGCGCGCGAGATAGTAACTATCGCGCGACTCACGTGCCACCACTAACCTATCGATGACGCTGTCAGAGCAATCAACAATTTGCCACCGCTATGTGTGGCAAGCCAAAGCTTCGCGTCCGGCCCCAAGTCTTGTCCAACCCCCAAAAATAAAGCAAATCTCTGCTCGATGCCGCAACCGCCGCTCAGTTTTTAACCGACTTTCGTGCAATATCCACGCCGCCACGGCTCTTCTGTGACTTAATCCGTCTATTTCCCCCCGACTTTCGCGCGTATACATACATACACACCCAGAGCAGCGGCGATACATTCAGCCGTGGAATTATGTGTTAGAGCAAAACAAATACGGAAATTTAGACACAGGAAACGAACAAGCTAATTTTTTGCCGGACGAAACTACATTTCTGCCTAAAATCAATATTCACGTGAGTTTAAGTGAGTGAGAGAGCGAGATACGCCCGCACCGCAACGCGCAGCATCCGTCAGCGAAGTGCAACCCAGAAAACAGCGGCGAGGAAAAGCCGGAGGAGCAGTCACTGTGTGCATCTGGAAACTGTGTGGAAACTGGAACGAACGCATTGTATCCGTGAGACAGATTTTCACCAAGCTAAGCCAGGAATCCCTCCGCTGTTACCTTATTGTTGCGGTAAGTTTGTGTCTATGCTTGGCGCTCGTCAGGCTTTCTGTGTTTACGTTTATGCCATTTCCATTTCCATTCCGCTGCCCACCGCTTTCGCATTCGTGCTTATAAAGTGCGGCCCAGTGGGCACATAAATATAGACATACATACATGCATACTTATGTATGGAAACATCTTTACGTCATGCGACGACGGCTCTGAAGTCATTACCAATGCTGACAGCAGCGGTCATAGAGATATGACTATTAAATTCGTGACCGAATCAGTGTTTTTTCAGCCTTCTACAGTGAAAATTCAGTTGAGAAGTCACATTCGATAGAATAAAATATCTATTAAACATACAATGTTCAAAGAAATTTAAAACTTAAATTTTATATATACATTATCTTGAATGGTTCCAAAAAACGTTTCTTACAGACAGCACAAGCCATGTCAATTAGGCTTAAAACCAGTTCCCCCGTCAATGCGTCATTTGGATAGCATTTACAGTAGAACTTCTGCAAGAAACCATTGTAACAAGATTGTTTATGGGTTTCTAAGGGATTTCAGAATAGTTTATATTACTAAAGAACCACTATATCACGGAAAAGTTATAAAGTTTGCATGACAATTCCACAATTACAAAGTCTAAAGTAAAGTTCGCTGAACCTGGCGTTATAAAAGGAATAATAATCATATTTATGTATGTCTTTGCCAGTATGTGATTTATTACACCGACAGCAGCGGCCATTAATATATGGCTATGAATTCGTGACTCAATCAATGCGTCATTAGTTTGGTATTAACAGTGGAACCAAGATAAAGAAATAATTATTATTATAAGAAAATTATAAAAAAAAGAAGTAGGACTTAAGAAAACGTAATCTTATTTAAAAAACAAGCTTCTTGGGTATTATACGTTTTTTTTACGATTTCAAAGACCTGTAGATTAAAGTATTCCCACTGTACTTCTTAAAAACTCATCATTAGGACCAGCAGGGCGCAGAGATCCCAAATATGAAGCCTCGCTCATTAGCCAGGTGATCTCATCGGCGGCTGCCGCCTTCTTCCCATTCTGCGTCCGACTGCAACCTGGCCTTAATTCACGCCCATGTGCCGTTTAAACGGCAGTCGGATCACGCCTAATATGGTCCACCTAAAAGCTGGCTCAAAGCATTTCCCGCCGCCAATTAAACACGATGACGTTGACCCTCGCGGTGGCAGTACCTCCTACCAGTACCCTCTCCCTCTGGTTCCATTCATAGATTATAAAACGCTCCGTAAAACGATAGCGCCCACGCCGCACGGCCTTGGCTTTGTTTTTGTTGCTGGCCAACTGTTAACTCCAATTGATAATCGCCACAGAAGGCGTTTATCTGGTATAAACGCCAATTGGTGGCACCTTCGTGCTAAAATCGAAAGGAAATCCACACCAATTAAATGGTTGTGCTCTTCAATCGGAAACGAAGCTGGTTATGTTCAACCAGACAGAAACAATGAAATATTTTATTGTCTTTGGAATTTGGTCAATGGTGAATTTTTAATCTTCAAGTTTTGTCAAGGTTTCATTGATTTCTTAGCTTGCTCACTAAATGTCTCCTCTATTAAGCCCGAAAATTACTGCTCAAACTTTTACGTGCTCATATAATAAGTGCTGTCACCCTTGTTCTAGTTTTTATAAATTAAAAATAATTTACCGCAAAGCATTACGGTGTATTTTTATCTACCAAACCATTTCTCTGGGTTTCAATGACCCCTAAAAGTATGAGAATACTTTCCCTGGCCTTTGTGTTTTCCCGCTAACTGTTCAACTTTTACCATTATTCAAAATTGTCTAATTGCTTTGAAAGGGCGTGTAATTGTGGGTTTATGAGGCGTAATAGGCTTACTTTGATTTCAAAAGACGTCAGTAGTTTGAGGTAAAGCCATTCTATGTTTAGACTTAATAGCTTGGAAACTAGATACCTTTCTAAGACTATAAAATATGAATGTACCATTAAAAAAATGGTGGCCTTGCTTTTAATTTGGACTCTAAAAACAATATAACAGTGCTTAAAACGTTAAATATTCAGGCTAGTTATTATAAACTATTCATTTTTCTAACATTTTATATTTTCTTTTATTAAAGAATGCTTTACACTTTGTTAATATTTGATTTTAAATTTATTTTAACAAGCTTTTAATCTCATAAACTTTTTTATTTCACCAAAAAGCTTTAAAAAACTCCTCCAGCCACAAAAACACTTTAAATTGATCTTTATATTTGCATTTTATTTACCACTTAAATGTTTATTTATAAATGGAATTTTTCACATTCTAAATATATAACTTTGTTTGGTGTATTATTCACCACCAAACTATTTGTTCATAACTGGAATTTTAAACCTAAATGTAACTTTAATTGGCATATTATTCAACACTTGATATTGTAACTGTAACATTTGCTTAGGATACACCCTGTATCTGTTAACAGAGCTGTTAACATTTCCTACAACAACATTCTCGCAAAAGTCGCCGACTCATGCGATTTCCACTTTGTCGTTCGCTTTCGTTCACGTTTTCCATAATTTTACTATCGCTTTTTATTGTTATTTTAGTTACATACTAAGGTACATACACGCACAGTTTCGGACATCACTACGAGCTATAACACGTTGATTTCAAATACTAAATTCACCCACTCTCCTGACCTTTTGTATATGGCATGGCATGGCATGTGTGTGTGTGTGTGTATTACTGCCCCATCAGCTGTTCAAAGTCCGTTACGTAATACTGGGCCCGTCGGTAGACCTCTGGTCGCACCACATTCCCACCGAAACCAATAAAGTAATTGGCCGGCGGCACAGCCTCCAGATCGGTGGCTCCATCGCCGATCATGGTGATGAGGGAATCCTCCGGATGCTGTTGCTTGATCAAGGCAATGGCCTCCGCCTTGCCACCGGAACGCGACGTGGGCTGCGTAATGTCGAAGCTATCGTAGGCGCCCAAATAATCAAACAGCATCTTGTTGGCATAGACGCGGTTCAGGGGAATACCCAGTTCGGTGGCCACGGGCGCTATGAGGCAATCGAAGCCACCAGAGATCAAATACACCTGCTTGCCCTCCGCCTTGAGGTGTGAGACGAAGCGCTTGACATTTTTGCTCAGTGTGCTGGGGCGCTCCTCGATAAAGTCCTTAACTTGCTGCTGCGTCGGCCGGATGATGTTCAGCCTGATTTTGAGGGCATCCTGGAAGGTCATGGCACCGCCCATCGCCTCTTTTGTTACACGTGCCACCTCGGTTCCCTTGCCGCAGAACTCGGCCAATTCGTCGATGCCTTCCTCGCAAATCACTGTTGAGTCCACATCGAAGCACACGATCTTTGACTGTTGGATGACCTTGGCCGCCAATTGGGGCTGTTTGGGCGGTGTTATGGCCGAGGCCACAGTGGTCTTGGCCGCCACTCCACCGCCGTTCGAGGTACCGTTGCCATTGCAATTTAGCTGCTTGGTAAGCAGATTATGGCCAGCGGCGGCTGCTGCAGGACGCGACATGCTCAGAACGGAACCACTCATCTTGACCGGCAAACACGTTGTGTGTGGCTGCGAAGGAGGTGACTTTGACCTTTGTTTGTTTGACGTAAAAGCTTTTACGCTTCGTGTTCGGCAGGGGGGACCTCAAAATTTTCCGCTGCCGAAATAACGCTTCTTTTTTCGGTGTGTGTATCTCTTGTGCTTTTTTCTTGCCGTCTTTTTGCACACGCGCTTCGCGTCTTGCTGCTCAGCTGTTTTTTGTTTTTGTTTTCGTCTCTGTCTGATAAGGTGACAACGGGTTTTCTTAGCAAGCTCCAGCTGGTTAGTTAAGCTTTCCGAACTGCTCGCGTTGAGTAACTTTTCACAAGTGCCTCGAAAACGCTCGATCGCCCTTTTAAGAAAACTCTACGTGCGACGCACACAAAGGCACTTGCTTCGGCCTCTCTTTCTCTCGCTCTCTCACACAGCTACTTTGCTCACACTGACCAGCTGTGATCGGTTGATTACAAGCGTGCGAGAGTGAGATATCCGTCTGCCTGCACATTTACAACGGTTTCTCATGCCTCTTATCGATGCAGGGTCGGTCGCACCGACTGTGCTACTCACCTACCGCGCGGCTTTTTATCCACAAATTACTCTTCATTCAGGCTTAATCAGTTTCAATTGAGGAGAGAAAGAGAGAACGTGAACCTTTGCACCCACCACATGTGACGCCTTCATGCCACAATGTCTGCTTATCACACAGCGTACAAACATACATATGTATAAACAATGAGAATAATTATGATTTAGCTGTCATTAAACCCGCGACACTAGAACCGCCTGGAACTGGAATTTCCAGCGGCAGGCGACCGCGTCCTTATCAGTTGTGGCACCATTTAACACTGACCGATAATCAGGGGGAACTACGGGCGGGGTGTTTGTGGCCAGACATCGGAAGACTACCCCAAAACAGTATCACCGAAAAAATAACAAGTGTGCTGTTTGTATGACCCCGGTACTAGGAATCAGACTGGATTAATTCGAATTACAGTAAAGCTTCTATAATAGAAATTTTCTATGCATTTATGTAAATATATATGTAGATGTACATATCATAAATTTGATTTAATATTCCTGTAATGCACAAATTCATTAAAGAAAATGTACCTAATTTTTTTTTAAATTCTAAAGACAGTAATTGTTTTGTTGTTTTAATTTTAAAATTTGTCTCGAAGCTCAACTGTATTTGAAATACCTTCTATCAGCTGAGTACCGCAGCGTACTTTTTGTGTCTGGTTGATTCCCTGCTTGATTTTCAATACTTTCTTTTTTGCATTATTACTGATTATTCATTCATGTGGAAAATAACCGAAATCGAATCTGATTAGTGCTGTCGTAAGCTCTATGTATTTTTAAAACTCGGGAATTTAAATTTAAACTGTCATGATGCTATTCTGATGCAATTTCATGCTAGTGTTGCAGCGCCTTACGTTATAACGTAAAGCGAGAATCTTCGGAAGAACTGAGCGGTGCTCTCTCTCCCTCACTCTCTGTTTCTGTTCTCTTTTCAAGTTGTTTGTTTTCTTTATTCTCCATAAATTAGATACTAAAGAAAAATGAGGCGCGTGCAATGCAAGCGACAAAAACAACAATTACAGCCACGAATGCAATTCCACTTTTTGCGGTCTCTATTGTTGCTATAGTTGCTATGGCAATTTTTTATTATTGTTATTTTTTTGCAGTTGTAGAATAACAAGTTGTTTTGACCGTTCGCGATCGTTCGTTTTGTGGTAAACAGGGGAAAACAACAAAATAGCAGGCAGCGGCTAGACCGCAAAAGTATTTCATTGCCAGCGTTATCGATAACGATAAACAATTCATTGCGTGCGGAGCGGTGCGTGTATGTGCATGCATGAACACGTTCTCTCATGCATATTTAAAGCGCGCCTCGGCCAACGACTTCCACTAAACAAAAGCCGTAAACAGTTGATTATTTTTAATTGTCGTTGCCTTGAGCGACCAAAAAGTCGGAGAGGCCCATCGCAAGGGAAATGGCGGTCGCGACCGACCACACCTGTATTTGGTACCTTTTACCTGAGCCTCAGCGCCGCCTGTCAACCGCTGCGGCACCTGTCGTTTTCAGTTTGAGTTTTCCCATGCCTTGGCAACTCGTCTTGGGGTTTTGGGTGTTGTGATGTGTTCCTTTCGGGTTTGCATTTATCGATTGACCTTGTTGCTGCATACATTTCCTACAAAGTCCGTTTCCATTTTGTTCATTTTCCGAGGACACACAAAGTGTAGAGGTAGGCTCGTCACCTGATCCAAAACGCATGGCTAAGTACCTAAGCTAGCTTATTTATTATGCCCATTGAAAGGCCGGCGCAATAATGGTTTCCAATTTACAACAAGAACATTTTTTGAACAGCAAAAATTCACTAAATAAAATTGTAGTAAAATACTATTTTTATGATTTACAAATAAAGTGTACAATTTAAAGACAACAATTCGTGGGAAAATATTACCCGAGCCCAGATTTATGAATTAAAAGGAGTTTATCAAAATTTATCATTGATTTAATTTGAAATATTTTGAAAATTTTTGGAAAATAAATTATACTTATTTTTGCACATTTTCGGTGACCTTATTTTGGTTAATTCAAATCCATTGCAATTTCTGTAGAACTACCACTGTATTTCCATTTATATCAACATGAAATTTAGTGAGGCAGTTGACAGCTGCCGGGCCTGGTAATTGAGCCCCCTTTGGGCCACGCCCACAACTATTTGCCTCCCACTTTCCATATAAAAAGCTTGCATAATGACGCGACACTTTGTGGTATTGTTTGTGCCAGCAGGCAGCTGATAGTTGATACTTGATAGGCACGGCTTAATAGCATAGCACCAGACTGAAGGCCGCGTAATTGCTGTATTAATTTTCATCACCAGGCCAGACTATATTAGACAATATTTTCATTAGTCTGCACCTCTCGATTCTCGATTGATTTGTTTTTCCCCAGCTCTCTTAGCAGTTGTTTCCAAGGAACCTTTTTTATTTGTTGCCGCTTCTGCTGATTAACCGTTAAATGGTATATGGACGATCCCCCTTTCATTTCTATCACCCGGTGTTGTTTACGGCTGCACGCGATTTTAATTCCGCTGATTAACTCTCTCACGCTCTTCCACATGCTCACTCATACCTGAGATGTAAGTGTACGTGTGTGGGGAGAGGGAGACACAAGCTCACTTGACACATTTACGAGTGGGGAGCAGAAAAGGGGAGCACCCAAGAAGTGCATGCAGTTTTGCTCTCGCTCTGTCTCTCTCTCTCTGCCCCCCGTTTTGCGGTGCGTGGTTTTCTTTGTTGTTCTCCTTTTTATTTTTTTTTATTTTGTTATTTTGTCGTCTTGTGTTTTTGTTTTGCATCGCTTGCTGTTGGTTCATAAACAGTTACAAAGTGGGCTGATTGTGTATGGCAACGTCAACGGTTGTGCACTGGAAAAATAAGCAGCAATAACAATAACAGCAACAACACCAAGGTAGATGTCCGCTTTGCTGGGGGCCATGCCTGCATGTGCTAACAGTCGCGGTCGACATTATAGGTACTCTCTAACTGATTCTTGACATTTATGACAGCTATGACAGCTTTAAAATGTTGACATGCAGGGATTTTTTGTGGGTTTCAAGGGGTTTTTCTATAAACTTCATTGATAAAGGAGGGTTAAAGTTAAATATTTAAGATTATTCTCTAGAAATCTTTACTTTTACTCGTTAGAATTTGTATTTTTCTGATTTAGTTAATAAATTACAAGAGAGGAATTATTAAAGGGGTCTTAAGTGGAAAATTGAGTTGCCATTTTAAAGTAAAATATTATACAAAGATTAGGTTAGAACATAAAAACACTAATAAAATAATATACATTTTACAAGAAAAAGAACTATTCCGCACCTTGTAACATACTGTAATGGCTTTAAGATCCCCATTGATTTCTTATTGAGAAAAATGACTAAAAGAATGTAAATAACCTTTTAAAATATCCTTTTTTAAATGTAATTCCATCTTAAAAAATTATTTTTTTGTTCTTAAATTGTGATATAAAATCATTCTTTCGACCGCATCTGTAAACGTTGTTGATATGTAAAAATGAAATGAAAACACGTCATTTGCCGACGATTGCTTTCCTGTTGCTATAGCTTTGGCCAGAGACTTGTTTAACTTTTGCTCTGACAAAACGGGCAACAATGGGAAAAGTTTTACAGTCCGTCCACCGGCGCCGCCTCTTCAAATGTAATTACAAAAGCCTTTATTTATCGTTGCCTTTTTTTATTTTTGACTCAAAGTTCGAGTTCTTTGAGTTCGTTGCTCTCTCTCTCTGGCAAATTAACAATAGCAGTGTTATGTTGGCATGTCGTCCTGACAGCCACGCCCCCGAAAACGGAAGGGATATCCTGTATCCGTCGAAAGGGATTCCCCTTTTCCGAACGCAACAGTTTCGATTGTAATCCGAGTCTAATGCGGTGATTTGGGTCAAATGCCGGGTAGAGTCGCGGGGCAACAAACGCAAAACGAATGCATGCATTCAGTCGAGGCTTTGCCCCCAAATAAGGTACACTCGGAAAAAATGGTCTGAATGTTTGTGGTATTGTTTAGATACTCGGATCTTATTCCATGGATTTAATAAGACATTCTTAGATATATATTGTTCTTTTTTTTAAGATACTGTTTTTGCTTACTCGAATTTTAGTGGTCTCATTTATTCCACAAAAATCGAGATTCAACTATAAGGGCTGAGCACATTCAGAACTTCAGGCTATAGTATATAATCCCCAAGGATCTCGTTACATTTCAACATTTAAGTGTCACAGAATTCATACTTGAGAACTTTAGGTGCACTCTTTGGCATGATCTGTGATTACGCTTAAATGTTAAAGCCCGAGACTTTATTGTACTTGTAGACTGCTCATCATTTAAATATTTCGAGAATATATTATACTTTCATGTATTAAAACAATAGTTCTATAGGAAGGCTCTTTAGATGCCACTTTAATTTGTTAAGAAATATATTTGAATACTAATGTGATAACTGAAAAAACAGCTCTCTGTTGTACGCTCTGTTTATTTCCTCAAGTTAAGTTAAATAACTACCAACAGTTTAGTAATTAAACCAAAGAAAAATAATATTAAATATTCAATATTCAAATCTTAAATCTAATTTCTTTGAGCGTACACGTGTGTGTTTTGCATTGTGCATCTGCTGAATCATTGCCGAAGGCGTAGACTGAGCAACGACAGTGATTGGCTCCGCATTGCATGTGCAGTGATTCCCACAGAAAAATAGACAACTACAATTCAAATAGAAATAAAACAAAAGCTAAAGCTTTGAATGCCTGAGCTCTTGGCATCAATCAGATAATCGAAATTGTTTGCGCAACGCTCCATTAAATTCGCATTTCTCAATTCGAAATTGCAGGCACGCATTGTATATCCGAGGAGGAGCAGCAGCTTAATAATGGTGGACTTCCGGTTCGATATCAGGCCCCTGTTCCCGCAGGCGATAATCAAGGTTACGTCTAACCTACTGCCGCACACCTTCCGCGGCGACCGGCGTCAGTGTTTGTGAGTATTGAAACTGTACGCGGAGTGGCATCCCCCGGGATCGGTTCGCCTAACCGATACGCTTTCCACACTCACCCACACGAATTCCGACACCAATCACTCATCCACATACCCCCCTCATCCACTTGCGTGCAGGGACGCCACCTCCAAGATGACGGAGATCATTGATCGCCTGGGCCAGCTCTCGGCCACATCGCAGGGTCTTAGCAAGCCGGTGACCACCGGACAGCGCTTGAGGATGTCAGAGAATCAGACCGTCTATCTGCTGGCAGATAGTGAGGCGGGTCCCAAGTAAGTTGTGCTCACAGGAGGAATTCTTAAGTGTCTTGTAAAGAAATCTAATAACAAACCTATTGCAGTGGTTCGGTAGTTGGTCTCCTCAAGGTTGGAACAAAAGATCTCTATCTTTTCGATGAAACTGGACAGACTAGGAAAGTGCAGCAGGCGCCGTCCATTCTGGACTTTTATGTTCACGAGTCCCGCCAGCGCTCTGGTCTGGGAAAGCGTCTTTTCCAGACAATGCTCAGCGAGGAGCAATGGACACCGATCAAGTGCTCGGTGGACAGACCTTCGGACAAGCTGCTAGCCTTCCTTGGCAAACATTATGGTCTAACGCGTTCCATACCGCAGGCCAATAACTTTGTGCTCTTCGAGGGATTCTTTGACGATGCGCCATCAGCAAATGGCCATGGAAACGGGCAGTCGCCGCAGCACAACCGGAATGGTCTGCACATCACAAACAGGTGAGTGAGTGGCATGGAAAGTGGAGCTAAGGAGGCGTTGCCAGTTGGCCTCCTGGCTTCCTGACTTCCTGACCTGGCGCAGTCCGCGGCAATTAAGGCGTTGTTGCTTTCGTTGGCGCTGCAGGAAACATTTCACTTTCGGCCTCAGTTGGTCATTTCTTTTCGGGCCCCATTTGCATATCGTATGCAAATCGGAATCCAGACTGTAGATTTGTTACTTTGTTTGTTTGTTTGCCGAAGGAAGCCCGCTGATCGATAAAACTCGGTCCACGTTGATTATTAACTTTCTTGGCTTGGTGGCCTGTTGCTTGCTTTGATTGTTAACTTGCTTTTTAACCATTGCTTACATTTATCGTAAATATCTTTTTATATAACATTAACTGAATCTATTAAATTACTAAGTTTCAAAGGAATTTCTTTTCCTTTTTGTGTAAATTTTATCGTGAAAATATTGTATATAGAGTAAGAGTTCATAAGAACCATAAACATATTAAATAGGGCTGCCATGGACATCGTTTTTAATTGAAAAACATTTGAAATTGCATTAAAAACTATGATATTTATAATATATAAGCAAATTTTCTAAGGCATCCCCATATTTATCTCATATTTTTCCTTCTAAAAATAGTTTTTTTCTTTAAACTGAAACAAATAAATGCTTAAAATTGAATATTTTCTAGAAAATAACCAACCATTACCTTCTGCTTAAATTTAAATTACTTTTAAGGACATTTAAATAATATACTAATTATAATCAGCTTTTCTTATCCCAAAGTATAACTAAATGCATAACTCTTTCTCCACATGTTGCGCTAACCCCATGATATGATAACCAACGATAACACAACCATCAATCAATATGAAACAGTCCTAACACCCAGCTATTTGGGGCTACCTACTTGGGTGAGGATAATCGGCGACGTGGCTCCCAGCAGCAGGCACAGGCTGGGCCCAATCTGCTCCAGCAAGTAACACAAATCTCACCACAAGGACGATATGGGGCCAGGCGTCCCACCTGCAGCATGGCTGAGGTAATGCGTCTAACTTAATTGAAGAATTAACTGGGTTTTGGGTTTCATCGATTCATTAGCTTTAAACTTTATGAAAAATTATGGTAGGTTAATTATAATGAATAGTATTCTTACATACAATAGTTAAAAGGGTTTATAGGTTTGTGGTTTCTATATCCCAAATCCTTTGTGTGGTATTATAATTTATGGCACAACGAACGACCAAAACTATATCAAAAGTTCACATTTAAAATGAAACTCAGTCTCAATCTGAGTTGGCCTTAAGTTCAAAACGTCAAGATCGCCAAGTAGCTACCTGTGTAGAGCTCAGTTCAAATTTATACTCGATTGCAGTCGGAACAAATATTTCCACATTCCAGTGTACAAAAAAAATACATTTACTTTTATATAGTTTTATAACTTGACCGCGTTTCGTTACGTTTTGAGTGTTCAAAAGATTTTCCTTCGTTTCGATTCTTTTGCTTTTTGTCGTGCGGATTACTAATTTCGAGTGATTTTAATTTATGGATCCCAAACGCGGTAATGCCTCCGGGGCACGCCACGGACAAGCCGCTGGTGCCGCTGCTGGCTATCATGCTTCCAAGACGAGCATGGCGGTAAGTAGTGTCGAATATAAAAAAAAGTTTTCTCCAGATTTTGACCAACTTGGTTTGTAGTCACGCCACGCGGGTGGCGCCGGCGGACCGGCCGTAGGAGGACGCAAGGCCAGCGAGGTCAGCATTACGCCCAGTCAATCCCGGAATCAGGATAACGTGAGCTGTCTGCCAGACATGCTTTTGGTATTCCATGTTGATCCCACATCTCGTCACAGCCTCTCAGAAGTCCTTTGGATGCTTTGAGCCGCACTGGCCCCTCTTTACGCAACCTGAATCCCTTCCAGCGTCGTTCAGGCTTGCAGGACGTAGATGATTCCTTTCTGGCCGCTAATGCTTTTGCTCGCCCGCCTAGGGTGCGTAACTCTGGCTTGGAGAGGGATTCAATGCCAAGCATTGTTCCAGCTGTGAATCCCGGTCGCATACCCGCTGGCCAAGAGCCAGTGCAGCAGCAGCAGCAGCAACAGCAGCAGCAGCCACAGCAGTACCAACAGATGATTCCAGCTGGTGGCGAACAGCAACAGCAGGTGCCACCAGTGGCCGCCGTGCCCTCATCTCAACATTTGATGCAACAATACGCTCAACAGCCGGCCGCCGGTCAGCCAACGCGCCATGAGCCAACCCCCACTGGTCGAGCTCATGCCCATCAGCATCAGCATCAGCACATGCATCAGCATCAGCAGCAGATGCCACAACAGCAACAACAGCAGCAGCAGCAGCAGCAGCCACAGCAGCCGGCCTATGAGCAACAACAACAACCAGTGACAACCTTACCAGATGCCCAAATAACGAATAAATACCCAACACAACAACAACCCCAGCAAGGATATGTAAGCTTCATGAGAGGAGCCTGCCCCTAACGTTTTAACCAAAAAATAATAATACCTACGACCCACAGAACACACAGCCATCACCGGCAGCAAGTGCTGCACCACCGCCAGCGACATCATCCGGAGGAGCTGCAGCTGCACCTGGAGGCGCCGGAGCAGCACCCACAGGAGGTGCAGCCGGTAATAATGCTCCACCGCAAGATGCCGAGATGTGCACCACATGCCCCAACTGCCAGACCACCATATACTTGGTGCGCTCCCCGGAGCTGGGGCACGGTGATGCGGCTCGACCCTACAATGAAATGTAAATGAAGATGTGTAATGACCAGACGACCGATCTGACGGGTGGCGAGTGAGACTATAACAAATTTCAAGTGCAACAAGATCCAAATTCTTTTAAGAAGGTGACAATCTTTACGGCCTACGGGTTTACACAAAGTGAAACACAGAAGTATACAAACATTAAGGGTTAAAACTATAATCCTTGATGTGTCCTGGCCGAAATGAACGAGGGCAAAAATTATGTGTAAGCCCAAAATTTCTTATGAACGAACATATTTAGTGGTAGCAATTCTGGTGTAAATAAATGTAAATAAAAAAGTAGCTATGTGTGGCTTTTACTTTCAGCCAACCCTCGGTGAGGTTAACCACCCCCAGAAGTGTACCAGGGTATTGGCTGCGTGCCAAGTGCCTGTTTTTGGTCAATTCGGGGAGAGGGTGACATAAAAAACGTGGCTTGCGTTTTGTAACCCGGATTTATATATTATATATATATTAAGAACTGGGCGATTAATAGAGAAATTCATTGAATTGTATGGCCCTACGGGGGAAAGAAAGGCTATTAATATGTAAGCTAATAGGCTAAGATCCTATCTCTAGATTGCTTTATGACCTAATAAATTGCTCTATTTCAGATAATTCATGCTGGCACCTCGAAAGGTGGCAAAGGCGGCGGCGGTAATAGTGCAGAATCGAACAGGTAAATGGCCAGCACCCTCAGGTGTTCCAATTTCCTTAAACATTATTTTCATTTCTGTGTGTATCGTCTTCATTTTGGGTTTCATTCGTTTTCTTCTATTTTTTTCGTTTTATCTTTCAGAATCAAATAGAAAATAACACACGGCCCTGCATCTCACATACAAAAGATAGAAGATAGAAATCAAAAGCATCAAAACTTAAATAACAACCCAGTGTACAAAGTCTTGATTTTAGCCAATTTATTTATATTTTGTTTCGCCTAGTTAATTTATATATTGTAAACAATCGATGAATTTACACGTACCAGTACGAAGTACAAGCAGAAGAACCTGCACTTGCCGCATGCCACCAATACACCACAAAAAAAAAACACCAATACCCCAAGAAAAGCACCACAAAAATCGGAATCCCACAGACACAAAAAATAAGAATAAACAAAACAAAAATACCTGACAAATTGTGATTACAACATACTTTATGTATCATTTAACATTTAACAAACATTAATTATTTGTCGTAACTTATTTTCGTTTTTTTTACCGAGCAATAAAATCAAAACAAATCGATTAATTCAAAGTCCGTCAAGTAGAGCTTGTAAATAATAGTAGATCATTATGTCCTTTGCTTATATTCAACCAAAGGATCGGTTTGACACTCTTTTAATTAATATAATAATTAGAATTACTTTATTTCCGAGCTCTACTTCAAAATGCGTGTCATTATTCGATTTAAAGACTAGTTTTACAAAAGAATCTAAAACAATCTTCCAAACAGCGGAATGGGTAACCATGACCTTGCAGAGATTACCGCCCAGCTGCAGCAGCAGACCTTGGCCGAGATCGAGGCCAATAGCTACATCCCAGAGCCTGAAATGGAACCGGAGCCGGAGGCAGAACCTGAACCCGAGCCCGAGCCAGAGCCGGAGGTGATCACGCCCGCATCGCCGCCGCCCAAGAACCACACTCCGACTCCGCCGTCAGTGCGTTCGCCGGAGGTGGCCGAGAGCATCATTGGGGAGAACCGCAGGCCGCCGGCCTTCCAGCTGAGCAAGCAGCACACGGGCATGAAGAATCGTTCGTTTGGTGTCGGCGGTGCCGTCATGCCCAGCAGCAAGATGGAGTTCGATCAAATGGAGCGCGAGGATTTCGGTGTTGTCAAGATCAATCGTCCGCCGGGCCATGATGCAGTCACCTCGCCGGGTCACGACAATACGGATGCCATGTCCACCGTGTCCTCCGGTGGCGGAGGCGGCCTCACCGATCAGGGCTACTATGATCTCAAGTTTTATCACAATAAGTTGTGGTAAAGGGAAGACAACAAAATCAACACAAAAATAATAACACAACAATTGCGAATCTCGCGAATCTTTTGTACGCATAATTAACAAGAACTTAATTAATCTAGGAACTAAGAATACGTATTTATTAATCAAAAGACATCTAAACCAACAACGGTTCCTCTATGAACTTTTCTGTTGTGAGCTTCTTCTGACCTTTTGTTGTTGATTCGTTCATTTGTTACCAAGCCACGCACTACTCCGTAAACGATAGAGCCTCACCAGATTCGATCCTTAATCTAAACAATAGCGCAATTCAAATGTTTGTGTAGACTAATTACTAGTTAATTAATCTAATCAGAGATAATTTGATTGAATATTCTAATTTACTTAATAAACCAATTGTTTTGCTTTGTGCCATTTAATGTCAAGAACAGTCCCTTAATCCTTAATGTAATCCAAACCCCTGTGTGTATCTTCCAATTACAGCAAACGCGAATATTTCGAGCAAATCTATAGCGATTACATGCTATAGGCACAGATCCATCTTCGTAGCCAATACTCAACATTCCTCCATAGAACGTACCCAACTCGCAATGCATAGAACATAGCATTAAAGATGAAAATAAATACGAATTAAAGCACAAACATCATTTTTTTGTCGATTCTACTGGCTCTTTCATTCTTTTTTAATCTGCAAATACAACTATGTACGTTTACACACACATACACATGAAATGGAAATCAACGGAACTGAGAGCTGAGAGCTGGTGAGGTGCACTGAAATCTTTTAGAGGGTAGAGGAGCTATCTCGTTGGTGGTGCTGCAAAACTATTGTCAGCTGTGAAATCTCAATCCCTCCGGCTGGGTTTACATGTAGATGAAGTTGAACCTGAGAGAAAAATAAGAACTAAGCTTGATATTCTCGGGTATATCTTGGTCACAACTCACCTGCAGAGGGCCTGCGGCAGCGATGAGATGATCGGTCCATAGCCTTGCGAGTTGTCGTATAGCTCGAACAGCGGCGCAGCAACAAGCTTATAATTTTTGGGCACAGCAAAAAGTGCTAGATTACGGAAAACGATAGAGACAGAATTGATGTATGTTGAGAGAGCATGGAGCATAGAGAGTCACGGAAGGTATAATCTAGGGGGTATTACAATCGGTTGGTACAATTTACATTTACAGAATACTCTCGCTGCCGTATGATATATAAAAAAATTGTATGCATTATATGTTTTACATTCATAGTTGGATTCGTTAGACTAATTACACTGGGCTTCGTTGCGACTCGCAAACTGCAAATCTGTCATTTTGCTGGCCCAGCGAAGCCCGCTATAAGTTTCAGTTATGAACATAATTTCCATTAAGAGCAACCTTATACATGGTGTGGGCGGTTCATTTAGCAAGTAAGTACGTATGGGCGAGAGGCGAGTATAAACAGAGTATTTTGCTTTGTGTTTACATTGACGGAGTGCTTATATTAAGGAGCGACTGGAATCGGCGACCTGGCTGTGGCGCAGCATGCACACAAATCTGCACAACACGCGAGATTTGGGCACATGACCAGAGCAGCCAGCAACGTTACAATGCTCTCTCGACTGCCTGCCCGGTGGATACACAATCTTAAGATTGAACAACACAACATCACTTGACAAATGTAAGAGTAGAAGCTAGGAGATAATGTAAGTAAGTAGGGGGATATTAACATGGCTGCGCTCAGTCTCACAAGACATGTCGACATATTTACAAAATTAAATAACAAGAACAATCATTGAGTTTGGACGGAAAAAGAACAAAATATGCCAACACGCAGTTCAGTTCTGAGCAAAAAAGTACAATTTGAATTTTGATTTGAGACACTGCAAGTTACAATTCGATAGAATCAAACTAACTAAGAGTTCCGCCCGTCTTGCGATCGATCTGTTTGTTTCTTTCTGTTTCTTAGACTTTTCTGTTTGCTCGAATATGTTGTGCTACGGCATTGCACTCTTGAGAGTTGAGTTGGGTAGATACGACACACACGGCGCTAATGGAACAGCTCAGGGTACATCGTAACTGGCGTTCCCGTCCGTATCTAAACAGCATTGAAAAGATATGACATGAGGTTTGTTAGCGTATTCGGTTTTGGCAAACAAAAGAACAGCTATAGGTTATATATAAGAAGAACATGGAGAAATGGATATCTTTGACATACGTTGCTCGGATATGCCTACGCGTACGGGCGTATCGAGCGAGATGTCGGCAGATATTTACCCTTTTCATGGAGCTGGACGAGGAAGAGCCGCTTGTGCTCCTTCGGCTTGGTGATGTGCGGCGGAATGTATGGATATTGCGGTGGCTCAAAGTTAGGCCGCCACCAATTGCCAATGGTGTCCTCGACTATCCATTCCTGCTTAACGCCATCCTGACGACCCAGCGTCTGCAAAAAATAGCATATTTTAAAGAAGAGCAGAAAAAGAGCAAGTCCCTGAACTTAGTATTTATTATTCTGATACTGCTAACATTCGTGACATTCATGATATTCATTATATTCATGTATTCACAGCTCACCTCGGACAGCAATCGCTTCAGACCCTCGACCTCGTCCTCTCCGGCATTGAGCTCGCCGCCCGGCAGCTTGAAGAATGTGGTGCCCAGTTGCAGGAGCAGGACATGGGGCAGCCCGTGCTCGTGGACCAGCAGTACTCCCTCCACGGACCGGCGCATCCCAATTCTATCGAACTCTTCTCGCATCCGCTGAAAGCGCGATGGCACCGACGGATCCTTCTCGAAGAGCGGCTCCTTGGTTCCGAATGTGTAGTTGGTCAGCGGGTATCTGCAAAATGATGCATTATTATCAAAGGGGGCTCATTTCAGGATTCCCGATTTAACTCACAGGTTGATGGTGCGATTGATGGTCAGCGCTTGGTTGGCATACTTTTGCGTGCCATTGTTGTTGCTGTTGACGGCGTCCGCCTGGCCTTGGCTTCCGCGGCGCGGCCAGCCGGAGCCCGATTTGTTTGAGACTTGCGAGGACGCCATTTTGTTATACACACACCGCGAGTCCGGTCCGGGTCCGCGTATGAAAACTGCTCTTCAAGTTTGGAACTGGAGACAACTCTCCCCGCTTCTGGACTAGCTTTGGCTTATATTTACAAAGGCTTTTGATAATTTAGCATTAACTTCAGGCGACTTCTTAGAGTTTTTCTTTCCAGCAATATTGCAAAAAAAATTTCACGCCGGCGATTTTTTGGGTTTTTTTTATTTGTTGATTTTTTTGCTTTGGTCACTCTGAAATCAGGAGCTGTTGTTTAACATTTTACATCCTACGCGTCTAAAAAGCCGTTCTACACGTTTACAGATGCATGAGGTCGAATTCTCACTTTTGGTGTCGAAATTTCATGTAAAATGCATTAACATATCCTCTCTCTTCTCTCTCGGGTGCTGTCGGGTGGATGTTAATTAACAGAACTCTCTGGTCTCTGGTCACACCTTAACTTATTTAGAACATTGGCGCTGCCACACTTTGGCCGCCTGGGACATCTGGCAGCGCTTTGCGTTTCATTCGCCCGCTATCTGGCACCACCGCTCCATTGGTTTTTTGTTTATGTTGGGACGTCGTCGGAAAAATCGGCTGTTTTCCCGTGCGTCCGCTGTGCCATGAAAAGCTGCTAAAAAGCTAAATATAAAAATCAGCGCAGCGCGCGGCCAAACTTACGTTCGGAACACGGGAAATATGTGAATGCGGAGAGACGGAATGGAAAACGCATCTTGTGTGTGTACATAAATATGTAACTGCGCCCGTGCCTGCGTATGCGTTAGCGGTTGTGTTTGTGTTTGTGCACGGTGCAATGGAAAAGTGATTATTATAAATGAAAAGCTGAGAAATGTGTAAGTGTGCCACCGAAAAGGCTGTGAACTTTCGCATTTACGTGTTTTCACCTCATCCTTTCATCTCCCGCTCGCCTGCCTTTGGCGCACCAGCAGACGACGGCAACCAACTCCCACTTGTACGTGTGCGGGGTGCGCAGTGAAGCAGGGGTGTTTGTGTTTGCAGTGGTGTGCGTGCCAGATAAAGACTCTACGCTTCAAGTTTCTGTTCCGGAAGGATATTTGGTGTCAACCGGAGGGAATAGTTCGTTCGCCAGCGCCCCTAATATGCAGGCACGTCCATTAATTACGCGAAAGGTCAAAAGTTAGGACCCAAGGAGCCCCGCAATAATAATGTTGTAAGGAGGCAGCGAGGGAGAGAGCGAGCTATAGAGAAAGAAGGAGGGAGCGAGAGAGAGAGCGAGCTACTGTGCAGGTGTGAGTGCGTGATAGAACAAAGAGGACGAAAAACACGGCTGGCCGCGAATTCGCCGCACGACGAATTGGTGTTTTGTACCAAAAAAAAAAAAAAAAAAAACTAAAGGAAAACAAGGATTCTACGGATTTCTATTGAAACTAATTAAACTAAAGACTGCCAAGATATACAATCCAAGAGCCATGTCTGCGGCGGAACTTGAGGCGGAAGCTGCCGCCCAAGAGCAGCAGCCACAACAACAGCAACCGCCGCCCAGCGAGGAAACCAACAACACTACTGCCATCGATGAAAATTCATCCGCGACATCCAACAACAGCTTCAACAACAACATCGACATGGACACACAACTGCAGATGAGCACCTTGGATCACAACCAGATGCAGCTGGAGGGTAATAGCAACAACGGCGGAATTCCGGGTCTGGGAATTGGCCTGATGAACTCCTCACCGCCGCCGCACAGCTACCGGCACTCGCGGGCCTATCGCCACTTCAAGAATCCGCCGCAACCGCACATGTGCATCCGCACCACAACGGAAGCCGGCGAGGAGCTCTTCATCAATGTCCTCAGCTGGACACGCATTGTGATACCGCAGGAGCCCAGTGATCCCATTCCTCTTTACGGTGGCATGCGTGTAAGTTTTTTATTAAGAAATAAATATTACAATCTTTGAAAGTTACCAAAATGCAATATAATAAGCTCAACAATCATATCCTTTCAGGTACCACCTGGCAGTCCACGCAGTCCTCCCATCGTCTTTGCCGTCATGGCAAACCCAGAGGTGCTCAAGGACTCTGGACGCCACAGCAAAGACCCCGAAGAGCGACGTGCCATGGTGGAGCTAATGTGCGACTTTGTGGAGGCTATGAATCCAGGCGTGAAATTAGTCAGGTAATAACTAGCCCAATAAAGAAGATTACCTAAAAAACTAATCAAAAATCATCTCCCCTTAGAAACGCCGTAATACTTAAGGATCGCGACATCTCGGGCGAACTGAAGGACGTGTGGAATGCAGTGCAGGCGCAGCGAGATCGCGAACGGGAGGAGCAAATGATGCAGCAACGCCAGCAGCAGCACTACCAGAACATCACCACGCAACAAATGTTTCCCAAATCACCAGATGCAGCGCGTGCGGCCAGTGCTGGTGCCAGTGCGATGAACAACGAGGCCGGCTCGCCACCGGCTCATCCAGAGTCGCTGCTGGCAGAGCACGGCAATGGCAATGGCAATGGCAACGGTAATGGCAATGGCATCACATTGGCAGTGTTTGCCCAACAGCTGGACAACAAAGTGGCCAGTGAGCAGGCAGAGCAGCAACAGCAGGAACAACAACAATCGGCACTATTGGAGGAGGCTTGTGTGGATCAAACGGATGCGGGCAACTCGCTGAATGGAGCAACTACAGTGCTGGACAATCAACCAAGTGTGGAGACCGAAACAGAAGTAAAGGCGGCTGCTCCAGTTACCGCAAATGGTGGCAGTACGCCCTCGCAAACAGTCACACCCAATCCGGCACCAGCTTCAGCTCCAGTTCCAGTGCCAGCACCTGCTCCTGCTCCAGTTGTTACACCAACCCCAATACCAGCTGCTGCCGCTGCTCCCGTCAAGAAGGAAAAGCTCGGGGGCTTCTTGCCCAATGGCTGCATCTTCCCGCGCTTCAAGAACAACAAGCACAAGGACAAGGACAGCAGTCACAAGGAAGGCAAGAGCAAAGAGAAGACCCTGCTGAATGCCCTCAAGAAGAGCAGCAAGGAGAAGAAGGTGGCGCCCAGCGAGCAGCCGCCGGTGGAGAAGGCTGCCGTCGCCTCGGACAATGGCACCACCACGCAGTACGAGAAGAACTGCATCAATAATCTGGAGTGTGAGGTGCAGAAGCTGGACCTGAACAGCGGCAGCAATGGCGATAACAACAGTATGTTTATCAAGCTGAAAGTGTCGCCGGCGTCCAATGCCACAGCAGCGGCAGCGGCGGCAAAGTAGTGGGACCCTGAATCCTGAACACAAATCTCGTAGGTAAGTGGGAGAGCTAGGAACTCGCCAGTGCAAGGATCTGCCGAGCGTCCCTTAGGGCTTAGAGTCGTGAATAGAGAGAGGGCTAGAGAGGGAGTCGTGTAGCATATACAAGATTTATATATACAATATACAGAACACAACACAACACACTCACTCACTCAATCACACACGCATTTTTTGGATAGCCACAGAACAGAGATCAGAGACAGTTGTGCCATGCTCACCAGCTCATATAGACAGCGCTTCTCCCAAGGATCTTCCCCCGGCATTTACATAACTGACAAAATGATTAACGTATTTACATAGTTCAATATACATACATACATACAAATGTATGAGATTCGCATACACAGAGTTTGCCTTATATACAACAAGACCCTAAAAAGAGAGAGAGAGAGAGCGACCCAAGAACCTAGCAGCAAGAAGAGCCAGAATTCAAGTATATTTAACAATAATCAAGTTGTAATCAAGAGAAACTCATGCGCCAAACATCCCAAGCACACACAGAACTCACCACTCATCAACACATCTTGAGCTAGCAGCTAGCTCCATTCCTGATTTCACATCCATGACCACACGAAAGTATTACGAATAATCCTCGCAGATCCCTACTCCTACTCCTTCTCCTCCTCCTCGATCGATTGATCTCCACGCTTTGAAGTTGAGGGCTGTAGAATGGGCGCGGTTTTAGAGACGGCTCTATAAAATGTGTAGCAACAACTAACTTATGTACCTAAAAGTATACCAGGATGCCGACACGAGAACTCGTATACACAGATCCGCCATGTCGCTATTATTATGTTTTATTTGTGTTTAAAGTTTAACTTTTAACTTGTACGCCTTCCCAATGAGTGTGTTTCCCCGTATTTATATTTATTTGCCGTGCGTGTTTACTGTGTTGTAATTGAAACTATTGATGGAATGTCCTCAACCTGAGCCCCCTTTACAATGTATTTATTGTTTTGTGCTAATACCCGAGAACCCTCAACTTCAAACGAAACCATTCACGAATCATAAACATAAATAGAGTGTAGAGAGAGTAAACCACAAGAATTCGAATAATACAAAATTGGGGAACCCAACTTAAAATGGGGAAAACAAAAAACAGAAACAGAAAAAAAAATACTAAAAACAGTTTCAACTGCAATATCGGACTGAACAATGCTGCCATATAAAAAATATATATAGAATTAACATCTATATGCAAATATATTGCAATTTCCATAAATGAACGAAATTTCAATTGTGATTCAATTCGAAAATCTAATTTTGTTTCCACATCGAAAACACTTTTTGGAAGAAACCAAAACTACACAAAACACATACATACGTATACAGAATATCGTATAAAATATAATTTTGTTTGCTAGGCAAAACAAAACAAAACAAAAACACCAATTAGGCTCCAAAAAAACACGCAACACCAAAACACTTTTTCCTTTTTGGTTTTTGTGTTATTTTTTGTTTTCGGTTTCATTATTAGTTTTCTCGTTTAGGTGCCATACAAGTAAAGATGTATGAGAATTAATCAAAATTGATTGCCTAAGCCTAGAGTTTCCTTATTTGTGAGTTGGAACGAGTCCCCGAATCGTTGAAGGATCCACGGATCGTGGGCAATGTATGAGAAGAACCCTAAAGTATATGCTAGTTTTTAACTGGTTGTAAATGAGAGAAATGCTCGTGTAAAATTAGTATTAAATTATAGCACCACCAACCCAACAAAAACACAACAAAAACATCATGAAACATCAACAGAATCACACTATATAATTACAAATTAAAGCTAGTTTAAGATTCAAATCTTCTAAGCGAAGAGCAGAAAAAAGCAATAATTTTACTTGAAAAGAGAAAGGCGAGGCAAGGAAATTATAATAAAAATGCGTGGCGAATAGTAAAGTGTGGGCTGTTTTTCAAAATCTCTGGGAATTTCTTTAAAACTAAATACAAAAACATGTTTTTCACATAATGAATAAAGAGATTTGGTAGTGAATTTGGTTCATGGATGACCTGATTCCATTGGCATATGACACTTTTAGACTACAATGTCTTATTTTTTGTATAAATTAGTTAGATTAAACAACAATTTATTCACCACAAAATGTAAAATTGTTTGTTTTTTTTAATATATTTTTGCTACAAATTCTAAATTTTGAAGTATCTTTTCTTAAGAAGTTATGACACTACATTTTGACACTTTTTGTATACTTTTTGTTTAGTATTTTTGAGTTAAATTCTTTTTCTTATAAAGGTGTCATATAAGTTTTTAAAAAGCTATAATAGATAAACCACACTTGTTTAATATTAACTTGAAATCAAACATCTGTTGAAAGGAAGTTGAATATTTACCTAAATTCACTTAACCTTTAACTATAAATTAAAAATTTGCCAGTGGAATGAGGTTTTGTAAGATCAACAGCATGAAACATTAAAAAAAAGAGATCTAGAGATTTGGGGAACAGCCCAGAAGAATTCTACACAACAAACACTAGCAAGGGAGGAAACCCAACACACAAGAACTCACATTTTTATATTGTATATGTATGTAATAATAAAAAGAACGTATTTGACAAAAGTGTACAGTGGTGTTTTATTTAAGAATTCAATGTTTTATACTTATAAAACTAAATAAATCTGCAGGATCTGTGAGGATCAGTAAGTAATAAAAGAAAACTCAAGTAGAAGTTGCAAAGCTGTAGAACTTCATAAATAGAAGAATATAGATCCAAGGATTTATTGTGAGAAAGAAGGATCTTAAAGGATCTCCTTTTATAAGCCTAATAATATTATATATATATATTAATATAATACTATACAACCGATTTCCAGGACAATGAAAACCTCACACTTGATAGAACTTGATTAAAATCATCTATTTATTTTGCGAATAAGGATTTAATAAATATGTGGATTACTGGGATGTGTGTTTGTGTGTGCTACTTTCTACAGAACAACCTATACAATCGATCACCAGGATCTGTAGGGATCCCTGAGTCCCCTCATTCGTCATGGTTGTTGACGGCACGCAGACGCTCCAGTTCGGCGCGCTCCTCCTTGTTGCGCAACAGCGGGACATTGTAATCGAAGGCATAGAAGAAGCCCTTGGGCTCACCGGTCTCCTCGGGTCCGGGAACATACGGAGGCTCCTCGTGGACATAGGGCTGCTGCTCCTGCTCGGTGGGCTGGTAGCGACCCTCGGCAGTCTGGTATTCGGCGGCATAGGGATCCGGATTGTGACCGGCAGCGGCGGCCAGCTCGCCCCACAGCTTGAAGTGCTCCTCCTCGGCCTTGAGCACGGCCGGCGTCTTGGTGGCTGGCAGCTTCAGATGAGCGGGACGGTTGTCCTCCACATGGAAACCGGTCTTATCGGCATAATAGTTGGCCACAAAGTCACGGCCATGTGGCTGCACATACTTGTACGATCCGGTTACCTTGCCGGTCTCGTCACGTTTCTCGTTCTTGCCCTGATTCCAGTCCCTGTAGCCATAGGCGAACTGACCGAGTCCATCCTGACCATGGTACTGGTGGGCGTCGTAATGCTCCTCCACATAATCCTCCGGATGCTCAATCACACGGCCCATGTACACAAACTCTCCCTTCTCATTCCGGGCCTCGGGCAGCGGATTCTCACCAGTTTTCGGGGCATACTCGATGTCACCAATGCCACGCAACTGGGCGCTATTGAGGAACTGCTGGGCCTCCTCGGGTGTGATGTTGATCTTGAAGATGTTCTCGCCGCTGGCTAGGGTGGCCTGTAAATGGAAGCGAAGCGTGAAATGGATTAGCCAAATTATTAACAATCCCAAAAGGTAAGACAAGCCTCAAAATATGGCACACAATTCTAATGATCACACACACAAAATAAGAGAGATGATGTCATTTTTAGTTATTGATTAAGTCTCGCATCTCGCATGTAATGCCCAGCTGAGGTTTGCTTATTATTTGTTCACATTGTATAACTTTTGTATATTTGCACTAATCAGCATCACAGTTGACATTTTATGGAGTCACAACCCGGATTTTAATTGAATAAGATCTCTATTCACAGTGATCTTCACTGATCGTAAATTTGAGCTTAATTATGCAAAGTAGTCTCTGATTTTACCAGCAACAAGGTGGCAGCCAATATGAAGCACTTCATTGTGGTTTATATTTGTATATCCAGATGTATCACAAAGTTTTTACTCTTCTGTTCCGTTGGCGCGCTACTAATAAATGAATATCTCAGACTCCCTGGCTTATATACTAACTCTTGGCTCGGCTTTTTTACGTTTTTGCATAAACATCTCTCAGCGAACTACGAACTGAATGAAGATGTGCGCTTCGTGCTCGGATTCACCTGTCCGGTTTCTTACCCAGCTTCAGAATCGTACAGCCAGTGGCGGCACTATAAAGTTCATTATCGACGCGTCGCTCAAATTCGCACTTCTCTGAGATACAGGGGAGAATATATGCGGAGACATCATTAGTTGTATGTTTGCCGCAATGCTCAATTAGTTATCTAATAGCTCGGCGGGTCTTACCCATCATAAATTGTTGCTTCTTTTCAGAACCCTTTTCGAGGTAGCTTCAAGTGGCATTTCGAGCTCACATTGCCTGTCGAGTGTTCGAGTAGCTTATAGATGCTATAGATTTTTTATGCCACTCGAGATTCTTGTGGTTTCTTCAGAGGTATTTCGGGTATGCCTAAAATCTGGTTTGGATTTAGCTTATCTTGATGGTAAAGGTGGTTTCTATCTAGTTGGGTAACTAGTAATCTGCATATTATAGAAAAACATCGATTTAAAATCGATTTATAATCGATTAAATGATTAGAACTATTTCCAAAACCTTTATTTTAGTTTTTCAAAATCAGCTATAATCCCATAAAACGGTATTTCCCAGTCGCAACATTCTTATAAAAACCATATTTTTCACTTAACAGCTTGCTATATGATTTATTTACAATTAAGCCTTTTTTAAGCTTCTCAATCACTTTTTACTTTTAATTAATGCAAAGTTTTACTGCTTTATAGATTGGTGGGGCTTTGACTATGACTCCCCGGGTTTCCTGTCCGATCGGCGGAAGTTTTTTGTGTTTAGACATGCGCTGCCAAGCACTTGAAGTCCGCTTGGAGATGGCTGCATAATTAGATGCCGGGTTTTAAATGTCAGTTCAATAAGCCTCGAAGCTCAAGTGTAATTAGAGCTCAATGGGCCTCCGGCTTGGAGAAGGGTTTCGGGTCTCGGGTTTCGTTATCGTGCAAACTCTTGAAAGGCGCTTATTAGGCGCTGCTTACAAAGGGCAAAACTGCGCAGTTGTTCGATTACACAAAATGACTTAACTATTTAAATAATAAACACGCTTCACGTTCTTCTTCAATCATCGATTCGAATTCCGATTCTACAGTTGCAGTCGTAGTCGTCGTCGCCGTCTATTTTGAAAGTCAAGCGTAGCCAAAGCGCCACATCATCATCCTGCTCCCAAGTAGGTATCATCATCCTCATCAGCATCTACGGTTGCCGAGTGTTTCCCACTGTTTTTTGGGGTCTTTTATCTATTTTTAAACACATTATTATTATTATTTGTTTCAAGCTGGCAGACAAAGGCGAGCCGAGTCCGAGACTTTCGATGTTCTAAGCCATAGAATTAAGTTGGTTTCAAATAACTAAAAACAACAACTTTGGTAACAACTAAGGTTCTGGGTTAATTTATGATTCACCAACAGGTTGGACTCGCATTTATGTGACAACAACATGGCCTAACCTCCTGACGTCCCATTCAGATACATTCAGAGTTATTTTTTTGTTATTCTGGCAGTTTTGGGAATCCGCTTTATAAATAAATAAACAAACTACGAGTAGAATCGAATTATTATATGGAAAACTCATTGATTCATTCTTAAATGTCGTTATTTTGTTATCGAATTCCGATGGATGATGCCAATGTCTAAATAAAAACGAAGACCTAATTTCCAGCAAAAAGCTGGTTTTCTGGGCCTCTCCGTCTTAAATTTTCGGCTGTTGATAATTATTTATAATATATTGCCTTTATAATATAAAATAATTGCGTATGATAAATGAATACGCTGACGTTGTTTTCTTGTTTTTGATGCCGAACGATACGTCGTGCTGCTGCTGTGGGAAACAGATGAAATGTCAATTAAATTTGCATGAATGTTTATTTTTGATAAACGTTCTAAGATTTCAATTTTGCTAGGTTTGACTTCCTCGAGTTTTTTAAATAAATTATTCAAAGAGTTCCCACGTAAACACGGATCAAGTGCGAACAATGAGATTGAAGGTGCTACTTACTTTCAAAACGCTTCATAATTGCCAAAAGCCACTTCCTCATTATTTCAAATGAATAAAATATCACTAAACAAAAAGCACTTTGAGCGTCTTGGTTTCTGGTTACTGATTCACCTCATAGATATTAATGAATTATTTAACCAAAATGATGCTATTTCATATGTATATTGAATATCAACTGTAAGTTTGTCTTAATACCATTTATAATAAGTAATTTACTATGAAAATACTTAAAAAAAAAACATATTTCTCCTCTCTTAATACGACAAAATTTAAATTTAACGCCCAAAGAAGTTTCGTAGCTGTCAGCCAGTGGACGGCAACGCTAGCCCGATCAGGGCTGCATCACCGATACATGCGATACCTCTTCACAAACTACCACCACCAGTTTCGGCTTATTTTGGTACACACTATCGTCTTGGCTTCGGTCACACTCAGTGTGTTCGTCAAAAAACTAAAAATTATTCAAAGATTTAAAAACTCTAAATTAATTGTGGCCCTCTTGCGTAGTGCCAGTGCGTAACCAAGTCCTTAGCCCACACAGCGCGACATCGCGACAACCATGGTAGTGTCGGAGACGGAAAAGGTGAGGAAAAAAGGCTACGCCGCATGGTTTCCGATTCGGTCTCTCAATTCCGTCGGCCGAGGTTGAGCCGTGGCAGCAGAGGCAAAACAGAACAGGGTTGTTGCACAAGAGGGGGAGGTCGTCGATTCAGAAGCAGCAGCAGTACAGTGGCGTGGCATCATCTCTCATTGCTCAGCACCCGCAATCGAAGATTTGTAATTTCGCGCACAATTAACCATATTCACCGCTAATTGTTACTTGTTATTTGCACGCCGTTGTCTACGTCATTGTTCTCTCTCTCTGTCTCTACTACTATATCTCTCTTTCGCGGCCAACCGCTCTCGCATTTGCATACCCACACGTTTTTCACCGCTGCTCTCTCGTTGTTGCTGGAATAATTTTTTTTATGAAGTCGCACGCGAGTGTGTGAGTGCGTGTGTGTTTTATACGCCCGCGTGCTGGTGTGTGCGGATTTATATACAGCATAAATAGGCGAAGCAGAGAGACAAAAAGAAAGAGTAAATTACTGCAATAAGCAGTCGCGACGAACTACAGTTAAGATTTATATTTTTGGCCGCAGCGACTTGCATAGACCCAAGTGAACCGTTAGTTTTCCTTTGCTCACCTGCTCTCTGCACTCCTTTTTTCTTCTTGTATGTACGTTTTGTACTTTTCAGTTCACCACTGCCTTGAACTCGCACACCCACCCAGTTGTCGGGTCGCGAATTTCAGCCACAATTCTTTGTTCCAGTTGGAAGCAAAAGTGAAAATTCTTTAATTCAATAAAACCTCAATTCTCTCAACAGGCAATCTGTGTTTTTATGTCAAATACGTGCGCGTGTGTGTGTCTGTGTGTGCTGTAATTCATTGCTACTTTCGATTCGGAGTTGGTCAGAAACAGTTGCTTTAAACCTATAAATGTATTTAATCTAGTCATATCCGTCTAAAGTAATAGTTTAACACTCACCCACAACCAGTTTAACGTTTTTACTATTTTTTGGTTAATAATACTCAAAGTGAAAAGGAGACTGCAGTGAGAAATCAAGAAGTAATCCGCATACTCGCACACACGAACCGAAATCAAAAGCTTCGCTCTCGTATCGCACACACGCACACACACACACGCTCACCCACTCAACTCAACTCAACCCAACTCTCTCACACACACACTCACACACAGAGAGAACCCGAGAGCGCGTCAAGTGAATCAGCGACGATCGAGCAAGATCTCTCCGGAAAAACCATCAAATCGCATCCTACAAACACGGCCTCCAACATGCAGAGCGACTTTCACAGAATGAAGAACTTTGCCAATCCCAAGTCTATGTTCAAAGTAAACACTCGATCGCTGTTCTCCGCCGAGATTCGCCCATTTTAATATGTTCCTTCTATCTATCCCTTTTCACACAGACGACTGCCGCCAGCAGCGAGCAGACGGCCAACACGGTGGCCCCCGGTCGCCCAGACCCCACACCGCCAACTGCTCAGGCACCCGCTGCTGCTCCCGCCAAGGAGAAGGAACAGGAACAGGCCAAGGCCACGGCCACGGCTGCAACCGATGGCTCTGCCCCAGCTGCTACCACCGCTGGCGGCGATGAGGTTGTGCGCACCGAGCATCTGTTCAAACACCCGCTTCAGAACACATGGACCCTGTGGTATCTTGAGAACGATCGGACCAAGTCATGGGAGGACATGCAAAACGAAATCACCAGCTTTGACACCGTCGAGGACTTTTGGAGTCTATACAACCACATCAAGCCACCATCAGAGATCAAATTAGGCAGTGACTACTCGCTCTTCAAGAAGGGAATTCGGTGGGTGTCCATCTTGGATTGGTTTTTGTATGTAATCTAAATGATTCTCTTGGCTTACAGTCCCATGTGGGAGGATGCTGCCAACAAGCAGGGTGGTCGCTGGGTGATCACCCTTAACAAGAGCTCCAAGAGCGATTTGGATAACCTCTGGCTAGATGTGGTGAGTAGAGTAGAGTTGTGTAATCAATCGCATAGTTTCGGATGTATCTGTAGGAGTTATTACTCTAATGATTTCAAAATTGTTTGTATATTAATAGCCGCATTCCTATGACTCAATTTGTATATGTTGCATATCTTTCTTTTCTAATGAAAATTCGACTTGACTGAAATCCATCTGACTATTGTCTTGCAGCTGCTTTGCCTAATTGGCGAGGCCTTCGATCACTCGGATCAGATTTGCGGAGCTGTTGTTAATATTCGCGCCAAGAGCAACAAGATTTGTAAGTAAACACTCGCGCTCAATTGCTGCCGTTGCAATTTGATTAATGTGAATTTTGTTTATTCAGCCATCTGGACTGCCAACGGAAACAACGAGGAGGCCGCCTTGGAGATTGGCCACAAGCTGCGCGATGCCCTACGTCTGGGACGGCAGAACTCACTGCAGTATCAGCTGCACAAGGACACGATGGTCAAGCAGGGCTCCAATGTCAAATCAATTTACACTTTGTAGGCTGACGGGCCACGCCCGCCAACCGATCCTGCTGAGTTTAGTTAGTTTTGTGTTTTTGCCTCTATATATGGTTATAAACAACAGCACTCGTGTCTAAGACCCGCTTCCCGAACCCGAACCCGAGCCCAAAATGAGACCATTTGTTATAAAAAAATTTCGGCAATTATAAAAATGGATCCGCTTTTTTGTAGTCACTTTCGATAATGGATTAAACGGAATATAATAATAATAATCATAATTATAATAAAAGAAAAGTTCACCAAGACCGGATATCAAAAGACTTTTGAATACGTGAATATGAGTTAAAAAAGTATCTTGTTTTAATAATATCTTCTAAATGCGGTTTCTGCGGATAAACCGTATGGATTCCAAAAAATAGATTTGACGGATTCATTTATTTTTGCAGATACTTTCATGGATTAATCGTTTAAAATTTTGATTTACCGTTATAGACAATATTATGTATATGCTATATTATATTTTAATCTGCATTAAGGTTGATGATCAGGCTCTAGTTTTTATTTAATAATAATAATTTAATAATAAAGTATCAATATGTAGATATTGAAGTCTTGCAAACAAAGGTGATGCTGCCAGATTTTTGAATTTCGAGCTACCGCCGTTGCCAGACTTCTCGGTCTCGAGCCACCAGCATTGCCGGACTGTCCAGTCCAGTGCGCCTAGTTAGGCACAATTTATGGCGGGAATAACATATTTTTAAAGAGCTCTGTGGATATTAAAGTTAACGCAATAATGTAGACTGAATATTTCATTATAAAATATTAAACCATTTCTCTTCCTCTTTCGTTACGTTTTTATATGTATGTTTTCCTGTGTTAAACATACCCCGTTTCCGTGCTGTGTTTGTCCGAGCTAGATTCTGAGCAAAACTAAACTTAAATAGGCTAAAATTAAAACAAATTTAAATTAATAAAACAAGATAAAGTTAACACCTCAAAATTTACAATTTTAAAAAGTTATCATTAAACAGATTCGCACCAAATCCAGCACAATTTGTAAAAAAGAAAATGTTAACTTATACAATGTAAACACGGGGATATTTATTATTAATTAATGTAAAAACTACTAAATAAAAGTTAAAAATATTGCAAAAAACTTAAGAAAATTAAAGTCTTGACCTAAAATTATTTTCATTATTATTTTTAATTCGTGCCAGATATAAAAAAAAGGATAAACACTTTTTAACACTGGCAATAATTGCAAGAAAATGTAAAATGAATGTTAAAAGAAGCTATTTGTAAGCCTATAAGCTTTTATACATGCAATGCTGGATCTAGCTTGGTACACTGGTACACTGGTGGTACACTTTTTCGCAATGATTGTAACTTGGAAAAAAAAGCAAAAAAAACAGATTATGATTTTAACATCGTACATTAGAACTACCCCATGTATCTGTCAACGTGTAAAATTACGTTGAAGACGTGTGAAATGTAAAATGTTAACAGCTTTTGATTTCAGAGTGACCAAAACAAAACATCAAAAAATCGCTAAAAAAAATCGGAACTTCTCGATATTATTTTGATATTTTCGACAAAAAATAAAACAAAAACAAAAAAACAGTGGCCAGTTCGTTTCTTCGCGCAAGAAAAAAATAATAAATATAATTAAATAAGACAAAAATATATAATAATAGACCAACCAACACAAACAAAGACACGGGCGGCGCAAGCGAGAAAACGGGCAAGAAAGTGAAATAAAGAAAACAAAAGTGCAATAGATACGGTTTTGGGATTGTGCAAAAAATCGAAGTAGCCTGCCAGTGCGACGACAGGTTCCGTTTCGACGTTGAGTATAAACAAATAGCAATAAAAATAACCCCAGCGCAGCAGAATCATAACAAAGAGGAGCACCAGCAGCAGCGTAAAAGACAAAGACAAAGGCGTCGAGGCTGCGGGGGGTTGTGCGAGTCCCCTCTTTTTTGGGGTTGGACCAGGAGAGCAGGAATACCGACTATGCAATACCCCGGGATCTAAAAGTCAAACATAATGCCTTGCGACAACGCCAAAACCTCGTCGGATATTGAGCATGTGGACTGGAACTCCGGCCAGCACTATGCAAATGTCAGGTGAGTTTGGCACTCTCCTTTTCCCCCTCTCCCCGTTGCGTGCCCTTGACACGGGTCGAAAAAAGTTGTGAAGGAGCCAGGTGGGATTGGGGAATAAATCAATGGAAGGGATCGTAATTATAATGCTAAATAAATACACGTTTTAACAAGACATACTTGGGAAAAACCATGGTTTCAGAAGCACAAAAACAAAACTTACATTCTGCCAAAAACGGGCACCTGGCGATAGAGTTTCAAATTCTGCTGGGCTTTTCGTGCCAGAAGTTGAACTTATTTAAACCTTATGAAACTTTAAGCCAGAGTATTCGCTTTCTTTCGACCGCTCACTGTAAATTATTCTGCGTATAAAACATTCAAGTACAACATTGCAAAGAAAATAAAATAAAAAGGAAAAAAAAATAAGTGCAAGCACGCAAGTGAAATCGTGGGTAGACGACAGGGGACTTTGCGGCCACGGGTGACATTTCTTCTTGGCATTGTCCATTGTTTATTTATAGCCAGGAAACGGACATGATTTAAATGTTTGATTTTGATTGTCCGCTCTTTGGGGGAATCGAAATAATTGAGTTTATTTCCCTGACATGCAATTACAAATGCTAAATTTGAAATGTGTTCACCAAGTCCAGCTGTCAATATACCAGGCTGATCGTAACACTCTGCGGTGAAATTAAATAAATTGAAAAGCAGACAAGACAAACCCCCTAAATGAAATCCAAAGTGAGCCACATTTAAGCAGAAAATGATTCATCTTTCTGGCCCAAAGATGATATCACTTTTCCCAGGTAACTGGGCTTGGGTTGGTTTAAATTGCAAATTTTATGCAATTGGAATCTTTATCACTCTAATCTATAGTTAACGCCGGTCAATGACAATCATTGGACAACCGGACAGCTAGCGTAATAACATTGTTTAAGATTAATCCGCACACACTTACCATACCTGCTCCAAGCGCTTCGATTGAAATGCAAATCAATCGGCGGATTACCGATGCTGGGAAGAGGTGAAAATGGTACTTGACACGAGGCGCCAAAGCAATCTGTCGACAAATGAACTAATTGACCCGAGATTCTATAATAAAAACATAGAATTAAAATGCTCGTGTGGCGGGGCAATGGCTTTGATTTTTTGTACTTGATTCCCACGAAATTTACAGATAATGTGTGGTGTGTGTGTGTGTGATCGTTAAATAAACAAAAACATTAATTAATTAATTATAACCTCTGGACTGTAGATTAAACAAAGCCTTTATGTTTTGAGTTTCAGTATTGAAAAAGGTTGGGGTGAATTATTTGAAATAACATGTGCTAATCATTAATTTAACAGGTGTTAAGGGTTAATGCTAAATATAGTTAGCTCCTGGTTAGCTTATCATTAATGTTCTATTGTTTTAAGTTAAGATGTTATGCTTGGAAAGTTGAGTTTAAATCTATGAATATCAATATATCAAAATTTACAATAAATTCTACTTCTCCAAAACCAACTTAAACGATAAATTGACTATTGATTTTGAATATAACTTATTTTTCTGACACCTTTCCAATAACTTTGAATATCTCATAAGAACCCTACGTTTGTTTATTTTACTATATTTATATATATCATCTGTTTATAAAAAGAATTATTTCCCATGAAATATATCCAAGTTATCTATGATATCTTTAGTTCAGTTCATAAATATTCCTGCTCCCCGAGTGAGTTTTTAATTTATTAATAGGAAAACGGAGCAACACCCTCTCGAATGTCGTCGGGGTTGTGGCTTATCACCAGACAATTGCAAATCTAATCTGTCGTTGGGGTGTGTAAAGGGATATATATTATCATGGTGTTGTGGTTTCACTTGTTGGTGTTGTTGTTGTTGTTATTGTCTCAGGTGTCGTCGCTGTTGAATAAACATTGGCAATTGTTGGTGTTTATGCGAGAGACGAGAGACCTGGCCTGGGCAATTACGATCAAATATTTGCCAAGTATGATGAAAATGTAAAATGGAACGAACTCAATTACTGATAAGAACCGGCTTTTCCGCCAACCATTACAGCCCGCTGTGGGAGTTGCTCGATTTATAACTAAATACAAAGACGAAATATGTAAATTGTTTTATTTTGGCGTCGCCCCGCATGGGTATAACTTTTGCATTAATTGCCCTGACTTGGCCCGCAGCCGCCGCCCTTGCCTCGAACTTAAACCAGTTGGGACTTAAAAATAAGTTTACGCGGCACACAAAAAATAATACGCAAAATATCAAAGCTCTTGAAACAAAGCAGTGGAGCAGTGGAAAACAAAGCAAAATACAGTTTGAAGTGGACTCGATCCCATCCTGCTTTTGCGCCATGTGAGGATTACACTGGTTTCATCTGGTGGTCCACTGGAGGAGGGCGTGCCCTGGTGTGGAATTTAAAAAATACGCTAATTTCGTTGTAATTAAAAACGTAAGCATGGCGAGTCTTTTGACTCTCGATAAATAAAAAAGAAAAACATGGAAACCCCTGAAATAAAACTTTTTAGATCGGATTCAGCGACCGACCCCTTAAATAAATAGAATGTCAAAAAGCTTTACGGGTCAAAAAAAAATCATAGTTCTGAATCATCATCAGTAGCGAATCCCAACTTATTTCAATATTAATTAGCCCTTAAAAAGGAACACGAGTTGTATAATAACTTTAGCTTTTACAATGTGTAATAATCTTTGTTTTACATTTATTAACTTATTTGAGAAAGCAACAGCTTGATTAAGTTCAAACACAACAAACAAAATAAAGCACAAACACGAGCATTGTTGATAATTAAGGAGTTAAGGAATATTATATCTGTGGATTTTAATTCGATTACAAAAATAATATAATATATATTTAAATTATATTTTGCTAGAGCTAGCAAAACAAGATATGACACGATCTTTAAAAATAATTTATTTTTACCTAATAATTAGGAAAAGTCACGAAAATACCCTTTGTTATACAAGCTGTCGCCTAATTACTATATTTTTGGCATGTATCTTTACAACGGCTTATTTAATGCATTCAATAAAACAATGAATTAACATATTTAAATGTTTAAATATAGTTTAAATCTCAAACTGTTTCTTGTTTATTTTTTCCACACATTATAGCGTTAAACTGCCTCGTTATAAACTCTTTTCTTTTGAAAGATTAAGGTCTGTTTTGATTAGGGAATTTTCAATGAACCAAGTGAATGGATTTCAAGTTACTGAGATAACGATATGCCACATTTCAAACAGTATTTCTTTTCTAAAATATAATTATATATTAAGAAAATTTTAAATATTTACGAATACACATTCAACCTAAACATTCTGTCAAGGGCATTAAATATTTTGCACGGAAAAAGATCAATTGCAGGTGCAATTGAAACCCTAAGCCCGTGAGCAAAAAGTTTATATATATATTTTTTTTTTTCTTAAAGCACCTGTGTCTCTCTTTCGCTGTTGTTTTTTACCTGGTAATGCGATAGCACTTTGCAGGTGTATGTGTACCCTTTGATATCGCTTAATCAAATTGTGAGAGGCAAAAAAAGGAACGCAAGCAAACCAAATAAAAACAATATAAAAACCGGCGGTCAATAATGTGAGAAATCTTTCCGAGAAGTGCTCTTTTAATATTATTTTTTTGTTGTATTGATTTTTGTCGATTAGTATATTTCTGGTTCCGTATGATCGACAGGAATTTACAATGTACGTACATGTGTACCATTAGTATGTGTTTACGGATTTGAATCGACATTTCCGTTCTAATTGAGTTGAAATTTGTTGTGTTTCAATGTCGAACAGGCAATTTGAATCGCCACACCGTTTCGTTCCCTTTGCCTTTCCCCCAAAAAAAAGACCAATAGATGCCAAGTCATGAGGCTGCTTCAGTTGAGTGGCTCCAAAGACGGGTTTTTGGTGTGTCTTGTCTTTTCATAGCGACTGTCTGGAGCCCCAAAAGCCTCCTCAAGTCGATTCGTCTGATGAAGTCGTAAAACTTGCGACTTACGCATGTCCTTAACCTCCAACTTAAGAAGGAGGTGGCCCGAAAGGATAACTATTCCATCCTGTGGAGCGACAAACATGGGTGGTAGTTGCGGTTTGGTTGGGCGGTACTTTAGGAACCGCTTACTCTGCTACGTTCCATCGATCCAAGGACAAACTTCTGGCAGGGGTATGAGCACTAAAGGACATCGTCGTGTCCAGCTCCAGTTCCCATGTCCATGACCAATATGCGCTAGCAGAGCCTTTCCCTTGCCTGTCCTGTCCTGTCCTTCGCCTCAATCACGCACTGGCCGCCTGAACTCTGAAAAAGGATACAGACACACGTAGCAGCGGTTGTACTTGATATACGTGGAAAAGTTACACTGAAAAGTAAATATGGGAAAGAACTTTTACATAGCTTTAAACAGAGCAGTTATAGTACTTTAAAGTCAACTATTGTTGTCCCTTTTAACATCTTTAACAATTTCTTTTTAGTGTATTTTAAGTTTAATAGAAAACATCTATATTTTCCCTCTGTGTAGTAGAAAGTAAAAGTTGCTCTGGCCGTTACTTAGATTAGATATAGCACTCGTCGACTCCTCCTGTACCCCAAACCGGATCCCTAGACTCTAGAGCGAACTGCTCTGTACCCGCACCTAGTCCCCGAGTTCCTCTTCGCAGGTGCTGAGTGGGCGTTTTGCTGGCCATAATGATAGGGCGGCCAACAGAGCTAATTGCTATGGCCATAAACCAGCACCAGATTGCTATAGTCCATAAGGGAAGCACATCCACTCGGAACCTATCTAATATGTACACACATATGTGCTAGTCGAGTCCTCTCTGGGGAAGGGGTGCAAATGTGAGTGCTCCCTTGTGCTCGAACGGGCTTTCAGGCTAATCACTCATCGCAAGTAATTCATTACAAAAATGAAAAAAGAAAAAAGAAAATTTAAATAATTAATGACACATTTGATACGGGTTTATTATGTGACAAGTAAGTCATAAGATGTTGAATTTATCAGAGAGAGTTTATAATAATTAATTGATTTTTCCTATATTTACTTGTAAGTCATAAGCCATAAACCAGCACCAGATTGCTATAGTCCCTAAGGGAAGCACATCCACTCGGAACCTATCTAATATGTACACACATATGTGCTAGTCGAGTCCTCTCTGGGGAAAGGGTGCAAATGTGAGTGCTCCCTTGTGTTCGAACGGGCTTTCAGGCTAATCACTTATCGCAAGTAATTCATTACAAAAATGCATTTGCTTACATTTGGATATATATGAAAAATAACCAAATCGCATACAAATACAATCAGTTTTCCCTTAATCTATCTATCGCTGATTTTTTCAATCCAAAGTCATACGATTTCTAATATAATTCATATTTCATTGGAATATAACATTTCTCATTAATTAGACTTCACGTTGATGTCATATTAGTGATCCTATATTTCCATTTCCAGGGAAGTGTCGGTTTAATTCAAAATTTAAATGTTTTAGGTCAAGTTTTCAAAATCGTAATATATGGAATGAATAGAAAACAAGTTCAGGGAATGCTCAAAATGGATGAAACATCCGCTGCAAACCTATATCAAATACAAAGCCATGTCCGCGTTATTTTAGATTTATATTATTTAAAGTTTCTTTTAAATAATGATACTTAAGGAAATTCGACGTACTGTCAGTAGCATTAAAATATAGAATACCCAATTTGATCTTTATTACTTCATATTATTATTTATTAGGGGGTTCTATCGCCTCTGTCAACAATTCGTTTAAATGCAAATACATGTAGTATAATTAAAAAAACTATATACTATATGCGAACGTGACGGTGAATGATTCTGTGAGAATGATGATAACAACCATTGTTGTGTGAATCATTCACAGATCCCACCCATTCACGCTTGACATTTCCCATTCGTACCATCCGGACAAGGGTCATCGACTTCTTATCAATTTTATGCCAGGGCTTCATCATTAATTTAAATTTATTATTATGCTCCATAATAAATGAGAAATAAACATCATCATAAGATATGACGAATACAAAAATGTGTCACTGAAAAGTGTCGTAAGCTAATCTATGCAATTCCCATTTAATTACACTATTAACACACATTTAATCACTTGCTTAATTTGATTATATATTTTAATTGAAGTTTTAATTACACCGGGCATACTTTAAATGATTGCATTGCTCATACGACGCGAAATCTAATAAATATTCATTGAGTACGCTTGTTAGATCTGATCTCTCCAGTTATTGATTGTCTTAGAACAAGCTTAGAAAATTATATATTTCGATATATTTTCCCATGACTTTACAACGGTTTCGATAAGGAAAGAGCATAAACTTGCTTTGTTTTTGCGTATAATATTCTAATTTCACTTTGAAAGCGATTCATAAAAAAATGAATTATATTATAGAAAAGTATGAAAGATTTGCATTTATACTCAAATGCTGAAAATAAATCGCTTTAAAATGTCTCATATTTCACTTAAAGTAGTCTGAAAGGGGCTAAACACCCAATGACCTACATTTCCAATGACGTTTTCCAGGAAAAATAGCTATCTTTATTATTTGTTGCCTCTTAGTAATTAGAAACAGACTTATGGGTCAACCTAGTTAATTTTATAAACAATCCGAGGGGAATTCAAACTGATGTTAACTTAACGTGAACTCTTTTTTAATCAATTGAACCTAAAATAGTTACTAATCAAATTAAAATCTAATCTCTAATTCTAATCTCTTCCAGATTCGGTTCCGGCAGCAGCCAAGCCTCGCAGAACAGCGGCGACATTTGCCGCATCTGCCACTGTGAGAGCGATCCGCAGAATCCACTCCTGACGCCCTGCTACTGCTCCGGAAGCCTGAAGTATGTGCACCAGGCATGCCTGCAGCAATGGCTCACCGCCTCCGAGACCAACTCCTGCGAGCTCTGCAAGTTCCCCTTCATCATGCACACCAAGATCAAACCCTTCAACGAGGTAAGTCGCTCTGGGTTCCCCATTTGGCGAAAGCAATCTAATTTATTGTATCTTGTCTTCTTTACATTGTGCGGCTTCTGCGGAATCGGAATTGGAATCGATTGAATGGATTGCGTCGTTGGAATTGCAGTGGCGCAGCCTTGACATCTCCGGCATTGAGAGACGGCGATTGTGCTGCTCCGTGCTGTTCCACTGTGCCGCCGCTCTGTGCGTCATCTGGTCGCTGTGTGTGCTCATCGAGCGGGCCGCCGATGATGTCCAACGTGGCCTAATAGGTGCGAGACCCGGTCCTACGGTTCGGCCAGGTCGACTAACTGCACAGCGAAATATCCGTAATTGTGTAATTACCTGACCTTCCTGAACTGGGGGACTGTTGCTGTCATTATTGTACTCTGTTCGGTGTTCGCTCTTAACGGATTCTAATTACCAAACCAACCTGTTCTCTTGCCATTCTCTAGATTGGCCCTTTTGGACGAAGCTGGCGGTTGTCACCGTGGGTCTCACCGGCGGCATTGTCTTTATGTACATCCAGTGCAAGGCCTATTTGCATCTCTGCCATCGTTGGAAGGCACGCAATAGGTGAGGGGATATACTATATATTATTAGATAGTGATTAAGGATACAGTTTGTGAATAGTTATGAGGCAAAATATAAGTATATGTATGCTAGAGTTTGATTGTAAATTAAGGTTTAATCATAAACTGAAAAACTATATAACTTGAAAGAAAATAGAAGGTTTACTAGGCATTTAACACCTTGTATATGGTATAAGCATCTCTCTTAATCAATATCAATTCAAATCACAATAATAATCTATTGTTAGAGTCAGAACTATCCCATACATACGGAGGTAGTGTATTATATGTAAAAAAACAAAGAAAAATCCCATTTCTACTCAACGGGAAGGCACACAATCATAGATCAGTATTTTATTATCTGAAATTATCTATCGAATTAAAGCCCATTGTTTCAAAAGTTTCGTTTGTTAAGGTTTTTACATTTAATTGCTCACAAGCTGTAAGCTAAAAGTGGGATTCGTTTTGAACTCTATTACCTTGTTTATACATTACTTTGGAGACCCTATAAGATTGAAGCCTCTTAAGGCTTAATTGCAATCCCATAACCCATTAAGCTTGCCTTATTTATTTAATCCACTGTTTATTTAGATTAGCCTTCTAAACATTTAATTTATACTGTCATTCGCCAAAGTTGTAAATCAATCTTGTCTCAAAGCACTTTGCGATTATAGAAAAAAGAAAATTTAAATAATTAATGACACATTTGATACGGGTTTATTATGTGACAAGTAAGTCATAAGATGTTGAATTTATCAGAGAGAGTTTATAATAATTAATTGATTGTTCCTATATTTACTTGTAAGTCATTTGAATAAACATTGTGTCATTTATAAATACAAGTTGATGTTGTCATGGGTTTAATTATTTTAATAGTTCATTAGTAGGTTAGGTTATGGTTGAGTTAAATTATTCAAATTGTTTAATACAGTAGATATTTTAAATGCTTAGGTAAACCGCACTTATAAGGCAGATTTACTGAATAGATTGAGTTATATGATTTATATGATTTATTTATTGTATTATTTATATGCTTAAACAAATTTACAAATATATTTTAAAGCAAATGTTACCTTTTTCGATAAGATATATATGTTATTAAGGATATATTTTAGTTAAGTTTTAAACTAATTTGAACAAAGGTCTTGGTATCCTATTAAAACTTTCTGCTTTTCCCCACAGAATCCTTCTAATTCAAAACGCCCCAGAGAAGATCCATCCATTGGCTCCGCCTTCGCCGGTGGCCGCCCATCACCACCACTTTAGTGAGCCGCTGGCTCATGCGGGTTCAACCAGTGGCGGAGCAGTAGAGATTAATGCCAGCGGTGCGGCTGCCCACGATGGTAATTGTGGGGCGACTCTGGAGAACGGCGTTGGCGGAGGACTAGGCCTGCATCAGCAACAAATGCAACAGCAGCGACTGCTCAACTCCTCGCCACATCACATGCTCCAGCTGGCCGCGGAACTGGAGGTGCCGCACAGCAGCAGCAGCGCCTGCACACAGACGGAAGACGGAGGACATAACCATCAGCGGCACCATATGCAAATGCAGATGCAACAGGACGGACAGCAGCAACTGGGCCAGGTGGCGGTGGCCGCCAACATTGAGTGTTCACAGTCGCAGCACAACTATGACCGCGACTGGGCGCTCGACGACGTCGTCTCACAGATCTCCTCATTCCGACCCTGTCCGCAGGGTTCGGGCAGCATGACGCCCTTCCACGACTCTATTCACAATGTGCTGGAGCATTCGGAGGGTTCTAGTCGCGGCTCAGCCACGGATCTCTGTGCCGGTTCCCGGCAAGATCTCAGTGCCAGCGGCATATCCACGGACACGGGCCGCGAGCATGCCCTCCAGCTAAGCAGCTTTAGTGGTAAGCAACATTACTTCTACTAAAGATGAATACTAACCCACATCATTCCGTCTTGCAGGCAGTGGCGAGCACAAAGCGCCCTCGATCAGCTCGGGAGTGTCGCATGCGGTGGCCAATGGACTCGGTGGTTTTGTGTACAAGCCGCACCAGACTAAGCGCTACTCCAACTCGTCCATTTTCCTGGAGAACCGCGATGTGCTAAGCGACCAGACCAGCGTTGGTCCGGACACGGCAGTGCATCCGCCATACGATTACAGTACGCCGCCAAAGATCGACTATCGTCATTCGGGCATCGGGCACTCGGGCTGTTGCACTGCCGACTGCATGGATGGCCACCCAATGCAGACCAGGAAGGCGGAGCTTCGTCGCTACTCGGATCCAAAACTGAAGCCCAGCGATGCAGATACCGTGCTGGATATTGACTTGCCCACATCGCCGCTATCGCCACCTGCCGCCTATGCCAGCAGCAACCAGCAGAAGCGGCCGCTGGCGCCGCCGCTCATCATCTCCTCCTCCTTTGACAGGGGCGTGAACAGGAGCCGGCAGGGACACTGCCCCTCGGACACTGCCCAGATGGATCGATCGCGGCTCAGTTTCAAGTCGTTGCCAAATCTCAGCAGCAGCTGCGAGAGTCTCATCCAAAAGTGATTGTCGAATGTGGATCCAGCTCATCCTGTGCTCTCTCCCCCTGTAACCCTCTGCTCTCAAGTATTCACCGCTGGTCGACGAACAGATCCCTGAGATCATCCAAAGGAAATACTATTTTTTATACCGCACACACACCAATGGGGCTTTAAAAGCCAGACAGATCGCGTGACCAGCGGCCAGCCCAATCCTCTAAGTTCTTCTCGTTGTGTTTAACGTTTTCATATAGCAAAGAGCCCATAAACAATTTTTGAGACTGCAATGATTAAAAAAAAGGAAGGGAAAAACAAAGCAAAACACTTGACAGAGTGGAGTATTGATTATTGTATCGTTTAAAATCAAGTAAGCAAGCAGTGTGTGTATCTCTAGATTTAGGCGCTAAACCAACTGATGTATAATTTATCTGCTAATCGCATCATCATCTAGCCTCCGATGTCCAATCCTCCCATATGTGTCCACACACCTGAGTTGTTGTCCAAGCCAAAAGAAAGCCTACAAAAATTAACCAGAGACAGTAATTATTTAGTCCGCGTACGGGATGTGTGTATGTTTTGTTTTCTTAACTTCTAAGTCAAATGAAATTTTAAAAAATTGATCTGTGATTAAGCGTCATTGAATAAACATACATAACATACATACAACATAAAAATGCAAGCATTAACATATACATATATATTGACAGTCAGCCGCAGCAGTAGTAAAGAAACAAAAAATTTTTACTTAAATAACAATATAGATATGAAGAAGAAACCAACAACAGCAACATGACAACCACTAAAAGCTTTTCGCTCCCCTGGGAGCTGAGAAATAGGGATTTAATTCTTTAAAAAAATCTCTAGCTGAAAAAATATATATGAATGGAAGCCGTTTTTTAGACATAGACACATAGCATAAAAACAGTAAATACTTATGATCGCTACCAGAGTTACGAGCATAAAAATAAAAACCAAATGAGAAACAAAATTCAAAAAAAGAACAACTAAATTTTTTAATATGTACTAAATATTTAAATAAATATGTGCAAAACTAAATTTAAAAAATGTTTTAATTCAAATGGCTTTTCAGGGTTTTATAGTTTTATTTAAAATGCTCAACTGCTCCTATTCAAACACCAGGCGCAGAGAAGGCAGCAGTTGGAGGAATTAATCTCCAATATTTACTACACCCTAAAAGTATGCAATTAAAAAATTCAAGTAGTCTAAATAATGGGGCATCTTTTAGGTGGAAATTGCGTAAAATATATGTAATTTTCTTAATCCTTATAATTCCAAAGCAACTAAGGTATACATTAATTTTTTTATTTATGCCCATGCATTTGAATATTAGGTTTAAATTAATGCATAAGAAATCAAACTACATTACCATATTTGCGCTGTTTTTTCCAGTTTATAATTTAATTTCATTTGAAAATATAGGTTTATTATAAAAGGGGATTATTCTAAAATATTAGTTTCTTTGTATTTTTAAAAGAAACAAAAATCTTTTATTTTTTAATAAATCGTAATAAACTTGAATCGAATCCTACAGCTGGAAATACTTCCAGAAACTTGAATAAAACCCAGATTAAAGACCGGTTTTGTCTGCAATGCAGATGCAGATGTGCGAAGACTGCAAAAAAGGGGAAGAATCCGAACAAAAGACAACACACAGCTGACTTTTTCTTGATCGTTTTTTATTTTATTCGGTTACAAAAAATGAAATGCAAAATTCTCCCGAGTGTTGTGCCTGTTCTTGTTACAAACAAACAAAAGAATTGATAGTTATGAATGTGGAAAATTGAATTTTCCCGTTAGCCTAATTGTACAGACTAATGTGTTGTTTTTAGATTCGTGTATGATAATTGATGTTTAAAAATCGCTTACTACTACAAATGTGATGAATTGATGTGTGTAATATTATTAATATTATTATGTTTTTAGTCTTGCACTCTCCGAGCAGCGCAGCAACACTCCTCCGAGTTTCTCCTCCTCCTCCTCCTCTTCGCCAGCGAAATTCCGAGTCTCCATCTTCTTTTTTCTCTTATTTGCCTGTCTCCATCTTTTCGCCGGCGCCATTTTCAGTTTTTCCATCGGCTGCTTTTCCATCAGCTGGAGCGGCCACCTCCGGAGCCTTGACACTGAGATGGGCCGGACCTGTCTGCTGGATTTGGACAATGCGCTCGGGCTTGGACTGCTCCTTGCTGGGCGGCGGTGGGGCCTTAAGGGTGAGCACGCCATCGGACGAGACGGTGGACACCACATCGTTGGGGTCAAAGTCCTTGGGCAGCGTATATTTACGCACAAAGTGACGCTGGATCAGGCCGTGCCCATCCTCGCGCTCCTCGTGCCTGCCCTCGACCACCACCGTCTTGTCGACCACCTTGACGGACAGCTCGTTGGGCTTGAACTGCGACACATCCATGCACACCTGGAAGCCATCTTTGCCCACCGCGGGCAGCAAGGCGTTCGGTCCGCCGCCCTGGGACAGCCGGCGACGTGGCACCAACTGGTGGTTCTGTCCCAGGCCGTGGTGGCCATGACCATGGAGCATTTTCTCGTACGGCAAGAAGCGGCGGCGGCCCAGGGAGCCGTGCAGCTGATGCTGCAGACGCGGGCGGTGGAAGAGATCGTGGGCGTGGACACCGAACCCGAAGTCATCCTCCAGCAAGTGCTCCCAGTCGGTGCGGTACTCGTGCTCCAATTCGCGAGCAGCCAAGTTCAGCAGTGGAAGAATCGACATTTTTCCTTGATTTTCTTAATGTATTCTTCTGTCTAGACAATAAAGACTTTTTCTCTTTTTTCTTTCCTCTTTTAAAATTTCCTTCGGCGAGAGCTTAAATTTTTTTTGCGAATGCGAGCGGTCGGCTTCGACGCCGGCCTTTTATACTGACGCCGTGGCACAGAGGCGCAGTTCAATTACTTTTCAAAGGGGTTTAAAGAGGTAATGAGCTTTGATATGTGATAACTCTTTTTATCAGTAAAATTAAACGTACAATTGAACGAAAATGGTTATTGTTTGTATTAAAACAATTAAAACTAAATTCCGTACTTAAATAAAATAAAATAGTTATAAACTTATTTCAAATATACTAAATATTGAGAGCGCTTAGGCACCTCTTCCTACGCCCATGTTTGGAGTTGTCGTTCACTAACACAAAGGCATTCAGCTTTTTGTCCTCTCTCACGCTCTCTGGTTGCTTCTGGCTCTTTCTGGCACAGCCGGCGTCGCTTTGCGAAAGAGAGAGGAAAGTTCTTGCATTTTCTGGCATTTTCTCTTTTGCAAAAAATATAATAAATAAATGAGGAACAGTAAATGCCCTAGTACATAATATTTATTTAAAGCGAGTTTCTCTCTTATCGAATTGTTTAATTGTTGTCTGTTCAGAGTGCAACGAAGCCTGCAGCAGTCACTGATATTTTCATGGGACAAGAAAAGGGGCATTGAACTTTCCCGTCGACTTGCCTCCTCATGTGTGCCCTTCTTTTGTTTGCTGCAAACATTTTTGCGTTTTCCTTTGCGGCTGCTTCGTGGAGTCAAGGTTTGCCGAAATATACATATGTATGTACATATGTATGTATGTACATACATATACATACATATGTACATATGTATATTTGCAGTCGGTTGCAGCTAGCTTTATTTTCTTACCCAAAAAACATTTTAATCTTAATATGTACAAATAAAATCCTCCCGAATTTTCTATAAAAGTCTAACCTCAAAAAAAAGTTTTTTTTTGGTCTAGAATTTTCTATAAAATTCCATAGCACAAAAAGACTTTTTGATCTAGAAATTTCTATTTAAAATTCTATAACTCCATAAAAGAGTTTTTGTCTTCGATCTAGAAGTTTCTATAAAATTCTATTACTCTTAAGAAGAGTTTTTTGTTATAAAAAAATATAGAAAAAGTTAAAGATTTTCCGAAAGAAGTTATATATAATTTTCCAAGGTAAATAACTAAATCTTATTTAGAAAATTAATAAATATTTATGTCATTATTTAGTTCTATAATTTTTTTCAGTACTTTTTTCCAAATCTCTTGTATTTGTTTATAACATTTTCTAAATGTCTTCAATAAAATTTAAAATATGTTTTAATATCACTAATATTTTTGTTATAATGCGATTATAACTGTGATTTTTATCGAGAATTATTAGGAATATTGAAAGCACCTAATAATAAAAATAAGGTTAAATATTAATTTATAAAAAAAAGCATTTTAAAGGATAAAAAACCTTCCTAAAAAATAAATGTGTACATATGTACACATAAATTTAATTTAATAAATTTCCCTTATCTAAATTTTTTTTAAATATTTAACAAGGTTTTTAGTTCAGTGATTCTAAAATCCTAGTCATTCCTAAAGTTAGACAACATTTTAAAAGAGTTGCGAAAGTTAGCTTTAACCGATTACCCACCAATAAATAAAAACACCACAGAATATATATTTGTAAGATACATAAATATGTATTTATAATTTATTGGTATTGTTGATATTCTAGATTCTAGAATCCAATTACAGTATTATATAGTCCGAAAGGTTAAGATTACGCTGGGACACTCCCCAATGGCTAATGAGTGAGTTGGAGTGTCCCGTAACTATAGCTTATAAAACAGATTAATGACTTTGACAATGTTTAAATGCAGTAATGATAGAGATTACTTCTCGTTGCCATTGTCCTGCTCCACCTGCTCCTTGGGATTGGTCTTGACGTTGAGGTGAGCTGGACCCACCTGCTGGATCTGGACGACGCGCTCCGTTCCCTTGTCCTCGATGGCCGGTGGCTTGGGAACGCTCACGGTGAGCACTCCATCCGAGGACAGAGTGGAGGCCACCTTGTCGGCATCATAGCCCTCAGGCAAAGCATAGCGGCGCACAAAGTGCCTGGTAATGTGGCCATGGTCATCCTCGCGCTCCTCGTGCTTGCCCTCGACCAAAACGGAGTTATCCTGCACCTTGACGACCAGTTCGCTGGGCTTGAAGTGCGACACATCCATGCAGACCTGGAATCCATCCTTGCCTATCTTGGACACGGCACCCTGAGCGCCCGACGACGAGGCCACCTGTTTCTCCAGCTGGCGCAGCTGCTGTTCCATGGGACCGACCAGACTGAAGTAGGGACTCCTCTGGCGCTGGCAGTAGTAGGGCTCATAGAAGGGCACCATCGACATGCGACCCAGATCGTCGGCAAGGCTCAATAGCAATGGAATGTTGGCCATCTCAGATAGTTTTTGTACGTCTCTGGCTTTGAAGATTATCTGGCAATGCTCCTTTGGTAGGTATCTGTGGGTTTGTAGCTCAAGTTTTCTTTGAAACTCGTTCAAGTTTGTCTTGCAGAATTAACTTGTAAGGCTCTTTCGACTTTAATATTCTTTAAAATTGTTTAATTTTTCTCTTTAAAGATTATTGCTGGTAATCTTTTGTTTGGTTGGTTACTTTCTCCTCGCTCTTGCTAGCTGTTATCGCTTTGAGTTTTTGAATTCAACTGATGCCGGCTGAACGGGAGCGCCATCTATTTATACCACCGCCAGCTGTTGCTGTGTGCGACACCCTGCCTCTGTGTGTGTATCTGTGTGAGCTGCGAGCGGAGTATCTGTGTATCTACAAGAAGGGTCGCGAAACTTCTCGGTGGCTGAAAAGTGTATATTTTGTGAAAAGTTCTCGAATTTGCAGGAATTACGCATTATCTGCCATTGAAAGCGAGAGTATCGCTTGCGGGAAATGGGTAGAATCTTTAGGGGATTGGGCTGATGAAGCAACGTAGGCTGGTGGAGTGATAAATATGATGTTTATATACCACAAATAGGGAGTTATCTGAAAGGAAACTGACACTGGCGGATGGAGAACATTCGCGAAGCTTCGGGCACTTGGGAGAAATGATTATATTGCTATTTTTACGGCCTGACATTCAATGCTATCAACTTTAATTAAGATCTAAGAAAGTAATCAGGGGAAAGTACTAAAGATGGATTAAGCCATAATTAAAGTCAAAGCAAATAGAGAAAATCTAGAATTTTCTGGCATTTTCTAAACGAGTTTAAGTCTAATTTTTGTTTCAAAATAACTATTTAATAGTTTGTTTAATTTATAACACACTTTTTAGAGCACAGCTACTTGCTTAAAGACAAAACAAAATCATAAATAAAACCAAAATTGTAAGGATCTGCTTCTTTCATTAAACTTAAAGCAAATATAGAAATTCTATAACTTTCTGGCATTTTCTAAGAGAGTTTTGCCTATATTTTGTTAAAATAAATACTATTTAATATGTATTTTGATTTATACACACTTGTAAATGAATCTTAAAGACTTAAAGAAAATGAAAAATTAGAAATAAAACCAAAATTCCAAAAAATTGATACTTTTAAAATCTTATTTAGGTGGCAAATAGAATTGAAAACAAGAAAGGAAGCAAAGTTTGGTTAAACAAAGTTCGTATACTCTTATAGAATGTAAAATAGATCATAGTTTACTAAAATTTTAATATATTGAAAGGGTATAAAAAGAAAAAATCATGTACTTTCTGGAAAAACCTAAAAAAAGGTGGAAGAAATAACAGTTCTTGGAACAAATTAGCATATTTAAACAATTCTGATAAATAATAAAAAGTATTTGTAATTTATATGCTAAGAATAAACGAACTACGATTCCAAAAATTGGGAGGCTTAGGGAATACAAGTATTTAAACAAAAATAATGATAATGATCACAATTAGTATTAAATACTTTCATTCTTAAAAGAAAAGAAATGCAAGTTTAAATATTAACTAAATTAATAATTATCCTGTTACTCCTTCCCCTATCATAGCAGTAAGAAATAAACGAAAATCTTGTTTATAACATTTTCAATGATATTCCTATAAACAGATGAATAGGAATTTTCCCATCAAAGAGCTCGAATGACAGTATATTGTTTATAGAACTCGATTCGTGGCCATTATATAATCAAACTTTTTATTTATGGCCCTATTTTTTTTCGTCTTCCCTCCCCTGCTTAGCCAGTCCATGTATGAAAGTACCCCAAAGTTTACACAATTCAACGCCAACGCAATGGAAGTTGTCTATTCAGAAAGGTGGACACATAATATGGACGGGGACTGCTCGATGGGATCTCTCCCTCTTAGGTATCGCTACATGCTTTGCCACTGTGAGGAATTGCACATATATATACGCAGCCATCTCTGTTGGTCTTGGGTCTCTATCCCACAAAAAGCTGAGCAACTGCAGCAAGGAGCGAGCTGGAGGGGGGTCTTCTGCTGGTGCTGCTGCTGCTGCTCCCATTAAATCCAGTCTCCATGCCACTCCACACCACTGTCTGGCCCTCGTCTGGATGTTGTTGAGCTTTTCAGCCGGTTACTTCGTCTCTGCCTGCAGCCATCAGCTGCAGCGGGGGCTATGTAAGTGCTCCCATGTATAACCATCATCCCAGCCATGTATTTGTGCCTGCTCTGCCTCTGCCTCCCAGCCCAGACGCTGACACTGCGCATGTTTACGCGACGCCGGCAGTGTGTGTGTATGTGTGTGTGGTGGTGTCTCGATGGGGCTCCAGTTATCGGGTGATAGCTTCCAGCCAGCTGTTGTTGTAGTTGCTACGCGCCGGCGACTCGGCAACCGGCACGAGACTCTCAGCTGTTCGCTCGCCGGCAATGGGAATTCAGCTGCAACACGACCACTTTACATACAGCACTCCATGTTGCATATATGTATATACATATATCTATATATACTGGGCTGGGAGATGCCATCTTTGCCGGTTAGGGAGGGGATTGGGGTCTTTTTTTCGTACATGCATATGTACATACATATGTATATCCTCCGGTTCCAAGCCGGTTTACCCTGAAGTTTGTCTGGTTTTCTGGAATAAGAGTACGAAAACGAGTACTTTCTTTGTTCTAAGCGAGTCTCCGATAAAAGAAAAGCAGGAGCAAGTAGTACTTACCTGGGAGGAGGCACCTTTCGCATCCGGGAGTATACTCCTCAGACTCCTCCGGTGAAGAGTTTCCAAGGTTTTATATTATTTTTGCAGGCTGTGAGCTTCGTCTGGGAGCTGCTGTCGCCGCTGGCCTGGAAGGTGGCGAAACTGCGACTTCCAGTCGACGTCCGATTTCCATTCAGCGCTGCACAGCAGCTTAAAAGCGTTGGCATTCAGCCATAAGGGCTCAAACGACGTCCAGTTGGAGGCCAGAACGGATCGTCCGCCGGTTGCCAGATACACAACCACTACTAATCGCAATCCCCTGTAGTTCCAGCTGAAAAAATAGAAAAAAACCAAGTGAAAAAAGTGAAAAGACTGTGCAAAAAAAAAAAGAAATCATGTCGCTAATACCTTTTATACTCGATTTGGCCGAGGAGCTGCACGACTTCAACCGCAGCATGTCCATGGACGTGGACGAGGGCTTCGGAGTGTATCCAATGGACGCTTCGCCGGCGGCACACATGCAGCCGCATCCACATATTAGCCGACGAGGCGGGGCCGTCGGCGGCATTACGGGTGGGGCCATGATGTGGGTGCCCGTCAAGGGCCAGCAGCAGCACCAGCAGCAGCCGACGCAACAGCAGCATCAGGCGGCGACGCAGCGCCACCATCCGTACCGGGTGGCCGGTGCCAAGACCATCTGCTGCAATCGGTCCCTGCTGGACCTGGAAAAGGAACTCGCGGAGAAGAGCGCTGGGGCTGGAATGAACGTCGGAACTGGAACTGGAAGCGGTGCTGGAATGAATGTTGGAATCGGCATGCAGCCGAAGCCGACCAACTCCGCCTACTCCGTGCTGAACCGTAATGGCTTCCAGGTGAGCATGAACGTCAAGCAGTTCACCGCTCGTGAGCTGACCGTGAAAACCATCAATGACTGCATCGTGGTGGAGGGCCAGCACGACGAGAAGGAGGATGGACACGGCGTGATCTCGCGCCACTTCATCCGCAAGTACATGCTGCCACGGGGCTACGATCCCGCCGAGGTCCACTCCACGCTGTCCACGGATGGCATACTAACGGTAAAGGCGCCTCCGCCACCGCCACCCGTCCCCAGGCCGGGCGTGGAACGGCTAGAGCGCATGGTCGACATCCAGCAGATTTCCCATCAGCAGCAGTCGAGGGATGCGCAGCAGCAGCAAGTGCAGGCAGCAGGGGCAGCTAGTGCTCCAGCTCCCACACCCACTCCCTCGCTCTCGGTCTCTCTCGCCGAGAGCAACGGCAACGGTCCGGAGGAGACAGAGACGGAGACAGAGTCGGCGGAGGCAACTGCAGCTCCCTCTCCCTCGCTCTCTTCTGAGGCTGCTGCTACCGTCGCTGCAGTGGAAAGCACTTCCAATTCCAGTACTGATTCCACTGTCAACAATGGCGTTGACGAACCGGAGGCCATGGAAGTGGCCGGCAAGAAGGAGGAGGAAGAGGCCGTCAAAGAGGAGGAACCGATACCGGCACCCACTCCTACCCCCGCTCCCGTGGTGAGCAGCAGCGGCGGGGGCGGCGAAGAGCCAACCAAGGCCGAGGACGCTAATGCCAACGATGTGGCCGTGGCCTCAAATAACGGCAATGGAGCAGCACCCGTTGCAGATACCGCCGAAGACGTAGAGATGCCGCCGGAAGCACCAGTTGACGAGGAGAAGACGGACAAGGAGGAGAAGACCACCGCTAAGGTAGCCCTGGTCGGTGGCGAGGAACTGGCCGCCGTGGATGCTGCCATCTTGCAGGCGAAGAACCAGGGCGAGAACGGAGCCACTGCAGCCAAAGCCGAGGAATTGGCCAAGTGAAGACTGAAATAAATAAAAAAGAAAACGAAAATAATGATATAAGAAAATAATAACCTGCACGAGTATGCGTGCGTTTTACTCCGTAAATGTTTCATGTTTTTTATTTTCACACACACACGAAGCAGACTAGAAATAACGGTAAAGAGGAACTCAATTAGTAATTGATCTTGAGAAGACGAAAAAGTATGATTTCCTAAAAACATATGTGACAACAACTACAAGTATTCCAGTAAAATCTAAAATCTAATGACAGAAACAGAAAATACATGTACTTAACAATAAAGAGGATAAAATAAAGAAAACTTGTGTTGTTTTTGTTTTGCCGGCAAGCGCTCTCTTGCTCACACACACACAGACTTTTCAATTTGAGGTTTTGCTCTCCCTCTCTTTGGTCGCTCTCGCTCTCTTGATTCCGCTCTTCTCACACACATACGCTTTTTGGCTCTCTCGCACCTTCTCTTTCTAGATATGACTTCTCTTTCAGACGCACACTCTGGCACTTGCTGGAAGCTTCTAGAAGACCGGCCAGCGGGTATAAAAGGCAGCCGCAAGCTTCGAAGAGCACGTATTCAATTTTCGAAAACCAAAGCGTTATCAACTCCAAGCGTTTACAAGCAACAAGGCAACTTAGCCAGCTTCCAATTTAAAAAACATTCAGGAAGTGAAACAGCAAGCCAACAAAGTTCAATCAACCTAACCTCAGAAAAAAGGAAAAGGAAAACCAAAGAAGAATAAAAAAAAAAAAAAAAAAAACTCACTTCAACCTAACCTAAAAAGAAGAAAACTAGAGAAGAAAATGGCGCTTTCGACACTTCTTTCGCTGGTGGATGAACTCCAGGAGCCACGCATCCCCATCTACGAATTTGGCGTGGGCATGAACCCGCACTCTCGCCTCCTCCAGCCATTCTCAAGCGTGACTCCCAATCGCCGCATGATCAACGGCTGTCCCTGTGCCTCGCCCATATGTCCCGCTTCGCCCGCCGGCCAGGTGATGGCTCTGCGCCGCGAGATGGCCAAGGGCAACGACATCCAGTGGCCGGCCGCCCCTCAGGTGGGCAAGGACGGCTTCCAGGTGTGCATGGACGTGGCCCAGTTCAAGCCCAGTGAGCTCAACGTCAAGGTCGTGGACAACTCCATTCTGGTCGAGGGCAAGCACGAGGAGCGCCAGGATGACCATGGCCACATCATGCGCCACTTTGTGCGCCGCTACAAGGTGCCCGAGGGCTATAAGCCGGAGCAGGTTGTGTCGCAGCTCTCTTCGGATGGCGTCCTCACCGTCAGCATCCCCAAGCCGCAGGCCATCGAGGATAAGACCAAGGAGCGTGTCATCCAGATCCAGCAGGTGGGACCGGCTCATCTTAACATCAAGGCTAACACCACCGAGGAGAAGGGCAAGGAGAATGGCTCTGCCAATGGCAACGCCAAGTAAAGGAGATCATTGTTGACACCATCACAAATATTTGATTCCCAGCAGAAGTTACCCCCATCATTCCCCATCAAACTGTATCTGTTCCTAATTTATTGCCTGGCATCCCCTAATGAGCTAAAGACTTGAGAATTAATTTATTTAAATATATTGTTCACCTGGCGTGGCAAATGTAAATTGATAGTTGTGTTTTTAATCTTTAAAATTAAGGGAGTGTAGCCCAAAAAAGTAGAGGTTTCTATTATGTTATAGAGAATATGTGCTTTTGTATCTGGAAAAAAACCTACTACTATCTTAACCTTGTATTAAAGGTAATGTTGATTGAATCAATTTATAGTTTCAAGCAAATTTACTTTGATGAACCATAAATAGAGATATGGCCCATTTCGTTCCATTAATTATAATTTATCTAATGAGGAGATATGTAAATATTTTTCCCACTTATAACATTGACGCCTGCATTTGGGCGCGACGAGATATATTCACATAGGAACCCAACGGGCCGATCCTCCCTGTTTATACCAAATATTTATTGCGCATTTTATACTATATTTTACCTACACTCGTACTCGTACATTTTGTATTTTTATTTATGTTTGAATCCAATTCAAATGTTCGGCTGCTGTCCGAAAATAGTTAACCTTGGGACGCCGTTTCTTGCGGGGATCGATCCAACGATCTACTTCCAGGGCAGGGCCAGCTTACCGGTCTCATGGACACGGACCAGGCGTTCCCCGGGGAATAGTACTTGGCCGGTGGTGGTGGCGGTGCCTTAATAGTAAGGATTCCATCACTGGATATGTCCGAGATCACCTCATTGGCATTGTAGCCGCGTGGCAGGAGATACTTGCGCACAAAGTGCCGCTCCACCATACCATTGGAGCCCTCGTTCCTTCTATTGTGATTGCCCTGGACAATGATGTAGTCATCGTTGGTCTTCACCACGATTTCGTGGGGATGGAACTGCCGCACATCGATGTCAATCCGGAAACCCTTCTCGTCCACATGCACTCGCTCGCCGGAGTAGTAATTGTCCCACCGCATGGGATGAGACCACTCGTAGGGCGTCGACTGGATCAACTGGTTGCGCACCCGCCGCGACACTAGCTCATCCAGGGGCCGGAGAAGGTCACTCCGGCTGCTGTGACTGGCTGGCCACCAGACCCGTGGATCGTCCCACAGATAGGGATACAGCTGGAAGTCGTACGGTGGCTGGTAGAGTGGACGGGGACGGTCTAATTCGCGCGATAGATCGCGATATGTGGTGGGCACTAGTGACATTTCTGGCCGGGATTAAGGCTGCGATTCGTTTGCTAGCGAGTCCGAAATTCTTATAAAATTTGTCGCCGCCGCTGTCAGCTCTTTTATAGATGACCAACTGCCCTCGGACGGCGGCGATGCGGATGGCACAGACGACGAGGATGACTCATCCGGACGAGGTGCATCGGGGCGGAATCGTTGGCGAGGCCAACGACGATATTGTATGGGTAGTTGGACTCGCGTCAAGTGGCTACGTCACGGCATCCAAGGAAGGAAGCGGAAAAGGTAGCAGCTGGGGCCAAGGTGCCATTTGAAAATGCATAAAAACGAAAGTGCATATTTAATTTGTTTTTATTATGAGTATTTTCCCAGGTTGAGAAAGCTGATGTTCGCTTTACTTTCTCATATTTTTGGTAATTGTATTTTGTATACAATTTAATTTATATTCTTTTTTAGAGATATTGGTAGAACACTTTATCGAGACCTCAACTTTTTTTATTTTATTAGGATAGGATTTTTGGGTAGGATAAGGATTTTACGGATTCCCGAGTTCAGTAATTAATCCAAATATTCTGTTCAGGAATAGTTATTAAATAACATTTATTATTTCTATATATAAACTACATAATAAGAGTTAACTGTTCTGAAAAAATCAATTTGTTTTAAAAGAAAATATATTTTAAAATAAAATAATTATTTAACTTGAGTTCATTGTATCAGGGATTACACAAAACAAGCTAAATATTTTCAAAACAATTTTTGAGCTACCCAAAATTAAGCTGTCTTTAAGGATACATTTAAAAATAGATACTTTGCAAATCTTTTTGTAGTACTTAGAATTTTAATTTTAAATCTATTCGTATATCTTCGATGAATTTGGAATAAATTAGCACAATAGGGTTCACTAGCAATGGTTACAAGTCAGTCAAAACACAACCTCCAGCTCCAGCTCACTTCTCAATGGCCTCTTCGGCTTTTCCAGTGTTTGTCTGGGCCGGTTCTCCAGTCTTCTCAATGGGGACCACACGCTCCTTGAGTGCCTCCTGCACCGCCGGCGGATTGGGCACATTGATGGTTAGGACTCCATCGCTGCTCAAGCTGGACGTAACCTTGTCGGCCTCGTAACCCTCCGGGAGAACGAAGCGTCGGAGGAAGTGCCTGGAACTGTAGCCTCCATGTTCGCCCTCTTGCTGCTCCGACTTGCCCTCCACCAGAACCACGCTCTCGTCCAGCACCTTGACGTTCAGTTCGCCGTAATCCTTGACGTCCAGGGTGACTTTGTACCCATCCTTGGTGACAGTGGCCGGCGGAGCAAACTCCTGCTCCTGCCAGCGGGCGATTTGCTGCCAGTTTCGAGGCAGGGCCACGCTCCATACGGGCGGCTCGTGGAAGAAGGCATGGAAGGGCGAGGTGAGGCGGGGCATCCGGGACATCTCCTCGGCCATGCGGAAAAGCATTGGCAGGGAACGCATGGTGATTTTAGTTATATATACCTGTTGGATAAAATACATATATTATAATATTAAAAGTCTGATTTAAATTGAAAAGAAATACTTATTTTGACTTACCTTTTAGTTTTTTATATATATTTAACCTTTTCCCCTTTTTTCTTAGGTTTAGTTTGACTGCAATATTCTGTTTTTCTGTTGCAATATTTAATATTTTTAGTCTTTGAAATTTTGTATTAGATTGATGAAATTGTAGCTTAATTGGTTTGCTTTTAGCGACTTGTCTGCTGTTTTGAATTTTTTGAATTGAGAGAGCGGCGCTTGGTTGCCCGCTATTTATACCGTTCCGTACAGAGAGAGAGAAGCAACTGGCTCTCTCTCGAACTTTCTTTGCCCTTAGCTGATGCAATTTTCCACTTCGTCTGAAATCGGGCAACGGCATTTATCTTGGGGTTGCGGGTATAACTATATCTGGCTTTTAAAGAATATGTATAGAAATTGGTAGAACTTTCGCGCACTCTCAGTTTGTTTTATTTACATTTTTTGTTTGCTTGTTCAGTTACGTTTTCTCTTTCTCTTTAGCACCTTCGGGCAGGTCAGTATTTTTTATGGCGACGAAGAGAGCGCTTTAGATAAGAAAGCTTGTGAGGGGAAGCGAGAAAGCTAGAGCTAGTGGGAAGAGTGTCTGGCTGCGATAAGTGTGTGTGTGTTAATGTCTCTGTATTGTTAACCAGAGGCGTACTTTAGGGGTTTAAATAGGAAATAAATGAAGAAAGCTTTAAAGTACGTTTAAAAGTATTTATTTTTTCCATTACCCATTTCGTATTTGTTTATTGATGATCATTTTATAATTCCAAATTGAACTTTTCCACTGTATACATAAGTAGTAATCCTTATAGACCCTGCTTTTGGGCCCATTCGTTCCAAGAGCCCTTGTAGATCACCACGCTATTAATTATTAATAATTAATTTAATTTATAATATCAATCATAATATTCAGTGAAAAACTCACTTGGAAAATCCCTGACCCTTGGCAATTTTCTCTGCCTCCAAGACACGATTTCCCGACTTACAGGAGAATATGATCTTTGATCCTTTTTCGGGCTTAGTTCTTCCATATTTACTCTTGAAGGCAGCTCCATCCAAGTTCAAAGCCTTCTCCAGTTCATCCACTTAAAAAAAGAAAACGAAATGTTACTAAATTAATTTATTGAATATAAATAAATGGGTATTTACGGGGTATATTAATGCTGGCTGGAATCTGGCCCGTCTGCCTCAGCTCATCCGGTCGCCGGACATCGATCAGATAGACTTCAGGATGGTTGGGCACATCCTTAACCTGCTCGTAGGTGGCCATTGTGGATGTCGATATGTTATAAAACGAAGTTAATCTGATTCGAAAGCCAAATCACAACTGACTTGCCGGCCGGTTCCAGCAGATACATTTATGTGGCTCGGGTTTTCGGGTTTGTTTGCTCCTCCACCTCCGGCGGCTTATCGCATTCTGATTTTTGTGGTGTCGCCTTGTTTGCTCTGTCAGTTTCCTCGACGCCGGCGCTGGAGAATCCGCTAATTGTCCGCTGGATGAGGCGACAGGTTGAGGCGGGAGAGAGGAGCCCTCCGATCAGATTTCACTTTGAATTTTAAGTAAGAATTGCCAGACAAAGCTTGCTATATGCTCCACAGGTGGGAAATCCTAACATGAGTTTAAAATACTTCAAGATCTAACTTATTTATTTAATTTAAAAAAACCTAATCTTCTTGTTTTACGATTTAAATACATTTTTGGAACGAAACCCTTTTAATAAACCTATGTACAAATGTTTTAAAAACCATATAAAATATGTGAATTAAAATCATACTTTTAAGCATCGTTTTAAAAAGATTTCTATTCGGTTGAATATTTAATATAACTTATAGAATAATCGATTAAAATTTTTTGTAAATAAGAAAGACATATATTTTTCCAGTTTACAAATAACAATTATGTTTTATATATAAGACTCTCCACTGTCTTCGCAAAACAGATCAAATTCGAATGTTGTCTGCGGTTTAACCAGCGGCGCACATCTTCCAAAGCTTCGCCACCAGAAGGTTCCCAGTTGTCGCCCCAGAATCATCCATCCAACCCAGTTGTCCCCATTCCACTTTGCTGCTCCAGAAAAGCTTACTTCGTGGGGGAAAGCTCTCTCAGAACGGAGTCAGTGGTCTATAAAAGGGTGAATCCAGTCAGTGGAACTCCACATTCGAGTTTGGAAAAGTCAAGGTAAAAGTGCATTTAAGACAGTGAAACCTCCTCCATCCCCCTCGCTGGCAAATCAACCCCTGGACTAAGGTTTTTTTGAAAAGGAAAGCAGGTCGTCGGTTCATCGAACTTCCGCCAGATACAGAATACAGAAAGAAGGCTCGGGAAAAATGCCAGATATTCCGTTCGTCTTGAACCTGGACTCCCCGGACTCCATGTACTATGGGCACGATATGTTCCCCAATCGTCTGTACCGGCGGCTCCATTCGCGGCAGCATCATGACCTGGATCTGCACACGCTGGGACTGATTGCTCGGATGGGTGCCCATGCCCATCATTTGGTGGCCAAGAAACGGAGCGGGGAGCTAGCCACTCTGGGCGGGAGTGGTGCCCGGGACAAGCAGGGCAACTTTGAGGTCCACCTGGATGTGGGTTTGTTCCAGCCGGAAGAGCTAACTGTTAAGCTGGTCAACGATTTCATCGTGGTCGAGGGCAAGCATGAGGAGCGGGAGGATGAGCATGGTCATGTGTCTCGACACTTTATCCGTCGGTATCCGCTGCCCAAGGAGTTTGATGCGGATGCCATTGCCTCCACCTTGACGGACGATGGAGTGCTCAATATAACGGTGCCTCCACTGGCCGCCAAGGAGGAGCCAAAGGAGCGGCTGATTCCCATCAAGCATGTGGGTCCTTCGGATCTCTTCCAGAACGGCAACGGGCACAAGGAGTCGGGAGCTTCACCAACTTCCGCTACAGCATCAGCTGCCGCTTCGGAGGCCAAGTGAATCTTAAATTAAAAAGTATCCTAGACATCCCAAATATGCAGAATTTGCAGCCAAGTGATTCCCCAAGACTCTCGTTTATCGTTGCACTAAAAAAAGTCACGAAATTACGCACAACATCGTACTATATATTTATTCATTTATTTATTAGCCTAATTAATTAAAATTTTAAATGTCCAATTCAATTTTAAGACTAATCGAAATCAAGTATTAATAAAGGAATATGAATGTCTTAGTAAGTTTAAGGGTATTTGATTTAATTAAGGGGAAGATTTAATGGCTATTTGAAGGATTAAACTATTATGTTTTGTTTAACTAAAATGATTTCATTTATAAACTTTCCTAATACGTTAGATAACATCACAAATTTCAGTCTAAAATGTTAAAATTTCTTTCTAAAAAGGTACATAACATATGTTTAATACTGTTGCTTCCCTGTATTCAATTATCCGGGCATCCCAAGCTTTGCATATTTAAAAGGTCCCCAGATGTCAATCATACTTAGGAGAGCTTAGCTTTAGCCTTTTCCCAGAGGAAAAAAACCCCCAACTTTTTTAATTTTAAATGAAAGCCCGCCAAAAGCATAGCTTTCGATAGCTTTTTTAAGGGCTGGGATATTGCACCTGAAGAATTTTGATATCGATAGCTTTCAGTCACTGTCTCAAAAAAAAATACAACAAAGTTAATCTTTTGAATGAATAAAATAACATAAAAAAACAATAAAAACGAAACTATAATTTAATGGCAATAGATCATTTAAACATTTTCCTGTTTTATAATTTATAATTTGATTGTAATCAGTGATAACTCGTGACCCATATGTTCCATCTCTATAAAGACACTCTGTAACCTCAAAAACATGATTTGTTTACTTCTACGGCGGTCCGGATTTCTTAATTCCTGCAAATTAATTAGTAAACAGATTGACAAGCCCGCGTTAAACACACCTGCTATCAATGCACACCTGCTGCATACCAGCATACGTGAGTATGGGATGGGATGAGCCGGCGGAATAGTGGAATCACTGGTGATTATTGTTCTAAGCGGAAAATACCCATTGATATTATGAAATTCACAGCGCGGCGGCATGGCGAGTACGAGTGGCAGGATCCCAAGTCTCCCGAGGAAATGTGAGTTACCTAAGAGCCACCAAAATACTCAACAAGTAACTAAAGAATCCCCTAAAACGCAGTGTAAACATCACTTATGTGGACAAGGACGGCAAACGCACCAAGGTCCAGGGCAAGGTGGGCGACAATGTCTTGTACTTGGCCCATCGCCACGGTATCGAGATGGAGGGCGCCTGCGAGGCCTCATTGGCCTGCACCACCTGCCATGTGTATGTGCATCATGACTTCCTGCAAAAGCTGAACGAGGCCGAGGAGAAGGAAGACGATCTGCTGGACATGGCACCGTTCCTGCGCGAAAACTCCCGCCTCGGCTGCCAGATACTGCTCGACAAGAGCATGGAGGGCATGGAACTGGAGCTGCCCAAGGCCACCAGGAACTTTTACGTGGACGGGCACAAGCCCAAGCCGCACTAGCTGAGCTCGCAAGTCATTATTGTTACACCCTTAGTAGAAGTAAATATATACGACTGTTGAAATACCAACTACAGTTTGATTTTTATCTTTCCCAACTCTTATATATTTCTTAAGATGTAAACAATGCTTGTTCTTGGTTTCTATGTTGTTCTCCATCGTTGAATTAAACTAAAGAAGAATTCGTTAAGTTGAGCCTATCAAATTACATTTTCTAAACTGATGACATTTGGAAGAAGGATAAAGGAAGGAGGAGGAGGGAGTGACATAAAGAGTGATATGAAACAATATTATAAACTATATTACAGTTAAAGCAAAAGTACAAAAATATAAATTTGTGTAGCGAAAAACTAGGCGGAGCAGAAACAGCCCCTCTCAGTTGGACGACGGCGTGGGGCTGCTGGAGGCGGAACGCGAACGTACACTGGCCCGATCCTCTGGCTCACTGCGCTCCTCGTCGCGATCGCGACTCTTCTCATCCTTATCCAGATCGGCCGGCTCCGAAGGTGACTGCTTGATCTGCTGCTTCTCTGCCGGTACTGGTACCGCCGCCAGTAACTCCTCCTTGGGTGAAAGATTCTCCCGCTTGATGGCCTCCTTCTCCGCCTTGCTGAGCCCTGTGCTGCCGCTGCCCTTGCCTTTGCTGCTCTTCTTCAGCGTGGCCAGGTCCTTGAGCAGACTGGAGATCTTTCGGTTCAGGTTATCCACCTTCATGTCATGTAGACGCTCCACCTCCTTCAGGCGGTTGCGCATATCGTTCTCCTTCTCAAAGTTCTTGCCCTTCAATTCGGTTAGCTGGAAGAAGAGTTAGATTAATCAATTGCCAACATGATTGAACATGTTTATGGTCACCCACCTGCTTGTCCTTCTCCAGCAGTTCCTTGTCTTTTTGATTCAAACGCTTCTCCAGACTGGCAATGCGTTCCTTTAGGTATGTGATTGCCACCACATGATCCGACGAATTGGTGTCCACGGTGATGGCAGCGGGTGCTGCGATGGTACCATTTCCACCATTACCGCGTGATATCTTGTCGGGCAAATCCAAGCCGGCACCGCTAACCGCATTCACACCGGAGCCACTGTTGCCGCTGCCGCTCTTGCCCAGCTCGCTGCGCGACGGCTTCTTGGCCGCTGAGCTGTTGTCTCTGTGCGAGGATGAGGTTTTCTCGTGCGGTCGCTTTTTCGACATCGGTATTCGGCCATCCTGTTGGGCCTTCAGCAGGGCACGCTTGTAGGCGCAGGTACACAGCCAGCAAAGCAGTTTGCCATTGACCTTCAGGAGAGAAAAGAAGGTAGAAAAAAAATTGTATGGTTAGTTTGGGTTACACAGAAAAAGGCTTAGGTGGTAATCTGGTCTCTTATGAACGCAAGTACATGATTCTGGGAATCTCACGCGATCTATATCGTAGGGTGTATCTGCAGGGGTACAGTTGACCAACCCACAACAAGTTTCTACATTTATTCGACTTAATTTTAGGGTTTTTTCTTTCAAGCTATTTAACATTAAGGGTGGCTGGCATGCTGGTTGTGCGCTTCCTTCGGCGGCTGCTCTTTGCGTGTATACTTTTGAAGCTGACCTTTTTGTTCTCATCCCGCCTGTCAAAGGCCGATCGCAGCTTGCATTCATCGCACTGCACCGGCGGTCCATACTTCGCCTCGTAGCTGGCGCATCTACATACGGATCGGCAAGTAAGACACAGTGCGAGTTTTGTGGGGTATTCGTAATCGGTTTTCGGGGTTTTGGTTTTGCCAGGCACAAAAAAGAGAAGAAGAAAAATGTTTTGCGTTCATAAGAGACGTTGTTGTTGATTTCCTGGAAAATGGTTAGGTTTTTTCTTGGGGGAGGGAGCAAGGACTTAAAGGGGGCCAAGTACTTTGAAGGCACAATTACGGGTAATATAAAGGTAATACATATACATAGGTTCCTTAGAAGCTCCTGCGCATATTGTGCATTCAAGTTACACGCTCTACTAAACGAGATCTTGGTATTGGTCATGGTCTTGCTCTTGGTTTGAACTTACCGCATGCACTTGGAGCTGCCAAAGGCGGCCACAATCTTGCAGCACTCACAGGGACTGGGCTTGCCGTACTTCCCCAGATAATGTTCGCACTTCTTGCAGGCACTCTGTGATTTGTTGCTGTTGCTGTGGAACACGGTATAGTTCATATATATATAGAGGCTATATGTTCGGCTTTTACTTACGTGGCGGGTTGGAACTCCGAGCGGCAGTAAGTACATTTAACAACTGAGGTAGATCCACGGCAGAGCTGGGGAAATGAATCATGGTTAGATCTTCTGTTCTTGTTTATTTCTTCTAGCTTGTTTGCTGTGCGTTTGTTTTTGTTTAAAGGTTCCAAAAGACGCGACGCGACGCCTGCCGCCACTGCCCTGCTTCTTCTTCTTGCAACCGTGCATTTTCACCCGATTTGCGCAGCAAGTTTTTCGCACAGCAGCAGCGCCGCGTCATTTAGATATGTATTTCGTTCGTCAGGGAATTGTACAAACAAACAAACACACACAAACAGCCAGCCAACGAGCAGAGATATTGAGTTTTGTTTGTCGGCGTTCTTTTATCGTTTCAAGTGGTTTTTTCGCTTTCGCATTTTTTGCTGCTGCCTTTTCACCTTGCATAGCTGCTGACCGGAGGAGAGCTCCTCGTACGGATGGCGCGAGAAACACTTGGAGCAGGCGAATAATACTTTAGCACTCATTCTGTGGTCTGTTATTTGTGTGTCGCGTTTTGTTGGCTTTTGTGCTGGTCCTTACAAAAAAACTTTAAATAAAATGGTTCTTTTGAGAGTGACCGTGGAGATTGCAAGAAAACACCAAAAGTGCAAAAGAGAAATCTGGAAAAGGCTACTCTGTCAAATTGCCGCGGGGTTGAAAACTTTGCTAAGCAAAAGCGAAATCGATTGTGATCAAAAACGTAATGCTATACGTAAATGGATATGAACATGTTATATGTTTAAGTCAATAATATTTATATACCACAATGTGCACCAGTATAATAATATATGTATATATGAATACATTTAAATTGTAAGTTCAAAATTTGTAAAATAAAGGGGTAATTTTTAAAAGTTTACTATCGGTGGCAGATCGAAAGTGTATCGATTAATGGTTGAAGACAAAGATTGGCGATGACCGCGCTTTTCCTAGTTTGTGTATTAAACGACCAATTCATTTGTGTACTTTGTAAATTACAGTCAAGAAAAATACATTTGATTTTAAAATCTAAAGGAAAATGACAATTTCTATTCATAATTTGTTTGAGAAACATAGAAACAAATCTCATATGTCCGTTACTTTTTACAACTTGTATTTGCACCCCTGGACAAACTATCGATCACCCGTAGCAGCCCTGAAAATACAGTTTGGAACCAGCGCACAAAAGCGAATTGGATAAAGATGCCCCCAAAGCGAACGCGCCGATAGCCTCGATTCAAACAACAACGTTCACTTCAGGCTGTACGAAAAAATTATATGTGCCGCGAAAGCGACGATCTATTTCGCAAAGGAAAAAAACGAAAAGAATCCAAATAGAAGGGGAAAAATTAAGGAGACCGAGTGAAGTGAAGCAGTGGAAATGCCGGTGGAACAGCATACAAACATAAAAGTGGCGGTACGCGTCCGGCCGTACAATGCCCGGGAGTTGGAGCAGAAGCAAAGGAGCATTGTCAAGGTGATGGACAGGTCGGCGCTCCTCTTCGATCCGGACGAGGAGGATGACGAGTTCTTCTTCCAGGGCGCCAAGCAGCAGTACCGCGACATTACCAAGCGGATGAACAAGAAGCTGACCATGGAGTTTGATCGTGTCTTTGACATTGACAACACCAATCAGGATCTCTTCGAGGAGTGCACGGCGCCGCTGGTCGACGCGGTGCTGGCTGGGTAAGCAAGGCAATCAATTCTATATTGAGAGTCCATTAACCGATTCTTAATCTTAATTCACAGCTACAACTGCTCGGTGTTTGTTTATGGAGCCACTGGCGCCGGCAAGACCTTCACCATGCTGGGCAGCGAGGAGCATCCGGGGTTGACCTTTCTCACCATGCGCGATCTCTTCGAGAAGATCCAGACGCAGAGCGATGTGCGAAAGTTCGATGTGGGCGTCTCCTACTTGGAGGTATACAACGAGCAGGTGATGAACCTGTTGACCAAGTCCGGGCCTCTCAAGCTGCGCGAGGACACCAACGGCGTGGTGGTCAGCGGCCTTTGCCTTACACCCATCTACAGTGCCGAGGAGTTGCTGCGTATGCTGGCGCTGGGAAACTCACATCGCACCCAGCATCCCACTGACGCAAATGCGGAGAGCTCCCGCTCGCATGCCATCTTCCAGGTGCACATACGGATCACGGAGCGCAAGACGGACACCAAACGGACCGTAAAGCTATCTATGATCGATCTGGCAGGCAGCGAGCGAGCGGCCAGCACCAAGGGCATTGGGGTGCGATTCAAGGAGGGCGCCAGCATCAACAAGAGCCTCCTTTCGCTGGGCAATTGCATTAACAAGCTGGCCGATGGCCTTAAGCACATACCTTACCGCGACTCGAACCTGACACGCATCCTGAAAGACTCGCTTGGCGGAAACTGCCGCACTCTAATGGTGGCCAATGTCTCGATGAGCTCGCTCACCTACGAGGACACCTACAACACGTTAAAGTACGCGAGTCGGGCCAAGAAGATCCGCACCACGCTCAAGCAGAACGTGCTGAAGTCAAAGATGCCCACAGAGTTCTATGTGAAGAAGATCGACGAGGTGGTGGCCGAGAATGAGCGTCTGAAGGAGCGCAACAAGGCGCTGGAAACCAAGGCCACCCAGCTGGAGCGTGCTGGTAACAGTGGATTCGATCCGCAGGAGCTCAAGTCGTGGTACAGAAGGATAGATGCTGTATATGCGACAGCCCGCCAGCTGCAAGAGCATGTCCTTGCCATGCGCAGCAAGATCAAGAACATTAATTACCGGCAGACGCTCAAAAAGGAACTGGAGGAGTTGAGGAAGCTAATGTCCCTCGATCAGCGAGTGTGCCAAGAGGTGAGTGATCCCTATTCAATATTTTACTTTTGGGAAAAGATATCTCATGATTTATTAACAATTTAAAAAGATTTGGAGGAAGATTTAGGGTGCAGCTTTCGGTATCAGTCTCAGTTTTAGTTCTAGTCGCCCAGCAGCTCCTTCTGCTTGCTGGCCAGCAGTTTGTCCGCCTCCGAAATGAAGCGATCAGCAATGGCAGTGACCTGAGCCTGGGCGGCGAAAGCATCGTCCTTGCCCAGCTCTGGCTTGTTTTTTAGCTTGCGGATATGCTCGTTCTGAACCCCACGAATTGCGTCGCGGTACTTGACAAACAGAGCCTTGGCGTTCTTGGACAGGTTCTCACGATGCTCCTTCGTCACCTTCGGGATGGGTATGAACAGTGTGGTGCCGTCCTGTTGCGGATTTAGGTTCATGCCGCTCTTCTCGATGGCCTTGAGGACATCGGGTATGGTCTGCGGGAAGCCGATCATGTTCACAATGATGGTTTTGGGATTTTTTCGTGAAATCTGTGCGAGTTCCTGGAGCTCATGCTCCTGGCCATCGACCTTGATGCGCAGCGTATCTATGGCGCCGCTGGTGGAGCGCAGGGACAGGTGCTTCACAAAGTCCTCCTTCATTTGCAGCACATTCTTCTGCATCTGGGAGTTGAGGCCATCAAAGTTGAGGATCTCGCGGAGCTGCTGCTCGTTAATTTCCACCTTGGCGGTCTTTCCTCCACCGCCCTTGCCTCCCTTTTCCTTCTTTTGTCCTTGCTTTTTGCATAATCGCGCGCTATTTGTTGGCTTACGGCCTTTTGTGGATCCTGCTGGAGTAACTGGGTTAATCCTGGCAGGGAATTGGCCACTCTGGCTTGACGCACTCCCAGGGAGGCTAAATGCAACGTATTTCGTAGCATTATGCACGATTTATTCTATTTTAAATTATTTTGTTTATTAAATGCGGCTGAGTTGGGCAGCGCTTCAGCTGTTAACGAAAGGAGCTGCCAACTCGTTGCAGAAACAAAATGACAAAAGTGCTTTTTTGGGCGGACTTTTTGAAAATGTACCATAACAAAGTGAATAAGATTTTGAAGTTTTAATAATAAATAAAATTATTTTCCAGGACTTCCGTCGCTTTGCAAACTACATGAGCCTCCTTACCAGCCAGAACGACAAATACAAGGAGGAGCTGCCTGTCTGGCGTTCCAAGATGGAGAGCGCCTATCAGGATCTCGAGAGCTTGAAACGTGAGGTAAACAAGTCAAAGGCCTACCAGGTCCTCATCGTGTACGTTAAGTACAAGGATCTCGAGCTCGAGCTGGCCAAGCAGAATCAGTTCAACAGCCACGTCAGTGCCATTAACCAAGAGCTGGTGGAGAACTCTGACCTTCTGCGCAAATCCTTCCGTGCCGCCTGCGAGGTGATCAACCAGATGTATGACCGCCTGGAGGATGGTAGTAAGCTAACACCGGATATTCAGGCGGTATACGATCGACTGCAACGCAAGATGCGCTTTGCTGAATTCGAAGCCAACGCCAAGATGGCAGAGATGGACTCCCTGGCGGTGAACGAGCGGCTGCATAGCGGCCTAGCGGTGAAGGAAGAGGAGGAAGAGGCAGCCACCTCCTGTAGCTTAACGTCGAGCGCCAGGAAGCGACTACGCCAGCCTGTCCAGAGCGATGATGATGATCTCCACCTGAGCATGGAGGAATTCGATAGTCAGATAATGGAATCGGAGAGCGAAGATCTGCATACGACATTTAAGAGGCCGCGCAATCTCAATGAAACACAGGTCATAGCCCCCGTCAGCACAGTCACCAAGAAGCCTCTAACGTCGACGGTCACCAAGCCAAGAAATGCCCACCAGCTAACCTTCTGCGAAATGATGACAGATCAAAACGTTCGCGGCGACAGCGAAAAGATTAAAAAGGGTAGGATTTTGTAGCAGAAAATTATATTAAGAATTGTTATTGAATTTATTATTTTTTTGCAGTTCTCCTCAACTCTAATCACTTCACCGCCCAGGGCCTGAAGCGAACACTGGCGGCGGCTTCGCTAGCGAAGGAGAACGTTAAATATAACGCTAATCATGTGCGCAAAAGTCCGCGAGTGCTTGTAGCCAAGGGTGAGATCTATAAACAGAGTTCTTAAATACCCAATTATAATTCCGATTTTTATACACAGCTGTTGCTGGCACCGCCAAGCTGACACGAAAACCCCTGGGATCGGCGAGTAAGGAGGCGCCATTGGTGAAATTCAATCGTGCAGCCTCGTTTCGGCTGAAGAAATAGATCGATCCAGTCAGGCAGATGAATCAGATTAAATTAACCATAGCTATAACCATATAGACTAAGATAGATAGTACACTAGCCCCAACCGAACCATGCACCAGTTCTCTCTTTTCGTTCATTTTTGACCCGAAACCTTATCATTTGATTTTATTTTTGTATGTTTTTCCTGAAGTTCTTTTTCTGATAAGTTCAAAGAAAAATTTGAGCGTTTTACGCTCTTTATTTAAAAATATACAGCCGTTTCCTTGCCCCCCTCACCCAGATTGTGTGTGTAGAGGATCTCGTCGTGCGTTGGCCAGGCCTGTGAAATGCTGCCAGCCCTGCTGTTACTCCGATGCGGAGCTAGTCCCAGTAGTCCCAGCAGCATGTAGAGCAGAGCGCCCAAGTTAACGCCAAGCAGGAGAAGTCCAGGAGCTAGCAGGGGATTTAGGATGGACAGGATGGCGGCCGGTGGTGAGGGAGCAGCAGACCAGGCAGCCGTAGAAACACCATCGTAGCCAAAGTCCACGCGTCGCCGCCAGGGCTTCTTGTCGCTGGTAGCAGGGAGTCTCTGCTGCTGATGCTGCTGTTCTTCCTGATTCTGCTCTGGAGCGGGTAAGTCCAGATCCTGACGTTTGCTTTCGAGGGTATAGCGAGGAACAAATGCCTGCTCCACGGGCAGCTTAACTTCCCCCGCGGATCCACTCACGGAGGCCACCAGACAGGCAATAAAGATAACCTCAAGCAGCCACATAGTAGTATCTTAACTGTTTGCTATTTCTGGGGCTTGTTGGGAGTCTTTTTATAGGCAGACGCACCTGCCGGGTTGGTGGCTGCCAAGGGCAAGAACCGTGTCGACGATGAGTGCCTCTTTTGAGTTGTCAACAGGCTGCTGTCGTTGTGTGGATTTCCAAACGGGGGAAATGTACTCAAAATTAATGGCTGACACTTTGATTTGCCATATTTATTTATTTGTGTGTATATTTGTATAAGTAATTGTTATAATAATGCGTATAAAATGTTGAACTTAAGGTATCAAAGAGCTTGTCTGATCATATATATGTTTACATTTGATTTGTTGATTTATAATGGTAATATATTTTCCTATAACAATGCTGATCTCAAGGTATCAAAAGATTATTGTCCGTGAACAAGTATAATATGTACTATAATTAAGGTAACCGTTGACCTGGGCATATGCTCTTCCTTCCTAGTTAAGTCGCTGCGCCTTGAGCAGCACTTGGGGCTGTTCAATCTCCGACTTGGACTGCACTAGCTTCAGTTCCCTTTCGGAGGCCTTCACTGGACCATTTCCTCCATTAGGCAGAGCTGCCACTGTGCGTTTAATCACTGCTTGGAGACTGGCAATGGTCTTCTCAAAGACGGCAGCCACATCGCTGCTTTCATGACTGTGGGCCAGGAAGAGCGATGCGAACAGATCACCGGTGCCGGTAAAGACCAGATCCTTGCCGCCCTGCTTGGGTATATCGATGGCGAGACGGGGACCGTTCAACTGACTGAGGAAGGCGCGCAGAACGCCCGGCTGGCCGAGATCACTGCTAGAGATAACAACCGTCTTGATGCCGCGCTTGTGGAACCAATCCATTGCCTCCCAAACGGCTGCCTCGCTGCGAACTTCCTTCTCGGTGAGTAGCTCCACCTCGTACTGGTTCGGCGTGATGATGTCCGCCAGGGGAATAATTTCGTCACGATACACGGGCAGCAGCGCTTTCGGTACGTACAGCTGACCGTTGTCGCCCATCACGGGATCGCAGACATAGACCAGTTTGGGATTAGCCTGGCGCAACTTCTTCAAAATGACGCCTACCTGGCGTAGGAACAGAGGATTTCCGATGTAGCCAGTCAGAAGGTGCGAGTACTGGGGCAGCAGCTCGTTCTCTTCCAGGCCCTCGAAAATTGTGGCTGCAATGGGTGAAAAGTTCTAGTATTTAGGCTATACTATAAATAATGATTATTGATAACGTTTATCAGGTACTTGTTGGACCTTACCCAATTCCTTCTCGTTGGAAACGGGTCCCTTGAAGGTCTTGTAGCCGGTGTGATTGGAAAACTGCACCGAGTTCAGAGGGTCCACATCGAAGCCCAGCAGCTAATGGATGTAAAATAAGACACGCAAAGGTGTACTTTGGAACTCAATGTGAGATAAACATCATACCTGCAGGGGATAGGTGGCCACCTTGTTGCCCACATAGCCATGGACCACATGGCTCTGGATGGACAGAACCCGCTTCACATTGGAACCTGAACTGGACATCTTCTCTGCGTTTTCGTGTGGGAGGAGGAACTGGAGTAACCGCGACGACTGACCGCAAATCAATGAGTGAACGAAGCTGCCTGCTGGGCCTACGACGAGCAACACGGAGAGATAACCATGTTATCAGAGACGACGGGACCGGGAATAACAGCTGATAACGGTTGATAATGCGGGTGTAAACAGTGCGCGGATTGAGGATTTATAAGCCGTTGTTTACGTATAAGAGACTGTCGGGAAATTTGTGAGTTTTAATAATCTGAAAACCTTGAACAGCCATTAAATGCAATCAACAGTTACCACCCCCTTTTAGCATCACCCGCCCCCACGGAACAGTGTGGCCAGGTGGCGCGACGAAAGCCAAGACAAAATAAAGCGAAAGCACACTAGGAGGGTTTTTGAAAGTTTAACTTTGATTTCAAAATTATTTAAAATAATTTAAATATTGAAGGTGATCCTACCACAAGCATAGATAGGGATAATAGAATGGCAGTTCTGAGATTACAGTTATTAATAACTAGAATTTAATGAAACCGATTATATTCTAAATTCAATATAATCCATTTAAATTGTTATTTAATTTTAGATTTAAAGACGGTCTTTATTATCCAAAGTAATTGCTATGTACAGCACAAAGGAATTTTTAATTAATAACGGGAATGACAACAAGTAATTAACGAATACCGAGATATGTAGATTTTAGATTCTCGGAATTAGTTGGACTAATCCCGTCACGAATCATTATTCACTGATAACAATTTGGTGTGTTTTTATTTTTGGTTGAACGTTTTTGGTCGCTGGCTAAAAAATCCTGAGACCGTGCATCAAGGATGACCGTTACAAAGACAAGTTACAAGTACAAAAAGAGCCGGAAACAGGTTGGAGTCAAGTACAAAAAACGGAGGAGTTTAAGGCTGCTTGGCTTAGTTCCTTGGATCTTAGCTCGTTTGCCACTGGAAAGAGAAGAGGGGTTAATTGGGGCAAATTTTTGAGCAAATAAAGATAGGTGAATCACCCTTAGGTTGGCCTGTCCCTGACCCTGACGGGCGGCTTCCTCTTCCCGCCGTTGCAGCTCCTCTGCTCTCTGTTGCTGGCGACGCACGCTATCCGGATTCTTGATGCCTCGCTGCTCGTTCTCCTGGCGACGCTTCTCCGCTGCGTCCAGTTGCTGCTGCCGGCGCTCCTCCTAGAAAGTAGCCATAGTTTAACATATGTTTTTAGATGGCTTTGTCATCACATCTCTTCCGACTCACAGGCGAGGGCATCAGATTTGTCTCCTCGGCGCTCTGGCCGCAGCAGGAAAAACAGGCGCCCATGTTGACCAAGTCTAATGAACTTTTACTTTTCCTCAAAACAAAAATAAGGCTTCTTTTCTTTTCTTAAAAGTATTGCAAGTTTTCGCCTCTCTTTCACCCTTTGTTTTGCTTTGACAGCTGTTGCTGCTGTTAAGCTTCACAGCGTGCCGTTAAGCTGGCCATCCGTGCTGTTGCGCGCAACAGCTGTGCTGGAGACGAAGAAGAAGCAGCCGAGAACGCCAAGAGATCTTTCGAAATTCCCCAATTAATTTAATATCGTAGCGCCAGTTCTTGTTGTTGGTATCTTTGAACCGCTCAGCAGAGCCCAACAAATTTTGCAACAAAAAAAAAACATTTTAATCTCAAACATTCACGTGCCGCTTCGCGCTCTTTATTTTCTTTTCGTCGTGAGTGTTTGTGTGTGCTGCTCTGCAGAAGCAACTTAATTAGTTGAGTTCAAGTGATTAATTAATAAAAAACAAATCGACAAAATGTTGGATATTCCCCATGAAGCCAAGGTAATTTACAGTTAAATTGCTAGGGAAGTTTCCAGTTCTCCTCTCTCTCTCCCGCTCCAAGTCTCTCTTTCTGTGTATGTGTGTGAGTGCAGCTTGCATATTCCAGTGCATGCAATTTTGCCGGTTCCAGTTGGCCTGCAGTTATGGGCCCATTTCTGCTGTTATAATTGCCCTATTGACTTGACTGGTTTTTCCTTTAGTTTTTATATACATGTGTATGGCGTGCAATTGTATAGCGCTAACCTTCAAGTGACCTCCAAGTACTGGCATGTGTCGCCTTCAGTGCTGTGAGTTTATGTGTGTATGTGAGGGAGGGGGTGTGCGTGTGTCTGTTTTTGGGGGGGGGCCAAATGTCTTCTTTGTATTTGTCGCGATTATTAAATCACAGAATAATATCGGTTAAAGACATGTATTTCTTATCAGTGGGTGCGTGCCCCCAAAAATTGGTAACGAAGCCAAATAACGATGAGCTGTTATTTGTAGTGATTGCTTTTTTCTCTTGCTGATAAGAGCGCCAGCGGCTATTTTGCTTCTTTCCTGCAGCTCCATTCTCCCTCGCTCTCACTCTCTCTCCCTATTACTCTGCCCCTTAACCTACTGGAATCTATCCATCACCCTTACGCTCTTCAAGTGCCGGCTTGTTGTTTTCCACTTCTTCCTTTTGTTTTGCTCAACACTTACACATACCGCACACATGCACCGATTTTTTGCGCTATCACTTGTTGCTGGCTTCACTTGTCATCGCTGCCGGCGTCGACTTCGACGTCGCGCCGCGTGTTGGAAAAATTTCGTATTGAAATTCAAATTTCGTTCGGAACTTAGCTTTATTTTCAATTGCACACTCGACCAGCGAACTTCTCATCGCCTCGCTTGCCTCTCCTCCGTTCCGTTTTCGTCTTCGTTCTCGTTCTGTTTTCTTCTCGGCGATCTGCCCTCTTGCTCAGCCACGCGAGTGCAAAGGAAAAGCAAAAACAACACCAAAAACTTACAACTAAAAGTTGAGATTCTCGCTTTGAGATACTTTAGTGTTTCGTAGCTTCATAAAATGACTTCCGGCATAAGACCCATAGATGTACTGCTGCAGCGCGCCGGCGTAAGTTAAATAAAAGAAATAAATAAATAACTTAAAACCTTCGTAATACGATATTTGGGCCAAGTTCGGGAGGTGTTACCTTCTGAAAACCATAAACAAAATCGGGCAAATGTGGGTGAAACCTATGGAAAATGTTTATATCAATTAGCTTGCCGTATATGTGTGATTTTTTAATGATTTTAAAGTTAAAAAAAAGGTTTTAGATAGGTAATTTAAATACACTTCCTTGATATTTAATGATTATACAGTTGCTTTAAAACCACCTAAAAGCTAATTTTGAATTGTTAAATATTTTGATTGGCAATATAAAAGAAACGCAAACACTACGAGACACACACACCTCTTTCAATAATAATGTCTTATCACCAAAATAATATAAAGCGTATATATTCATATGTTATCAGTTTTAGTCAAAGTCAAATCGTAATTTCACGTTCGAGTAACCTAAAATAATTTGAAACAGAAATCATTAAGTATAAGAAATATAAATATTTTTAAAATTATAAACCTAAGAACTCTTTTGGAGCTTCGTTTTATACAGAATTTCCATTTAAATTGATTCGGTTTTCTTAGAAAATGTTTTATAAATGTAACCGGCAAATAACTTCCTCATTTGGTATCTTATCTAAAAAAAAAACTACTAAAACAGAAGTTAAAATCATGTAATGTGGCGCGTGGCACAGAGAAGTATAGATTTTTGTAGCACAAAAATAGATAAATGTTTGATAGACCTTTCTTCAAAAACATGTATCTCTATAAAGCAAAAAAATTCTCTACTTTTAAGCGCGATAAGATAAAATATCTATGTTTGTTAGACATTTCTCTTTGTTCAGTTTAAGTATATAACTTGAGAGTGCAAAATGCAAACATTTTGTATACCCTTCCAATGAATTTTAATTTAAATCAGAAGTGGGAGTCATTTCCGACCCTATAATTCATATAAATTCTTGATCAGCATCAACAGCCGAGTCGATCTAGGTATTTTCGCAGGAAAACAAATTTACATCATAAAATTGGACAAAAATGTTCAAAATTTTAATATTTTTCATTTTTAAATTGAGTAAGTAGATTTTTAACCCAATAAAAACTAACATAGAAAAGTTGTCCGAATTAAAATTAATGATTTTTTTTGCCAAGTTATAAGTTATTTAAAATTTTATTCGTCAAAAAATTGTCATATAAAAATATTTAAAAATGTCAAGGAATGGGAATATATGCATTTTTATATATTTTATCAATCGTTTTGTGCTTTAGCATAAAATATATGCATTTAAATTAATCATAAAGCCTTCTTTGAACAGATAATATGTTTGTAAATATAGGGTTTAAGTGTATGAAACGTATAAAAAACATTGAATCTTTCAGTTCTTGTCTCATTAAATTAATTATTAACTGTTATTCGCATTCCCAACATCTGTCTTTAGAGTGATGATGGAATGCATAAGCCCAAAGATATAAAATAAAATTTATAAATGCCACCAAAGATGAAGCCATCAATGAAGCAGTAAAGTTGGCAAATTATCTTGAGCATGCTGCTGACCTTGCTGAAGTTCAAACACCTGCCCTCTGACTTTGGCTTATCGCTCAGATTGCTCATCGGCTGTGGCGGCGGCGTCAGGCAGTAAGTGCGGTTGCCTTACAAAAAAAAAAGCAAAAATTATAAATTTATAAATAACTCGCATGCAATCGTCTGTGGGCGCCGTGGGCGTGACAAGCCGCCCCTTTGCGTAATGATTTCGAAAAGTAAACAGCAAACTAAAAGTGATTACGGCAATTATTTTGCATAAGACGTCGCATTGCATTGATTGACAAGGCTTAAAGGCGCCAACTGTTGCTAAGAGTTTTCCCTATGTCCATCAATATGTTTGGTTTTCAGTTCAAAAAAACCAAGTTTGTCATCTTCAAAAGCTATTGGCTGACAACCTTGAAGCAATGTCAATGGCGATCCATACGAACCAAACATAAATTGTAAATATTTACCGAACAATTAAAAACTGTTTAATAATGGTATGTGCCACGAGTCACTATTACTAAGCTATTAAACTCGATAAGAACCGAGGGGATTGCCTCCAAATACAAATATTATGAAAGGTCCAAGAACGTAGCACGAAATTCCGGCAATGATAAGGTAGTTCTTATCATTATTAGATTATGTTTTGTCATTGCGAAATTCGATTTCATATTTTTTAATTTCAATGTTAAATTTGATTATTTGACCACGATTTCGAGATATTTAAACGTGACGTCGAAGTGCCGACTCTGCATGACCGGAGGAACGCCTAGATTAGGCGATTAGATCTGAGGGGTGAAACAGTAAAGTTGCTACGTATTAAATTTTATAATGCTCCCGAGAGATTAGCTATCACCCCGGCGATAATGGCGAATGTAGTTGACAAAAAGCCGCGACCTTGCATATTATTATTACACAATTCTCCCCCTTTGGGTGCACATTTTTAGAGGTCGTTTCATGGTACATTAGGCTGGGATTATAATCCCGGATGGTTGTCACTTATCTCTGCAATCATCCTTGACTGGATCGGAATGTCGAACTCATCATTAAACAGTTAAAAATTCAGGCTTTGCTGGTTGCTTAGATTATAATAATTGCCAATTTGTTTACGTTCAGTTTTTTTTTTGTATTTACGTAAATGCTTTTGCAACATATTGTGGATTTTTGCAAGGAAATCTAGCTAAAGGAATTTATATTTTAAATTATGTTCTTTAATTAGCCATAATATTTACGAGTTAAGTGGTTTGATAAGCTTTTAAAAATTGCTAAACAAATTAAAAAAGTTTATATCAAAGGTGTTTACTTTATTGCACATTGTTTGGTTCTGTATCTTTCTAATTAGATCCATAAAATGATCGATACAGGAACTGTAAAGCCAAATGGTTTATTACAAAATTACAAGTTCTAAAGGTTAGTTAGTATTTAAAAGGTTTATTTCAAAATTTATGAATGATATCTTTAGCTAATGATGGTTTCATTAAAAATACAAATATTTAGTGGTTTAACCATATAAATCTACATTTATATAGAATTTTGTAAATATACATATGTTAATTTGCTTAGAAATTTAAATAAAATTCAAAGATTAACTAAAAACTAAATAATTAAAACTTAACCTCCTTAGAAAACCTATAAAAACTCCCCATTTGTTGCATTCTTGGGACACTCCTCGTGGTATTTCTTCTCACAGCTGGCACCGTGCTCTCTGAAATCCTCAATTTTGGGCAGATACTTGAAGAAGATTTGCTTGTTGAAGTAACTATCAGTATCCTCGTCCTCCTCGGCCTCTCCAGCCAGCCTTTTCTTTAGTGAATCCTGCATGCCCCAGATAATGGGTTGGCTTTTGCACATCAGAAGCTTCAGGCAGCCAGCCTTCTGGCCATTTCCCTTTTCTTCCTTTGCCTCAATTATATCCACTATGTGCTCTGGTAGATCCCGATCCATGATGTCCTTAAGCAATCGCTTGCTATACCGGTCGGGTCTCTGGAGGAACCAATCGATGGGTGAACCCATGGACAAAGATCGTGGGCGATGTTCGTTGGGCTCGAACAGAGCGTCCGGGGCATCAATTGAGGTGCCGCCACCTCCACGGGTGGCCTGCATCAGGGTGCTGCCAATCTGAAAGAGAAAACTTCTTTTAAAGGAAATCCTAAAAAAAAGAAGTGCTATAGAAGTAATCCTACCGCCTGAGCAATCATAATGATGGCATTCAAGGCTAGAGCTCCCAATTTCCGGGTATCGAAACCCACCATCCTTAGCATATTTGTGAATATTTGTCCGGAATCGAAACCTGGCAGTGGCGACGGTGGTCTACGCGTGCTATTTTCCGTTGGCGGTTCCTCTTGGGCATTTTCCGTTTCCGATTGCTGCTCCGATTGATCCTCCTCTGCCCTCTCTGATTCCCCATCAGCATTGTTTTTCTGCGGCGGTTGGAAGCCATTCTGCAGGAAACCCATTAGGCTGGCCACGGGCACTGGGGAATTACCCGAAAAGGCTTTGGCCACCAGATTGGCCACATCGGAGACTGTGTTAATGCCAAACATTTGACCGGCCATCTTGAGGCCATCGCCAAAGTTATCCATTACACCCGAGGAGGCCTCTTGGGCGCCCAAATAGAGGAGCAACGTCAGTAGCAGCCAGCGACTTGTCATTACCAGGCTTGAAAGAAAACTGTCGCCGTTCCCGAGTCTTTGGCAACGCCCTCGTCTAAGTGGCAAGCCAAGCCTGTAATTGGGCTTACGACAGCAACAGCTCCAGCTCTAGCTCCCAGCAATAACAACAATTTTGTCAGCGTTTCCTCCACTAATTTTGTCACTTGAGTGCATTCGCAGATGCGCTTTGCTAGCCACGCTAATCGATCTGGCTTGAAAGTTTCGCCAAGTGTAACTCATGGCACTGATTCAATGATATTTTGATGTTTATTTCATTGCAGGTACGCGGCCATCAGCGAGCCCCGTCCGATTCAAAGGAGTTCCATGAGGTGACCAAGCGGGATGCCCTGCGTCTGCTGGAGAACGATGTGGATCGTCTGCTGCAGACCGCGGAGACGGCACGCCAGCCGGCGCTCAAGGCGGAGATGGGACGCTTTGCGGATCTCTTTGGACGCTTCTTGCAGGAGGGTAAGCTTAAGCTAAAGTTTTTTGAATAATTCATTGAGTTATTTAACATATGTATATCCTTTTTTTACAGAGGGTCCCGCATTGGATTGGAACAAAATCCAGAAACTGCCCGAGAATGCTGTGATGAACTACTCGAATCTCAAGTCGCCCAAGAATGAGCAGGTAATGCAGACAGGGCTTGTCCATCAGTCATTAATATCTTCATCCTGCCACAGAAACATCTCGAATCCAACACCGATACCAAATTCCCTTCCCCACCTGATGATATATATTTAAACTATCTTAATTTTGTTTATTTTTTTTTACAAACTTTGCATATTTTCATGTTCTTTGATTTGAATACACTGAATAATGGCTATATGTCTGCCTATATAAATACTATATATACATAATCGTGTGTGTATCGCACCTAGAATGAGGTAAAGCGTTTTTCCCTTACCTAAAAACTTCTATGCTTCGCGGCTCTCTTATCACCGCTGTAAACTATTAAACTTTCGCTCTATCCTCTGGAGAAATCTAAACTAAATTGGGCTTTGGACGCTTCTTGTTTAGATTGTTTGGAACGTAGTATTGTTGTTTTAGTTTTGGCTTAAGTTTTTAAAACACTCTGCTGTAGTACTAAAAATCCTAACTGCAGCTCAAACAACCAACTCCTCTGCTGCTCTCTAACACCTTAAATCCTAATGATATTGATATGTCTAGAGCTGTTAGTAATTTATTTGGTTTGCATTCAGATCCGGAACATGCTGGACAAGTTGGTGGTCATCAAGCTGAACGGTGGTCTCGGCACCTCGATGGGTTGCCATGGTCCCAAGAGCGTTATACCCGTCCGATCGGATTTGACTTTCCTCGATTTGACGGTGCAGCAGATTGAGCATTTGAACAAGACGTACGATGCCAATGTGCCGCTGGTCCTGATGAACTCCTTCAACACCGACGAGGACACCGAGAAGATTGTGCGCAAATACAAGGGCTTCCGGGTGCAGATCCATACCTTCAACCAGAGCTGCTTCCCTCGCATTAGTCGCGAACACTTTCTGCCGGTGGCCAAGGACTGTGATGTCGAAAAGGATATGGAAGCGTAAGTTTGATTATAGAGAGCCTTGGGGTAATTAGCTCTAATATATTTATTGCTTTCAGTTGGTATCCCCCTGGTCACGGTGACTTCTACGACACTTTCCGCAACTCTGGCCTGCTGAAGAAGTTCATCGAGGAGGGCCGCGAGTATTGCTTCTTGTCCAACATCGATAACCTGGGCGCCACCGTTGATCTGAACATACTTAACAAGCTGGTGGGAGAGGAGAGGGCCACCACTCCCGTGGAGTTTGTTATGGAGGTCACTGATAAGACCCGTGCTGACGTTAAGGTAAAGTAATGTAAACAATAAATAACCTTTATCGCTGGAATTTAAAATGTTGTACAAGAATGCAAACTTAAATGTTTAAAATTCGAAGAAAATTTGTGTATTCTTCAAGTTTTAACATTCCTTACTTTTAGGCACTATTTAAATTGATATCAAATGCAGAATCATTTTTTTTGATAATCTTATTTTTCTTCTTTAAAAATTAATTGTTTTCCTCTTCATCTTGCAGGGTGGCACCCTCATCCAAATGGAGAACAAGCTGCGACTGCTGGAAATCGCTCAGGTGCCGCCAGAGCATGTGGATGACTTCAAGTCTGTGAAAACCTTCAAGTTCTTCAACACCAACAATATCTGGGCCAATCTGGCAGGTACATAACTTACTTTAAAATCAATTATTTCAAGCAGAGTTCTAAAATGCTGATTTGTTTTTTCTTAGCCATTGATCGCGTTTTGCGTGAGCGCACCTTGAACATGGAGATCATTGTGAATAACAAAACGCTGGAGAATGGAACTCGTGTCATTCAGCTGGAGACTGCCGTGGGTGCTGCCATGAAGTGCTTCGATGGCGCCATCGGCATCAATGTGCCCCGTTCCCGTTTCTTGCCCGTAAAGAAGTCGTCGGATTTGCTGCTGGTCATGTCAAATCTGTACACGTTGAAGAATGGCAGCCTGGTGATGTCGCCGCAGCGTATGTTCCCCACCACGCCGCTGGTTAAGCTGGGCGAGAATCACTTCTCCAAGGTGAAGGAGTTCCTGGGACGATTCGCCAACATCCCGGATATCATTGAGCTGGATCACTTGACCGTGAGTGGTGATGTGACCTTTGGACGTGGCGTTTCCCTACGCGTAAGTTTTGTTTATTAAATGCTAGTGTCTTATGGTTTTAATATAAAAATGTATTAATATTTTTCAGGGCACTGTGATTATCATTGCCAACCATGGCGATCGTATTGATATACCCGCCGGTGCCATTCTGGAGAACAAGATTGTTTCCGGCAATATGCGCATCTTGGATCACTAGTCCTGAGTCGTTTTTAACTGCAGGATTATCTCACTAACCGTAGCCTAATTTTCTAAGTTTTATGTAGTCGCGTTCCAAAATTTCCAACTTACGAATTTCATTTAGCCAATTGTTGTAAGCACAAAGTGTGTCTGTAGTCTGTATATATCGTTAAGTTGAAATCAAAACACCGTACATTGCAATCTGTTTTTCAAAAATATATTAGCAGTAGTCCTCGTTCGATTGAGATATAAAACAAAAAAATGAGCAACAAGTTGTTAAAACTTAATAAAGGCATGTTTATTTCTATAAATACGGCAGAGTGTTCAAAGAAGGGGCAAACAATCAATACTTAAATGAAATTTGACTCAAAATTCGAAATGTAAAAGAATATTTAAAATTTAATAATGAGTGGCTAAATTATATCAAACGTTTCCTCTATATATACATTCCTAGTTAAAATTTAGATGAGAAATTCGATATCTTATGGTTATCCTTAAGGCTAGTATCACTTAAAGAGATGGCACTTGCGTTGGCACTCCCCTCCTTCTACGACTTCTCCAAGTGGGAGTCTGATTCCGGATCTATCAGAGTATAATTATTGCTTATGTGTCCCAGTTTTATGCCCTGTTGTAGTAGTTCCAAGGCCAGCTTCTTATTGCTGGGTGAGTAACCGACAAAGCCTATTATTAGATCATTGGAGAGTGGACCCTCACTTGCAAAGGACTGACAGCTATGATCCCAGCCCCTGCCCTCATAGATATTGCCATCGCCGGCCACCACGAAGTTAAAGTTAATATCAGTATATCCAGAGGCCTCTATGTGAAGCGTTTGCAGCATCCTCACGCGGAAGGTACACTCGGCTTGGGTGGTACAAGCTGGGATGTTGGTTCTCTCGAATTTTACCGCCTGCACAGGTGGCCTTAAAGGATCCAGAGGATGACTTGGAGGCTGGGCGAGCCAATAAGGTCGAGTCACAAACTTAAGCGTGGCATTGCTAAGGCGGCGGACTAGAGGAAGATGAAAATTATTAATTTAAGTTTTTTTCCTTCAATGTTCTGGCTTGTTCTTACACGAAGTTATATCTGGTGTATAGCGCGGCCACCGCTGCATCATTTCAAATAGTTTCTGGCCAGGACTCTCAGTGGGACTGACCTGTCGATGAGCATAGATGTGATAATCCGGATGAAGTTTGTGCAGTCGCACTCCCTCCTCCATCAATCTCCTGGCAGCTTCAACTTGGTGAGCTGGCGGCTCCATATTGACAAAGGTTCCTATAAAGGCTATACTAATGGATATGGCACCATAGCCCTTGACATGCTGACCCTGGATATGCCATCCTCGACCCACATAGATCTGACCATCACCGCCCACAAGGAAATTGTAACCAATGTCGGGCCAGCCCAGGGATTTCATGTGAAAGGTTTGAATAATTTGCATTCGATAGATGCATACGTCCTGAAAGGAAATTAAATAGTTTAATAAGTTATTTGGATATTAGATAAATACGAAGTTCTAAAGAAGCTTCTAACTTGTTTTAACTGGAATTTGGAATCACTTAAAACCCCTTTCGGGTGGGACTCACCTCCCGGTCACAACCCTCGGTGGCTGTATGGTGGATAATCACATTGGAGACAGGCAATTGAAGGTGCGGGTACTTTCCGCTCGGTGGTTCCCCCTGCCATTCGCTGCGATCGAGTATGTGCAGGCCTTTGTTAAACGCACTCGCTGAGTGGGCTAAAAAACCAGGTTAACAATCGTATTAAGAATTAAATTTCAAATAATTCCGGATCCGGGTGTTAACTCACACATCATCCACAGGGAATAGCCCGCTACGAGAGCGACCAGCATGAGGAGAATAGAACACAGATAGATGAGTTCGCGAGGTAAACGTTTCACATTGGTTTCCTGCTCTTCTGGGAGAGCCCTTGGCACGGGTTTCTGCATCTTGGGATGTGTGTTATGGATGAGCCAACCCTCTCCAGACGAAAGCCCAATACCAACTGAGCGCTGAGCCGGTCCCATTAGCAACTTAACTTGACGGTTGTTTATTTCTGTTGGCGCTTCGAAAAAATCCCCCGATCTCTAAACTGCGCAGTGGCAGCGCAGTTCCGACGAGCTTTTGCGATAAGACATATAGTCATACCTATAAACAGATATATGTAAGAGCTTTAAAAGCTTGTCTTATATAGTGTCTTACCTTTTTTTTTTGGCAGCTGGGTGTACGATCTTCAAACGCCGCCCCACTGCCTACGTCATCGTTTGAGCCTTAGAAATGGGAATCCCCTGGCTGGCCAAGGGGGCGTATACTTGTTATACTAGAGCAGCGCAGCGTAGAGTTCAGAGTTGTTAGTCGATGGATGGATCCAAGTCAGGAGGTTGTTTGGTTTTAATATACAGAACTCCGACGGCCTTACAATAAAAAGAAATCTCCAATTGCTGTTGGACCCCATTGGCATAAGAAATGAAACTCATCAACAGTATTATTGTTCAGCTCTTTTAACCAGAAACAATTTTCTTTTTTTGGCCAACTTATAGATGGTTTTGCCTTTAACAATTAGAGAAAAATAGAAAGCAGTACTTGGAAATCAATAAGATTTGTTATAAATTTGCCAAAGATACTATTAAATGAATTACGAGGTTTTAAATGGGGTTTCCTTTGGATGTCTTGTATTAAACTCTTTTTTATAGAGCACAACTTTAGTAAGCTCTTATAATTCCAACATATGTTTCAATTAGGGAATACGTTCTCCGATTTATTTTAAATTTTATGTTTTATATCGCTTTCATTTTTAATCAGAGAATTTGTTAAACTTTAAAACTTGATGTTCTCAAATTTTGGGTAGAGCCAACTGATATCAGTTGAATAATGTTTCGACTTCTGTACTAGGTCGTATAACATTGTGCCAGAATTTCCATATTTAACAATCTGATGACGGCTATATAGATTATAATCGGGTTTAACGTATTCCAGATGCACTCCTTCGCCCAGCAGGCGCTGAATGGCATTCCATTGTCCTTGTACCTTCTCCATTTTGTTTAATTTACCCAAAACACAAATAGATAAATAGGAAACGTTATGGTAAACAATACCCATTGGCATAGGATTTATATGCCAGCCAGTTCCTTCATATATCAAACCATCGCCACCAATAAAAAATTACTGTCGGTGTCGGCAAATATTTTGGATTCAATACGATAACGCTGTAGTTCTTTCATATAAAAAATGCAGGTTTCCTGTAATAAAAAAATAAATAAAATAAATATAATATAAAATAAATTGTTTAAATTAATATACCGTTGTGTTGCATTCAAAGGGATTCTCATCAATAAATACTTTTTGGACTGGCAAAACGAGAAGACGACTGTAAACGGGCTCCAAAGCTCCCCACTCTTTGCGGTTGATCATGCGAAACTTTGTAGAATTATCTTCAATAAAATATAATAAGTGTTTGTTATATTTAATTAGCACAAAACTCACATATAAGGTAACCTGCTGTCAGGAGCAATAAGATCTCTAGAATAACCAGACAATAAAGCCATTTTCTTGAAGCCTTCTTATATTGATCACTTTCAAGCACTTGCACCTCGTCGATGGGCATTTTGTGGTATTTAATTATTGCAGCTTTGTCAACAATACAGCTGAATGAGCACTGAAGGCTTTGAGGGTCTAGCGTTATCATTTTATATTCGTTTTTCCAAGAAAATACAAAATAAAATATATGATTTGTTTTTGAATAATATAATTTTCTGAGCTGAAGACAGTCCTTACAAATAGAGATTACTGTTTGACGTTAAAAGAAAGGCTCAAGCATGATACAATTATACAAGGTAGTCTCGTCGGCTGCCTAACCGTTCGGCTTATTTTCAGTGCGTTCGTGTTTGTCAAGCAGAAAGGTTGTGTGCGGACGATTTTTTTCTTACTATTAACCCTTGTGTGCGATGACGTTCTGCTAAGAACATAAACATTAATTTAGATATAAAAAAATTTTACTTTAAGATTCGGATATATTTTAAAATTAAGAATTTAAACAAAAAAATAGCTTTACAAAACAAAAACAAAGATTAATGTCAAATTCCAAACTATTAAAATTAAGTTATAAAACACTTCAACTCTTTTTACTATGTATGAACAATTTAACCCCCATGGACCATCTAAGGGCTAAACTAAAAGCTCTTTTGTCGTTTCACTCGCACTTACTTCGCAGACTCCTCTCACTCGCACTTGTTGTGAGTAATGAATAGCGGAGTGCTTTTGCCGACGAGACTACCTTGTATAATTCTACCATGGGCTCAAGATTTAAAAATATGCTTCAACTTTAAGCCGATTGCTTTGGTTTTCAAAAGCAAAAATCTATTAATTTTTATGCTTCTGAGTTGTCCAGATACACGTATTTGTACGACTTATATATGGAATATCCGAGTGGCAGTATAACCCATATTATAAGCACTACTAGCCAACAGTAGAGCCATTTTTTATTTTTATTTCCTGGATTTTCCATAGGGTCCCTTATCTCCTGATATTCCATTTAAAATCCAAACTACTCGGAACGACTGCTGAATTCTGACTGTTGGGAGCTCTTGAACATAACATAAAATTAATATATTTAATTCTAGGCTATTTATTTAAATTGTTATCGCATTTATAATTTGTATGTGAAAGTTCTATGGGTGTATGGAATAATAAATATTCCATTTTTGTATGTTTAATTAGATTATGTACTTTTATTCTGCCACTAAAAAGCTTTTTGTATTGCTAAGATGATTTAATTTCAACAAAATATGGCAAGGAATTTAATTTGTTTCATGATTCATTTTAAATAATAACAAGAAATAACTACCACACTCTTAATAGAAATTCATGTTTACAAAATGTATAGAACTACTAATAAAATATCTTTATAAATTCCAATTCATATTTTTTTGTAATTATGTGAAGCAAATTAACCGGTTATTATAGTAAATGAATGAAAACAAGAAAGGAAGCTAACTTCGGCACGCCGAAGTTTATATACCCTTGCAGATAAAACTTCTAGGAATAGAAATCCATACAATGTAAATAATATATATATTTGTGTTAAAAAACAATGAAGTAATACCTGCTTTCATTTCATTCACCTATACATATTATATTTGCAGATTTACATTCACTGATTTGCCTTTTCCTCCACATCAAACTATCGTTTGTATGGCACCTATATGATATAGTCGTCCGATTTTCATGAAATTTGACACAAAATTTAAGACTTATATAAAATGGCTATACCTTAAATTTGATGAAAATCAGCTGAAAACTGAAAAAGTTATAAATTTAATTGTATTAATTTATCGATCGTTCCTATGGGAGCTATTTGATATAGTAGCCCGATTTTCATAAAATTTTATGCAAAAGTATAGAGTATAGTAAAATGGCTATATCTTAAATTTGATCCAATTCTATTGAAAACTGAAAAAGTTAAAATTTTTTTGTAAAAATTTTCCGATCATTCCTATGGCAGCTATATGATATAGTCGTCCGATCCGGCCCGTTCCGACATATATACGAGTAAGAGTATATAGAAGGCTAACTACAAAGTTTCATTCAGTTAGCTTCAAAACTGAGAGACTAGTTTGCGTAGAAACGGACAGACGGACAGACGGACAGAAGGACAGACGGACAGACGGACATGGCTAGATCGACTCGGCTGTTGATCCTGATCAAGAATATATATACTTTATATAGTCGGAGATGCCCCCTACACTGCGTTGCAAACTTCTGACTGAAATTATAATACCCTGCAAGGGTATAAAAAAAGAAGAGAATGGAATTATACAAAAGAAATTGTACGACATTCAAGATTATAGCCATTGTTTGTTATAATGAAATAGGGATTTTAGAATTTAACCTTGCAATGTGTGATGTTATTTGTCGTATAGTTTTGTTTTGTATAATTTCATTCTCTTCACTATTTTATTTCATTAAATATTCCATTTATTTAGAGACCTAATTAGACCAATTAGGCCAGTTACTAAAGCTTTTGTAGAGAGCATCAGCCTGGTATGCAGTGACACTGGGATCCAGGATGCTGGCTCCCGTCACCCGGTAGTTCGGGGCGATCTTTCCCAGAGCTATCCCTTTCTCCAGCAGGAGACGGGCCACGCTGAGCTGCTTGGACGACGGCTTTTCCGTGTGAAAGGATCCTATGATCCTGGACATATGGGCGCCCACCTGATCCCAACCCCGTCCCACATAGACGTTGCCATCGCCGCCAATGAGGAAGTTGAACACGATGTCATCCTCGTGCACCGACTCAATGTCGTAGGTCTGCCGGTGGCCCACCCGGAAGACGCATGTCGCCTGGGTGGTGCAGCTATCCGAATTGGTGTGCATCACAATTACCAAACTCACAGGTACCTTCAGATGCAGAATCTTCTTCTCTGGTGGCTGGGCAAGCCACACTTGACGGTCCACAATGCGCAAAAACAAACCGTTGCCAATATTCTCTTGGCCTGTGGTTATTCAAAAGAATTTTTAGTTTTAAGCTAACTAATTAATTAACCTATGTTCCTACCTGAAATATCAGTCGACCAGTGGGCCCAAGTTTGGATTATCTTGTAGAGCATCTCCCCGGGACTCTTGGTGTCGCTCAGTTGCCGATGTCCGAAGAGTTTGTAGTTGGGATCCAACTTCTTGAGATGGACACCCTCCTCCATCAGTAGTTGACATGCTTTTAGCTGCAGACCCTCCGGTTTCTCCTTAGTGAAGGTTCCAATGAAGGAGATTCCTATGCTATAGTGATTGTAGCCCTTGGTGTGGGCTCCAAGGTAGTCCCACGCCCATCCCCGCCCACCATGAAGTTGTAACCAACTTGGTCCCAGCCCGAGCTGTCCATGTGGAATTTCTGGATCTCCCTCGCCCGTTCTGAACAGATTTCCTAAAAAGGTTCACTGAGTTAAGAACTGTTCATTTGTTTACAGGTATATCAACAAAACACTGGTGTTTATATGTTCTATTCAAGAGAGTACCATGTTCAAAGAGTCAACCCAATGTCTTTATGATGTCTAATAGTGAAAAAGTGCAAAACTCACCAGTGAATCACAGCCATTGGTGGCTGTGTGGGATATGATTACTCGATGTGCCGGGAGTTCTAGAGGATCGAGCTCTATCTTGGGTGGTCTGCCTCCCCACTGGGCGACCTTGACGATGGCAAGGGAGTTTTTAAGTAGATCGTCGTCTACATAGGTTAGAGATTTTTGGGGTTAGCATAGCAAAAAGCACACAAAACAGAGGTAGTATTGATTATAATATGATATTCATTTAATCGTTTGTCAAGGAAATCAACTCCAAAGAAGTAGATCATACTCGATTAATATGTAATTAACGATTAACGGCTGAATATAAGGTATTTGCAATAAAATACTTAATTCAAATGAACTGATCAATATGAGTACATTTATTGTATGTATGTTTCAGTTTAACTATATTGACACTACTATTATTTACTGGCATATTTCATTCGATTGAATTTTAGGTCACACATTTTTTTCATGTTTCACTTCATAACAATAGACGACAGTGGTAGGAATATACCTTTCAAAAAAACTATTTTAAGCACTTAAAACTGCTTATCTTACTTGGGTTCAACTTTTTGCCGAAGAAGTTTGTGGTGGTGAGCAGCACGATGATAAGAAGGACCAGCATCACCAATACCACCGTTATTGCAAAGGCTTTGAGCAGGATCATTAAGTTTTAAGTACCAAAAATCAGGTGTGAAAATTTTTCGATAAGAGGATGTACATAATTTGTTTTTGTAAATTGCTATATATGTATATAATTTAATATGTATTTTATCCCATAACAATAAGTTCTATTTTAAATTTGCGTTGAGATTTTGGGGTTATACAAAGGAATACAAAGCTTAAAAAAGTTGAGACACTGGAAGTATTATTGAAATTGAGTTATAAGTCACAGTATTGCAGAACTGTTTCTTAGAAATATCGTAAAATTACAGAAAAAAATACGTTTTTGTAAAAATATATATACCTAATATATAAAAGAAATGAAACGGGCTTCCTAAAAATGTGAAAAATGTGTTTACTTTACAAAAAAATATAATAAATATCCAAAATAATAATTTCAAGCATCTTTAAGACCCACAAACTTAAATTAAATATGAAAAACCGTTTGAACAATAAAGGTTATACATAAACCATATTTTCTGTTATTAAGTTTGGTTTTTATTAATTTCCTTTTCAAAGATTAAAACGCAGGCGTTTAAAATGTGTTTACTTATTTGTTCAATAAGCCGGTGCCGAGATAACCGATGCTTTTTTTAATTGTTGTTTACAAAACTGTAGAACTTGTGAAGTGGGACTTCCCCTGAATTCACAAAGAAGAAATGAAGAGCACAAAATCTTCTTAGCACATTTTGTTACAAATGAAGATTTGTGGGTACGTAAGTCTTCTTTTCCGGTTTCCAAGCAGCTAAAACTGAAAAGAAATCCCCGTTTACAGCTATCAGCTAGATTTTGACCCCCTGACACGATTGGAATCCATCAAGTTCATCATTTTGCTTCATTTAATATCACATTTTTTTCAAACAAATCGTAATTCTAGCTAAATTGAATATGCCACACATTAAAAGGGAAGGAGAATAAGAAGCTAAGCTAAAATATCAAGTCGATCTCATCGATTCAGATCTTACAAACTATTCACGACCAATGAGTCCAGTTGCCGAAGCTTTGGTAGAGGGCATCCGCCTTGTATGTGGTGAGAGTTGGTTCCAGGGTGCTGGCCGCCGTTAGCCGGTAACTAGGGGAAATCTTGCCCAGAGCCACGCCCTTCTCCAGCAGGAGACGGGTCACGCTGAGCTGCTTGGGGGATGGCTTTCGTGTTTGAAAGGATCCAATAAAGGCCAGACTCAGGCTCCGCGAATTGTAGCCGGCCATGTGGGCGCCCACCTGATCCCAACCCCGTCCCACATAGACGTTGCCATCGCCGCCAATGAGGAAGTTGAACACGATGTCGTCCTCCTGCACCGACTCAATGTCATAACTCTGGCGGAGACGCACCCGGAAAACGCATGCCGCCTGCGTGGTGCAATTATCCGAATTGGTGGGCATCACAATCACCAATCCCACGGGTTGCTCTAGATCCGGAATCTTCTTCTGCGGCGGCTGGGCAAGCCACGCCTGGCGGTCCACGAAGCGCAGGACCAAGCCACCGCCTATGTTGTCCCGATCTGTGGATTGTTAAAGAGGATTTTTAGTTGTAAAAATGATCTAAAAGTATTAAATCGTATTAACATGGGTCTGGGTTTAGGCGGCATAGGTTTAGTATAATGGGTTGAAAAGTTAATTGAGTTTTAAAATAAGTATATATTATATTTTAAGCATGCAAAACTACACACATATATTTTGTTAACCAGTTTTCTTGTACTAAGATTTTTTAACAAATATGAAATATAGTTAACGTTAATGCGTTCCGTTTTTTTAACTTTGAATATGGAACTACTTTGTTAGTTAAGTGTATGCTTATATTATGTATTTAAACTACAATAATTAGTTTTATTTTCTTTATTTTTATTTTCTTTTTGTTTTTTTTTTATTTTTTTTTATTTTCTTTTTTGGCACCTTTATTCAATCTTAACTTAATTATTTCATTAATATTTATTCTGTCATATGAAGTCTAGGTCCTGTCCTGGTAAAGTTGTACCAGTGCGGCCATGTCTGTATGCTCCGGTATAGCTCCTCGCCTGGCATTAAAGTTCCCGTCAGCTGACGATGCCCAAGGAGCTGATAATCCGGGCTTAATTTCTTTAGCCGCACTCCCTGCTCAATGAGGAGTTGACAGGCCTCCAGGGATTTCGGCGATGGCACAATCCGGCGGAAGTTACCCATAAAGCTAATTCCGATGCTGTTATTATTATTGTCCCGCGTGTGGGCGCCCTCGATGTTCCATCCCCGACCCTCGTAAATCCGTCCATCGCCGCCCACCAGGAAATTATAGCCCATCTGAGGCCAGTTGAAGGTGTCCATGTGCCGGCTCTGGGTTACTCTGGCCCAATATGAACAGGATGCCTGGGCAATTGGAACGTAGGATTCTTGGGGGTCCTCGGAAGTATATAATATAAGGACTCACCCTCGTCTCACAAACATCCGGCGGAGTATCGGAGATGATTACCCTGGAAACTGGTAGATTCAGGGGAGTTAGAGTCCCTCTGGTGGGCATACCACCCCAGCTTTTTATCCCAATTATCACAAGCTTTCCATCGACACTGACATCGGAATCATCAGCTAGATTAAGAAGAGCTCAGTGAGTTACTAAAAATATGAATAACTTTATAAGAGAAAGAATGCAAACCATTTCTGAAATTAATATTCTTTAAAATTATATATTCGTTTTTGCATTCCCTTTTCAAGAGATATTTTTTGTTCATACATACTTTTGCGTTTTAGCTCGATATTCCATTCAACTCAACTTAGGAACAACCTGGAACACTTTCTTGCTTCTTTTTGAAAACTGAAAGCCACGGGTATGATATGGGAAAAAGTGAGTGTAATGAAATCGAATAAATTGCATTTCTTGATCATTATTCTACAGACTCTCTTTACTAGATTATAATATATATATAATATAATACAAATGACTTAATTAATCTCATTGGACCAGTGAGGCCAAGTCTGGATTATCTTGTAGAGCATCTCCCCGGGACTCTCGGTGGCACTCAGTTGCCGATGTCCGAAGAGTTTGTAGTTGGGATCCAACTTCTTAAGACGGACACCCTCCTCCATCAGTAGTTGACATGCTTTTAGCTGCCGGTCCTCAGGTTTCTCCTTAGTGAAGGTTCCAATGAAGGAGATACCAATGCTGCCGTGATTGTAGCCCTTGGTGTGGGCTCCAATGTAGTCCCAGCCACGACCTTCGTACACACGCCCATCTCCGCCCACCATAAAGTTGTAGCCGACGTGATCCCAGCCCCAGCTGTCCATGTGAAAGGATTGGACCACCTGCGCTCGATCCGAACATATTTTCTTTTGATGGGGAAGGAAGATTAATTATTGTAATTACCAAGAATCATAAAGGAGTGATCAACAAGATGATTACATGTTCATTGGTGGAAGGGTTCACTGAGAGAGGAACTGTATTTCGTTCATGTTCATTTGTTCTTTGAGGGAAAGTAGGGGTTCACAAGGTAAACCAATGTTTTCGTGTTCACTTGGTGAACCCAATGGATGTACTGTGTGTGAGAGTGAAGAAGTTCCATACTCACCAATGAATCGCAGCCATAGGCAACGGTGTGGGAGATAATCACTCGATGTGCTGGCAGTTCCAGCGGATCGAGCTTTTTCTTTGGCGGTCTGCCGCCCCACTGGGCGACCTTAACGATAACCAGGGAGCCATTATTGATGACATCCTCGTCTACATGAAGAGTTTTTGGGTTAGCATAGCGCAAAAGCTCACAAAACAATGGTAGTGTCAAAAATAAGATAATAAAGTTTACGTACGTTTTTAAAGAAAGTAATTTCTACAGAATTGGATAATACTCTAATTAATATTTAATTAACGAATAAAGAAAGACTATAAAATTAAGGCTGTTCCTGTTTATATAGTGTATTGTTTACAGAGAACTGTTTAAATATGTGTTTTATGGATTGTATATGATTTATACGTAAGGAATTTTAATGCAGAATTTAAAATTATACTGAGACGCAGTACAAAGAGCACAAAAAGGGGTATTACAAAATTCTTAAGAGTATTTAAAAAACTGTAACGTAATTTGTTGTCTAAATATTTTAACACTACCATTATTTTAAACGCATATTCCATTCAATTGAACTTTAGGCCACACTTTTGTTTCATGTTTCACTTCACAACACTGAACGACAGTGATCAGAAACGCGTAATTCGAGCAGATGATTAATGTACCGACACACAAAATACAAATAAATGTTTGGTTATATACAGGATGAGATTATAAATGGGTTATATATAACATACATGCAGTATTGGCGAGGAGATGAGAAGGATGGGTTATAGCACGATCGCCAATTCGATTTATGGTTAGTCGGAAGCATTTTCGCACACTACTAAGTGGGGGACAAAACTGTACCTATTGTTGAATTGATTGGAATATTTTGTCTGGAATCGTCGACATCGCTGAGCTTACTTTGGTTCAACGTCTTGCCGAAGAGGTTTGTGGTGGTGCCCAGCACAATGACCAGAAGTGTGGTCAGCAACACGAATGCCACCGCTATTGTGAAGGCCTTGCGCCCAACAGTGTTGGGCAGGAACGGGCAGAAGGGTGGCGTCTGTGCAGGATCATCATGCTTTGAGCCTGAAAAATTGGATGTGAAAAATTTGGGGTAAGTAAATGACACTAATTAATGGAAACTTTAATGTATTATGCAAAATATATAATCAACAAAATCTGGCTTAAAATTTATTTAATCCTATAACAATAAGTTTTAATTATTCCTTGGGTCCGGTTTTGATTTTTACTTTCGTCTGGAATATATGGAGATTTAGCTTTATTTATTTCTGTTTTTTATTTTTTATACAAAAGAATGAATAGCTTTAAAACTAACTTATGATCGAAAGCCTTTTGTTTAAAAAATATCTTTAAAGTAAAGAGAATTAATTATATTTATGCGTTATAATAAATTGTATATTTGGGAAGATTTTAATATTGATAGCTTTTTCTAAGGAGAGTTCGTGAACAATATTAATTATATAATAGACTTTAATACCTTAATATCTTTATATTATAATATGTTCTCTTACGGTTCTGAAAACCCTGTTCAAGGACCTCCAAACGCTTTTCGTGCTCACGCAAACACTTCTCCAGCCAGCGGCTCGCTTTCGAGACATCTTTGCACTTTCCCAGACAAATGTCACATTTCCATCTCAAATTTGGCACTGTATCCAAGATTTTAAGGTGATCTTCATTTAAATCCGTGCATTTTCGATGGCAAACACGACGGCATAGCCCACTATCACACTCGATTCGGGACGAGGTGTCCACGATTAAATCGTGACATTTTAGGCAAAATTCAAGCGCGATCATCGACATTTCGCGAACGCTCTATATGAACAACTGAAGCCAATCGGCGATACGTGAATTGGGTACTTTTTCCTACCAGTGCGTACTTTATATATGTACATCAATATACGTTCCTGTTTAACGTTTCCATTTAGCAAGTAATTTACTACACAAAGAAAAAAAAATCCCCCACCCAGTGTGTAGCTAGCGGAATATATTGTTTTCGGTTCTCGGGGAAGCACCTTGTTTAAGGTAGAGGTTTATGTAATAACAGCGACTAACTAACAGCAAGCAACTAAATTTACACTTAGTTAAACTACAATTGGATTCGCATTTCGCTAGTCGCCAGATTAATTATAGTAATTGTGAAAATAATTCAAGTAAACAATTGCATGCGGAGGCAGCTGCTGCTGTTTTCTTTTTTTTTGTTTTCTAGTATTTACCCAAAGTTTTCACCAGTTTGATTTACGATCAGAGAAACCTTGAACAAATTTTCTTATTCGTGAATGAAAATTTTGGGGCTTCTCTTGTTGGGAATATAGATCGTAATAAATCGTATGGCTTTAACATAAAAGAACTGGTTGAAATGCTGTCGATTTTATTATTTGCAGAAAATGGTATTCATTGTGCAATAAAAATGACATTAAACTGAAAAAAATCCCCCATAACTTTGGAGCTAGCGCTCCCCTTACGAATATGTCGACCTATTTATGTTAATCAAGGAAGTAAATATCATGTAAATACTGTGGGGGATTTCCCCAAATGCTAATGTACTTAATTCTTTTTTTATGGATTATTTTTCTGAAATATCTAAATAAATATAAAATAAATATCAAGCCAAAGAGAATAACTATTTGTTTCTTTGATTATTTAGTTCATTTAGAAGCTAGCATGCAATTTATATAAATAAGACATATAAAATTCATAGTTTTGTATAATCTTCCAGTTAATTACCTAATAATTTTTTATATCACAATTATTTGGAGGTTTCTGGCTTTTAGCTTGATTTAATTAATCCAACATTTTCTTATTAAGCTATTATCTATTATTTTAGTTCGGTTTTATATATCAAAATTGTATTTCAAGGAGTTTTCGGATGGGCTTGCCTTCTCCCTGCAATGCATTTTGTTTTATAATTCCAACACATTGTTGTATTAGATACGTATTTGTTCTATGCGTATCTCATAGATTTAAGAGCTTTGGGGCCATCTGCTTATCCAACATTCACAGCACGGTCGTTAGAAGCGGCCAACTGTTGGGACTGAAACTGCCTGATCGGGTTGGGTAAACAAATCGACACACACGCTCAGAATCGCCCAATAAAGCAAACAAAATGGAGCCAAGGTAAAGACGGTGCAGGAATGTAAACAAGAGATTAACAAAGCTAAGGCGGCAGGAAATATCAGCGAAACAATATATATAACAAGTAAGTACTTGGTACTAATATAATATAAACTAGGAGAGTTATAGAGAATATCAAGTCATATGTATGTATGTATCATTTATTTCTCAGAACTATGATTTTATATATACTTTAAACAAAGGTTATCCGATCATATTTATAATTCATTTTATGAACTTTGTAAGGGAAGATATATTAAATAAATATAAAGATTACACAACGACCGGACTGCGATAAGATTTGATGTTGGATGGGTAACACATCATTTACCTATTTAAGAATGTCATAAACTATTGTTTTCTTGATTGTTTTAAAATATACTCTCTAAAATATGAAAAAATGTTGTTTTGAAATAAAAACAAGTTTTAATTATTGTTTAGCTTTTTAATTTTGTTTAGAGATTTAGCTTAAGTTATTTCTCATTTGTTTGTTGTTGCTCAGAAATTGCAACTTAACAGGGTTTTACCTTAAACAAAGGTTCTTCAAAATCGACTTTATATATCCATAAATCCATAAATTGATTATAAGAATCAAAACACTATAAAGTATAACCCCGTTTTTGATATTAGTTCTCAGGGATTTCCTTATTTTCTTGCATTAACTATAGTTTAACAATAGTTTTTGATATTCCACCCCCTTTTATTTAATAAGGTACATAAAATAATTCCACTTACCCGGTGCATTGCCATTGGCTGTCGGTTCTCCGTTGAAGGCGGGATTATCCTGGCCACCTCCTGGACCCTCTCCCGATTTCCACTTTTCCCGGTTATCGATGAGAAACTGCTGTATCGTGACGGGTCCCTCGTAGAAATGTTTATCACCAAAGGTCACATCCGTGGAGTTGTTCAATGCGATGCTACCAATTCCTTGGGTGGCTCCTCCTCCGCCCGGTGTTGTGGGCGTGGGCAGGGCCAAATTACCATTGAGGATCTGTTTGGCCACCACGCCGGCCTCCAAGGGCTTGGGAGGTGGCACTTCCGACTGACTGGGCGTCGTCACCTGGCGACTTAGCACCGTCAGACCCTGATTGAGGTCGCGCAGGTGGGAACTGTGGGGCGGGTAGGTGACCTGGTGACCCAGCTTCTGGACCGTAAAGTCCTCCGGATCGGCCTCCGAATCACTGTCAATACAACTGGAATCGATGGCATTCTCATCGATGGATACCACCGATATGGTGGTGCTCCGTATGGAGACCGTCGGCGAGGCTGATGACTTTCCTCCTGCCTTGGTTATATTCACAGTATGTTCGATGCTGATACGCTTGGAATCCGTCGTATCCGCCGCATCCATCTTCTCTTCCGCCTTTGATTGGCTGTGAGGCTCAGCCGCCTCTTTGGTCTTCTTGTCGGGTCGGAATGATGCCACATTATCAATTAGTATAACCCCAGAGTCCGTGGACGAGGTGCTGCAATTTTTGGAGGCGGACAGATCGATGGTTCTACTGCTGGGACATTCATTCATTTCCTTTTCATTGCCGATCAAATGCATTGTTGAATCCGTCACGTAAGCCCGATCTCTGATCTTCCTATGATTATCTTAGATAACTTTTGTGTTGGCCTTCCCACTTAGCAGGTTGGATATAACATTTTCGCCGGGATAAGCACTATTTATAGCAGATCGGCTGACTGGGCGCAGCTCTGGCAAATATCACATCATGTGCACATCTGCAAATACCGTTTTGATAATTAAATTTTTGATAAAGAAGACTGAGTCTTTCTCCAAGTATATATGATTTCTTTTTAAGTATTGTACATGTTTGACGAACAGAAGTCTTTTTATCACTGATTTTACTTGGGAGATAAACCAATCCAAGTTTCTATATTATATATCACTTGCTTTATCACCTCACTAATTACAAATGTTGTTCATAATCTTTTTATTGCTCTCGCAGTCCATTAGAGTTGCCAGTCTCATTGTGATTTATACGTATAATCAACGCTTTTAGTTCATGTATACATGATGCCTGATAAGCTAGCTCTCGATTGCCTGAGGGAGGGCCCGTCTATAGAGTTCAGTTTTTTAGTTTTCAAAAGCGTATCAAGAGCTACTGTCGTTCGTATAATTAAGCTATACGAGTTTTGCACACTACATTTTGTATACCCCTCAATTCGATTCATAAAGTTGGTCAATAAGCGGCGAGACTCTCACGAAAGCGAGGCTTATGCAAATTAGCCACAATCATTGACGTAGTAAATTGCCTTAAGTGGATTCCGAGAAACACAATACACACACTTGCCACTAGTTGTAGGGTATTTATTTATTTATTTGGTTTTCGATTATGTAGTTGAAAGTTCAAATCATATTTGGTTAGGGGTTTTTTTTTTTAATTCGCTTTTGGTAAACTTGTAACATTGATGTATACAAATATTATGATGTTTGGATTAAAACTATTCGGTTTTGAAATACTAAAAGAGATTTTAAGTTTAGTTTTTGAATTGAAGGTAAAAAACTAAATTAAATTATATAAAATATGTCATCACTTGTCATGTCTTGATCCTAAAATCATAAAAATATATATTTACTTGATAGCACTGTAACTTAAAAGACTTAAGTTTTAAAAAGCTTTATTACTATGTTATAAATTATTTGTGAATTATAATATGACCTCTATACTTTATTCCCTAAAAATCTAGGCTTATTTGTCCGCCAGATTTTAACATTCCAATTTGAAATGCTTCCTTTTTTATATAGTCTTTATATATTTCTCTCAAAAGCCTCTAGCGTATAATCTTGGTTTTTGGAAATTGATACCTTAACTCCAAAACATCTTCATTTTTATGTTCTTTGTTTTTAAAAAGTATTGAAAAGTTCTCTTTTTGATTGAAAAACATCTAGCATATGTTCTTGACTTGACTTGACTTATTTAACTATTATGTTCTTTACTTCTTTCAAGTCATTATTAGATATTAAAGACTTTTCCATTATGATTTTTTCAAGTATGACGTCTTGTTTAAAGTTTCCAAAGTTGCCAAAGACAGTAACTCTCTTTCATGGAATTCGCAGAACCCTGATAAAACCCAGTTGTGTGTACCCAAAACAATATCACAGGGGTACGAGGTTCTGGCTTTCTATATAGTATATATTTAGTACTATATCGATGTGCTGGAGTTGGCACTGAGCGCGCTCGCTCTGTCGCTCTGTGATAACACACACATACAGTCCGAGCACAGAACAACGACAATGGCTACAAATGAGGTACGGAACCCACTTGAATGGCACTCGGAGTTCGCTGAGCGCACCAATACATGCTCAAACAGGGCGGCCATTGTCATCCCCACACACATACAAACACACATAAAGACACAGATGCAGAGATGGGAGCGCGAGTCTTTGTTAACAGAGCTTCGCGAGAGATAATTATTACCAGGTCTTGTGTTTTACGTGTTTTCAAAATTATCATTTAATATGAGATGTGCCTATGTGCAAATTAATTGATTTCCGAGTGTGTTTCGATTGCTCTTGATTTTGTTTCCAGGAAATATTGTTTGCGATTTTCGTTTCATTTCCATTAGGGAATTTTTCACACTTAACGGGTTTTAAAATTGGTAACACTCTCAATTAACATTCCACAGCTTAAACAGCAATTTGTAAACATTAATTGGGCACTGTTTAAATTGTTAGTTTATAAATCACAATGATATTTTAAGGTGTGTTGCATTTTATGGTTACTTTGCTTAATTGCTCTTTATTTTTTACGCACTTCCATTTGCCGACGAACCCGTTGCAGCACGTAAATATTTGAGCCCGTATACTATATGTGAGAAACTTGTAAATTTGTATTGTGTATATTTTTTTTATTGCTTGCTTTCGCGCCAATTCGAAATCGCTGAGCAGCGGCGCGTTCGAGTGTCTCTGATCAACTGAGCGGCGATCAGATCGAAGCGGTCCGAAAACCCGGAGCGTCCCCAAAGCGATGGCAGCGTGTGGGAGCTCTCTCGAGAGACAGAGATTGGAGATCGAAGAGAGTGGAGAACGGAGAGCATTTAGCGAGCGCATTGGTTTTTATTACTATGTATTTAACCAAAGCTGCCCGATTCGAGTCCGATCGATCCTAGTGCAGTCGAACTTGTTTTAGATTTGCATTTTAACATTAAATGATTTTCATCATGCGGCTGGAAAACCTTGCCCTCAAATCTAATACGAAAATCAGGTGAAATAATCACATTCTTATCAATTTTAATATAGATTTGTAAGCCTAAGAAAGATTTATAGTAATACATGTTAATAATAACTATGATTTCATAGTTTTAAAAATCAAGAACGTGACTTTTTTAATTTTTAAAAATTAATTTTTAGTCGTTTAGAATATATATTGTATTATTTGTTAATATATGTAAATACTAATTGCTTAGAAAAATAAAGTAACCGTTACTGGCAGTCATAACAAATTATTTGACTAAAATGTGGTTAAAAAAACATAATTTTTTAGAAAATTTACCAGAAAAAAACTCGTATAATTTTTTAAAACCAAATTTTTACTAACAAAATATACAAGAAAATATAAAAATCACAATTGTAAGTAATCATTTACCTCCCAGAAATAAGTTTATTAAAAAACTAGACAATCCCGAATAGCTATACATTTTCATATGATAAATTTTTACATGATAAATCAAAACTTGTAATAAAAATTCTAATTTTGTTATTAAACGTTTAACACTTATATTCTTTTTAATCCCCAGAATTTTTGCATTTATCATGTGATCATGTGTTTTATAAGGAAGGGCAATAAAACAGGTGCTAAATACAAAGTCACAGAATTATAAAAGATGAGTTTATGTTTCTATAAATTAATCAAAGTTACAAGTAAACATAAAATTTGGTTTTAAAACTAATAAAATAAATATTGTATTAATAAGTTAGCTTTTAGTTTAGAAGCAAAGATACATGTTATTCACATTGTAAAAAAATACAAAAAGCTAAACCTATTAAATAGTATAAATAACAAGCAAAATGTTGCAAAGTAAACTGTTTTAGACATTTCTGAAAATTAAGCCTTAATCACAAGCTTTTATTTCTTGTTAAAAGGAACAACTTTTCCTTTACTTTGAACCGGTTTGTAACGGTGAGTCTGATACCAAGAATATCGAAGTATTCCATTAAAGATTCCTGCATTTTCAGACCTGCATTAATTTGGTGAGCCCGCCTTTCGGTTTTTCCGTGCGTCACTAACCTAACGAACCTGTTCTCAAATTCGGGTTTTTTTTATTTATATATATATCTTCCAGATATTAGTCAAATTAATAATGATCTTTTTAGCTAACACACCCCGCGTCTGGAGATATCTTTCTCTCTCTCAGGTGCTTCAAGTTCTCGTCGACCGCCTCCGGTCCACCTGACGATGACTGTTTGTTTTTGTTTAGTCGTCCGACACCGACAGACACATAGTTGTATATACATACATATATATTTAGTTATTATTTTTTATTTGTTCAACCAATAAACAACACAAAAATCTCTGGCTCTCTCTCTACCGGTACAGGCTCTGGCAGTGTGGGCAAAAATTGTTGAACATTTTAAATTGCGCTACCATTTCCGAGAATTGTTTTGTTTGTGGCCAGAAATCGGTTTTTGGCCATTTCACATTGTTGTACACACGCTTTTTCATTATCCGAGCTTCGGCCAAACTTTGGTTTGACCCATTGTAGTTGGGTTACAACAAATATTTAATGTAATTATTATAGTTCGACGATCGGTGATAGTCTACCGAAAAAGATACAAAAAAACGCCCGGGAAACCTTACTGGATGGAGTATTATAACGAGCAATAAATTAGCGGAACGAATTCCATATATGCTTACAAAGAAAGATTTTTCTAATCGGGAAATATAAAACGAAAGTTTGAAATAATTTAATTTAATTAATTTAAATTTTATATGCTTTTCCCTTATCATTTACCAATTTTATAAGTTCTAAACAGATGTTCTTTGAAGCATTATTTACTTCTGATAAGCAGCATGCCATAAATTATTTGACCAAAGTTCAAGTTCAAGCTTAAGTGTCTTTTAATGATCCTAACCTGGCAATAAATTCATTGTTGACCTATTTTTTAATGCAGAAAATACTCTACTAATTGTGGCAAATCATTTTCGACGAAATATCTTTGCATAAGCAACAAAATTCAATCATTAAGTTTATTTTTATGCTACATAACTTTACACACATTTTCCTTCTTTCTTTAATTATTATTAATTATTTGACCTTGCCTCGTTCCTCCGACAATTCGCATTTGTTTGTTACACGTGCCTGAGTTTTTGGCCAAGTTTGTTCCGCAGAGTAAGAATTATTTATTCTTTCTTTAATTAATGAATGAGAGTACTAATTTCAAAAGGTTTTTTGTTTTGTTTTTATTCCATTTTAAGAGGGGATTTACCAACGACCTTTACAATTGTTTATTTATCTTGGGAAAGGTCCAAGCAATAGCTATTTGATATGATATCATGTTACTAAACATACATCTGAGAACAATTTCTAGCAAATCTCTGTGATGGACTTTCCATTCCATTAACTTTCAAACTATATATATTTTCATTAATGTATATTGTATATTAATTTACTTGAAAACCAGATAAATGACAAAGGCAGACGCTCGACAATACAAGTAAAGAAAAGTCATCTATAATGATGTTGTACTTGCTCACAGATTGATATACAGAGAGTAAGGGTCAAGAAAATAGTATTGAAAAATATAAATTTCTGACCATGAAAATAATATAAACATATTAAAATTGTTTTTTACATTATAGGTAGTTATTTAGGCTTGTAAAACTACTATTATTTCCACCTCTGCTGTTTTTATGATGAGTGTTAAATCCAGTCTATATGGCTGTACTGGTACTGATAGCTCTGCCATGAGTGGCTTGGGAATTTCCAGCTTTTTTGAGCGACAGTTGATATAAAAAAAACAACTCTCAGAGACAGTCAGAGAGCGCGGCTTGGTCTGCTCTATAAATAAATAAAAAACCGCCCGCTCTCAACCTGTTTTCTGGGTTCCAAACCCAATCCCCCAGTGTCCCAGCATAACCGATTAAAAGAAAGCCCGTTTCGCCTTAGTATACGTATTAAATATATAATTTGTGCTTGGCTTAACTTAGGTGGTAAAAAGTCTGTGACGCTGTTGGCTCTACTGTTTGCCCATCCACGATTCCGGTTTCATTCCCAGCTCGATGCCACACGCCGGGGCCTCGTCGTCCAAACCGCAGCCGTAAAAGTGCGGCCATTTACGGATCTCCCGGTAGACATTAACACCTGGACTTTTTGTTGTCTTGGTCTGGAAAATACAAGAAGGTGATAATGATTTATTGACTAGAGGAAGAAATCGAATTATCGCAATATAAATATTTCTTAAGGACTAGAAATCTTTTTAAAAAATAACAGGAAGTATAAATAAAATTACGTACAACATTTTTAACATTTATAAGGTACTCTCAATCTATAGTATATAGTTTTACCCACCTGATTTTGCCCCACCAGCTTGTAGTCCACCTCTAGATAGTTGTTGGCCACTGCATGGGCCAACAGAAATTGGACACCTTCCAGTTGCTTGACAGAGGGCCTAAATCGTCCGTAATCTCCCATAAATGTAACAGCCAGTGTCTGATTCGCATACGTGTTGGCCCAGTCCCAGCCGCGGCCCACATAGATGTTGCCCTCGTCAGAGACCTGGTCAATACAAATTCGGAAATTCGAAAATTTATCAATTTGCGTAAGCGGAAAGCGAAATGCCCGAAATGGCAGGTAAACGTGCAGGGAAGACAAATTTACAGAAGGGATTTCTTTAAAAAAATACACCGAAGAAAATGTTATATTCAATGGTAAATGTAGAGAGTTTAATAAGGTTAAAGTTACACATTTATTCTTTACTTTTAATATCTGGAAAATGATTTTTCAAGCTTTACTCACATAAAAATTAGACTGAATATCCGGCAGACCCTTCTCCGCAATGGCCGAGTCCTGAATGGTGCGCATCTTGATGGAACACTTGTAGATATTCTCACAGGGCAGGGATTGGACACCGACATGCGTGATTACCACATAGGGAATGGGCCTTTGGAGAGGTATAATTAAAGCTGGAGTGGTCTTGGCCGCTCCCCACTGCTCCCGATCGATGACCAGGTGTCCGTTTCCTAGATTCGGAACTGTGGAATTGGTGAATTGGCTATGAGAACACTCTCGGGTTGGTTCACTTACACGTATCGTGATCGTAGTTATTGCCAAAGAATATTGCCTTGTTGCTGGGCCGTAAGCTGAGCTGCTGCGAACGATTGAGCTCCACGTAGAGTACCACCACTCCGGTGGCCAAAACCAGCAGGATCAGTGTGATCAGTAGGATGGTATTCCGGGTCATAAGCTCTGATGATGACTTTTCGCGTCCACGATTTGCGCTGCCACTACCATTTCCATGGTTGCTGTTGATTCCTAAATTAGGGAAAGTTAATTATGATAATGTATATATATAATTTGTAATAGCTAAATTAACATATTTAATTGCTTATACAATTTATAGGCATAAAGTTAAGCATTAAGTTTCAAGGCTTTGTTTTAATTGATTAAAAACATGGTAAGGGTTGTTAGCTGACACTAAGATCTTTAAGGTTCTATGAAATCTATCTGCTCATATAATAAAAATTTAATTTTAAAAAGAAAATAGGTTTATTGTATATAACATTTAATATTCTAATTTTAACTTGTTCTAATTAAGAAGTTACGTTATGCATGGGAAGTCTAATATTCAAGTCTTATAAATAATAATAAGAATAAAAAAGGAATTAATATCTATCCTACAGATACTTTAGTTTTATTTTGTTTAAGGTATGAATTACCTTTTAACCAAATCTTGTAAAAGTT